ATTAAGTTAATAAATGTAATGGCTTTGTTACTATATACTACATCATACTTAAAGCTTATCCCGAATCTGCTGAATGTGTGCATAATCCTCTTTTTTGACAGATGGCAAACTGTTTATTGCTTCCCTGAAGTCCACCATTCCAACCTCAACTGGTGATGGTACACTGTTGCCACCTGTAAACACAATACAGAAGATGCTGTTTATATATTCAATTTCACTTACATAGCGATCCTATTCACCATCAAGTCTCCTGACTATCACACCATGTCCAATGCTAAAAAGTACTAATGTTTGCTTCCTGTTACTTATAAAATATACATATGGACAGAACGAATATTGCACTGATGACCAAATTATGACAAATGAAAAGTGATGTGGTCTTCTTTGCTATCAATGACAGCATCCTATTAGGCACATTCACATTTCTGCAGATGGCCTATTAAGTTTGCTTTGTCTGTCTGTCCCTCTGTCCATTCTTCTATGGCTCTCCGGTCCGTATTCGGTCCATGGCCTCTTCAATTCTCCTCTTCCATTCGGTCCTCTGTTAGGTCCGTCTGTCCGAGGCTTTGATCGAGGTTTCGAAACGTCTTCCTTTTCACGGTGCAAGGTTGTTAGCCTTGCGACCAACCCCCAAACTGGAGGACCAGGGTACCTGTCTTAGTCTGACTTCTCCCCCTCGACCAATCTGGCCAGGGAAGCCCTACCAGTAGCTATGCTACTGCCAGCATAGCTCTTGGGATCACTGAGGTACTCAAGCCCTACGACCACGACAAGGTGCAGGTACCATTAAGTGGGGCCCTCTGTCCATTCACAAATAACAACTTTGGAATACCTGAATGTATTTTCATGAACATTTATGCCACTGGAGGCTAGTCCAAACTCATACCTCCTCTTTGTATTCTCAACATCTGATGCTGATCCAAAACGAGGTATTTACAACTTAAAGTGACTGAGATTTTTGATTAAAATTGCTAAGAAATCAAGTAAAGTTATAGTTGTAAATGCATATGTAAATAAATAACATGACTGAAATACAAAATGCTTTTTTTAAAAATTTTAGCAAATATTTTTTCATAACAAAAATAGGTCATATTTTGCCTTTTTTGGGTCATATTTCGCTATTTTTGGGGCATATTTCTCGGTTTTTTAGGTCATGAACATCTGAACTCTATCCATCACCCTAATAGTGGAGGCAAGCAAGAACCTCTGAAATGCCAGTAAACTTCTACCAGACTACATGGTGCAGCAACCCAGAAGACAGCTATCTTCAATAACTGCAACATTTGAATGTTGAACAAAGGAAGTGGTACATTTGCAACAGTGTATCCACCTTGTGAGAATATTTACCATGCTTAAAGGCGTGAATCTGAGTCCTGACAGCAATGAGCCAGGCATGGGAGCACAGGGAGTACAAGTCTGCTCCAGTCAGTTTGTCTGGCAGCAGAGACACAACACCCTTCAGGTCCACATCACTCTTCAGATGAAACCTGTAATATCACAAAATAAATAGGTCAGGCATCAGACAGGAGCAAAGATCTGCTCTTCTGTCTTGATGCTATTTTCATTGCATTCTCACATAAAGTATGTATATACAGAATATCACTAAAAATATATACAGTTTATTAATTATTTACCAAACACTGAAGCAAACAGACAAGAAGTGCATTTTATAAAATGTGTATTACAATAGGAACTTTCAAAATACCCAGTTTCAGCAACAATGCATTACTGATAATGACACACAACAGTCTGACACATGTGGAGACATGTTCTTGATGAAATAGTCAAGAGTAAAAATATAATTAGCGGGTTAGGACGGACACGTCTCTCTTCCTTTATGTTCTACCCATCTTCCTAATTATCCTTTCTGACGTTTGAAAGGCCAGCTTTTTGTCTTTCTCTTCTCCTGACCCAGTCTTCCATTCTGATGTCCTGAAAAATGCTCTTTCCTATTCACTAAAACTTGGGCCATCTCCGCTCCTCATCCCATGCATAAAAATCATTTAAAAAATTCAATCAGATGTTCTGAACCATGAAATTTAAGATTCTGACAGTGTTGAGATGTCAATTGTGGTCTTCTGAGTTCAAATGCCAACACCGGGTTTCAACAATAACAATCTACGAGACCACTCAGCTTTGCAAACGAGAAGACCACAAATGACATATGTACGATCTTTATTCACGGCATAGAGCAGTCTCAGTAATTAAGGTGTTTATGTCACGCTGTATAAAATGCAAATGCACTAGTTTATAGCACATTTCATGGGAACACAATCAGAGAGCCTTCCAAGAGGAACTGATAGATTTATATGGTCTTACAATTTCAGATAATAAATCATATTTCTACAACTTCTAATGTGTTATAATTATAGTGTGAGTTAATGGTACAACAATATATGTTACTAGTACTATAACTATCAATGATATTATATCAGAAATGTAGTACATTTTGCAGTAAAAGCCGATAAACCATTGTGCCCTTTTAAAGATATTAAATCAAAATATCTTTATGCAAAATTTATTTGGGTTAATACATATGTGACATACCTTCTTGTGAGCGCCACCATTATACTGAGCTGTGACTCTTTATCCTCAGGAACCCCCACATACAGAAGTTTGTCAAATCTGTATAAAATGAAACACACATAACAATGCACTGAAACAAATTGTGACAGGAAAATGCAGATGAACTAGCAGGCTGCATGGTGTGACATTATGACAAAGTTTTAAGACGATGTGATAATAGGTTGATTTGTGTCACCCATGAAAGCTTTTCCCTGGAAAAATAATTTCCATGGTCTTTATAATGACACACAATGCATGAACAAATGCTAAGGGAAATACTTGGACCTAGCAGAAATGAATTAACAGGCAATGGAGAAAATGACAATGAGGAACGTCACAATTTTTTAGTTTAACCTAAATAATTAAATAACCCGCCATCTGCAGCCACCCGCCAGCCGGCGGGTAGCGGCGAGTTGCGGGTGGTGTGTGGCGGTGGGTTAAAAACATCTGAAGGACTTCCTCCGTGAATGTTCTGTCAGAAGAACTATTAGGATTAAACAGGAACCAGTTGAGGCAAGTGACACGACTTAGGCAATGTCCTACGTAAGTGATAACAAGCGAGCTACCCGAGCTGCATAAGCAGCATGGGGTGCCATGTGAAGCAGGGAATTGCTTGTTGTGTCCTACGTGAGACTGCACAGTCACAGCTTCCTTGCACATGCGCCTTACTGGCCAGCGCAGGGACTCGTGCGAAAATATCAAAATATTTGATCTCGGACTTTGGCCGCTTCCCTCTCCTGACCGCTTCGCTGGAACCTAGGGCAGCGCCACACAAACAGCCAGTTTGATATTTCCGCTTCACCCACGCAACTCACACTGCTCGCATTTAATCGCTCACATAGGACAGCGGGTTAAAGTGACTTAAATGGATGTCTATTCAAACTGGGACTAGCATAAAGCCCAACACATGAGATATATCATAAAAAAGGAGGGGAAAAAAGTCTCACACATAACTGTGAGGCCTTATCTAAATTAAGATTTTGCAATCTGATATCACATTTCATGAAACCAAGTGACAATCATCAGGTCCCACTAAGCAAATTTTTACACTTCATTCAAGCAGCAACATTGCTAGAGGGTTAACACATAAGAGGATGCACAACAGATTGGCAAGGGTTGCGATACTATCATTACTTGCACACTTCTAATTTGTTGATTCAAGACATGTATTCATAACACAAAATATGTCAGTCAGATCGTATGCTATGTTCATACTGTATGAGATTTGAAGTTCTGTGGCAGTGATGTCATACACAGTGTGACAACCTGGAAGACCACGACAGACATGTTAGGACTGCTGTAAGGTGACCACCTGGTGCAGGAAACTACCCACAAGCTACCCGAGTGTGAATGTGTTAAGAATTAAGTGCTCCTGCTGGTATATCTAACCTGCCGGGTCTAAGCAGAGCCCGATCAATGAGATCAGACCTATTTGTGGCACCAATCACAAACAACTGCGAGGACTTCTGAAGGCCATCTATCTCTGACAGGAGCTGTGAGACGACTCTGTCCATGACTCCACCTGAATCCCCACTTTTACCTCGATTTGGTGCCAAAGAATCCAGCTCATCAAAGAAGATTACACATGGAGAAGCAGCTCGTGCTTTGTTAAACACTAGAATCAACAGCATAACTTATTAATACAGAAATGTCAGTATACTTCTACCAGACTACATGGTGCAACAACCCAGAAAACAGCCGTCTTCAGAAGTGTAATAATCACATTACAACAAAGTCCACAACCCCTTTTCAAGTGACAGAAATATTTTGTTCTTTTATAACATATCATGTGTTTTAAAGCAATTCTCTCACATCTGAATTCTCAATGTGCCAAGAAGAAGATACAATGAGAAATTGGAGCTATTTATCAAGATTTCTTCTAACCTTCTCTGACATTCTCTTCACTTTGTCCCACATACATATTAAGCAGCTCAGGCCCCTTCACAGACAAGAAGTTTAGGTTAAATTCAGTGGCAACGGCCTTGGCTAGTAGGGTTTTGCCTGTCCCAGGTGGTCCATAAAGAAGAATGCCTGAAAATAAGGTTTAATGAAATCAGTATTATGACCACAATAGTATTATTCAATTTGTGGCTGGAAATTAAAAAAATACATATGCATTCAAATGTAATTAAATTCACAACAAACTTTAATCATTATTTAAATAATAAAAAATGAGAAAGTTAACTATTTTAAATGAAGTACTGTTACCAAATGTTACAACCAACAGATTATTATTCACAGGACTACAGAACTAAGATTAACATATTTTAAGAGTGAATACCACAGAAGCTGTCTAGTTAATACACTTTAATTTAATATGTATTTTCAGACACACTGCAATTTATATAGATATATTTTGAGATCTAGCATTGATTCACCATACAGACAAGGCTTTATCAAGGACTTAACTGCCAAAGACATGCCATTCATAGTTATTTTCTCCAACAGATGTGACGTGCTGATTCCTCAACACTGAATTCATCATTCTGTTTTTTTAAAAATTCAAATTTTCAATTGTCATTGAATTCATGCTGAAAATAAATACTGACTGAAACATTAAGTAATTACCATAAAATATCTATTCAGTAATACTCAACAGGAAAAAGCACCTAAAACCAGTAAGTTCACAAAAACAAAAATTAGAATCACAACAAAACACCAAAGTCGAAGTTAATATGCTTATCAAAAGTTGAAAAGTTTGGATTATAAACATAATGGCATGCCTGATCGTTGCAGCCCAGCTGCCAGTAGTTCCGGATGTTGGAGTGGCAACATAATAGTCCGCATTATCTCCTTTTTTACATCAGATAATCCTCCCACATCATCCCAGGATACCTTTGGGATTTTTGGAGCATCAATTGCTTCAGAGTATGCTGCATGCATGGTATCTGCAAACAGAATACAAAACATACACACGGAAACACGACAGTAACACTGAATAATTACGAGGCTCGTCCACAAAGTAAGTTTCCCTGGGGCCGTTTTCAGAAACAAAACACAATTTCATGGAAATATTTATTGCAACAGATACAGCAAGTGTCCAGCTATTTTTCAACATATTCGCCACCGGAATTGAGACATTTGTCATACCGTGGGACCAACTTTTGAATACCTGGGTCGTAGAAGTCTGCCGCCTGGGATTGGAACCACTGTGTGACAACCATCTCCGCCTCTCTGTCATTCTCAAAACGCTGACGCTGACGCTGACCGGACAGGAATTTCTTGAGGTGTAGGAAAAGATGGAAATCACTGGGAGCGAGGTCCGGGCTGTAGGGTGGATGATTAAACACCTCCCAGCTGAACTCCTGCAGGAGACTCGCTGTCCGTTGAGCCGTGTGCGGCCTAGCGTTATCACTGACCGCACTTCACAGTCGGCGGGAGCTGGAATAAGAACCTCCCTCTTCAACAGCTGCAACGATGCTACTGTGAGAACGCGGGAAGTGCCGTTAGTGCATGCGCCATGCTACGTCATTGCTCTATCACGTACGCACAGTCGCTTCGCGCAATATAAGGTTTGCTAGCTGTGGGACGAGTGGGAAACTTACTTTGTGGACGCGCCTCGTAAATATGCGCCACTTAAAAGACTCAAGTATTTGTGAAAGAATATGGAAATGAAGGTTTCAAGGCATGCCAGGGATGGTTGGGTTTGAAACTTCCAGATGCATATGAAAAGAAGGTATTGTTTCAAATTCTGATACCAATTTATGGCAGCACCATTCATACCTTGTTTCCCATAGTGATCTAACACACACACATTTTAAAATGCCCCTTGATATGACAGCGAAAATAAATGTGAGAAGACTGCTATGGTTTTTATTGATGGCAATAAGAAACAACGGAGCACTGTAATATGCATCATGGTGGGGAGCAGAAAATTTCTACTGCAAAAATTTATTATAAGTTTATGAGCACCTACATATTGTAGGAGCCAGAAAACACACACACACACATATACACATTGTGCGGGAAAAGCAGCGAACAGGAATGAAGACATACAGAACACTAACAAACAGAAAAACATGCAAAGGGACCAAATGCCCCGTAAGTCATCATGACTGAAATATAGGCCCAGAAAGTATCCTCACATGATGTGAGCATGTAGTCACACTGTGTCAGCTCCAAAAGTTCAATGACTAAAGGCGAAGATCGCATACTATCAATACCATCGTCAAAAGTGACCAAAATTGTGGCAAAACATCAGTGCTATTTGCAGATGTATACAGGACGTGTCACTGTTACAAGTGGTTTCAGTGGAAAGTAATTCACATCACATGTATTTTTCTAGTTAGCAATTCTTAAATTAATTTATGCCCTTTTCAGATCTCTAATAGTTTTGTTCCTACTGTTTGTTTCAAGCTCATAAACTTTATTCTTCATACATTACATTTTTTGTTTCTGAAAGTTCTACTAATCTGTCTTATACTTTCCAGATTATCTCAATTTGTTTGGCTCAGATTCTGCAACCACTGTAACTTACCCTGCTTCCTTTGAAGTAATAATTCTGAGTTCATCATGCTACAGTTCACTGTACTTTAACACACGATACTCTAAACAATAGTTGTCTGAAGTTTTGACAGTTTCCACGTCCTATTTATATCCACACATAATCTAGTTTCCAAAATTCAGAGAGACAGACTATTCATATATTGATGACAATAAGTGCTGTATGAGTTTTTTTGTACAAGTATTAATACTTCCAGCCAAATATATACCTAACGCTTCTTCAAAATCAGCCTTCCTTAAAGTCACATCCACACAGTTCTGTTCATCATGGCAGGATTCCTTCAGATGTTTGAACCGATATCTGCAACACAATATCAATCTTTTCTTCTTATGATTATATAAAATCCTGGCTTGAGACACATGGTGAGGTGTTGTGAACACATGGTTGAATATAATTTTTTGGGGGAGTGTGAAACCTGGAACAGAAAGCTACTACACAATTTCTGATGTAGTCATGACATTTCAGTGATTTTAAGAAAATACTTTTCACCTCTTGTGTTTGGTTTTACGCTCCTTTACTTTTAGGACTATACTCTGTATTTCATGATGCATTCTTTTCCTTTTGTCGCAGAAATACAACACTCCAACAGGGATGCTCACACACACTGGTCCTTTGGATCTGGATGTTCCCATTCATCATATTCTAAGGTTAATACTTAACATTTTACTACCAATCTTGTACTACTCTAACCAGAAATTACTTCTCTACACATGACTACTTCTCTTTTTATTTATATCTTAAGTATAGTCCGCGAGCCACGAGACATCTTTTTAGGAGGTGGGGTACAATTCTGTGCTACTAGCGGACCGAAAAACGCCCGCAGCTTAGACAGGCTGTACGTCGTGAGCTAATGTACTGACTGACTGATAACATAATGTTTTTAGGTAAGGAATACATCACCAGCGCATGCGCAGAACCAACTTTCCCCCTGCCACACAAGCAAGGGCTGACAAGGCCACATCTACTCTCGTGGCTCGCAGACAACAGCTATGTGAATAAAAGAATATTAAATAAAAGTCAGTTTATTTCTACCAGTGCAGCCAGTTGTTCTGTTGGATTATAACAGATAAGGTAGTAAACGTCTGTCCAAAAAATGTTGTTCACACATACCATATTTTTGCTAAGTTAACAAATCATCACATATAAGAATAATAATTTGTTACTGAAACAATTATGGTTCAAAGAACTTCAGAGATATAGCATACCTGACAGTGTGGAACACAAGGACTGCTAAGTCAGCATACAGAAATCCTGAAGTTTGATCTGCTACATGAGACAAATCAGCACCAACAGTGACATTGCACTTTCTTAAGAGCCACTGAAGTATTGCAGTTCGTTGCAACTTATTTGGGCTCTGCATGTACACCACATGAAGAAACACTCGAGCCAGTGCAGGAGGGACAGCAGACTGCAGATATAAATTCCTTGGGCTATATATATATATATATATACACACATATATGAGTACTTCAACACATCTTATGTTAAGCATGCTCTAAAGAATTTTTTATGAAAATTAGTTATGAATATAAGAATTTGACAACAATTGAAAAGGATATCTAAATATTAAATGATGCATTTTAGCATGAATTCCTTTCTTAATGGAAAAAGGAGATTTATGGAATCACCAAGGTGTGTGTGTGTGTATCCCTGTCAACATTTGAGCCAAATTACCAATTTTGATGAAATCAGGCCACTGGTGGTGCCCAAACTTTGTACATTTTAATTTACAACAATCAATAATAACATAGCAAATACACAAACTTTGAGGCAGAAAAAACACCAGAGCCACTTAACCTAAAATGACATATAATAATAGGTCTTCATAAAATATGCAACTTTTTAATGCAATTTTCTGCAGACTGTAAAACATCAGTACAGTGGTTGTCTACAATTAGATTTTGGCTTATGATAATTAATGAGCCATTATAGCTGCTAATGAGAAAGTTGGAATGGAGACAAATCATAAATATGTCTATCTGCATTAAATACTAATTGTAAGTCAACAATTAAAACACGGGAACACTCAAAACTTTGAGGTTATGGTATATCAAACAAATTCAATGTTGACAGAACCCGCTAAGTTCTTCCCAAAGAGAAAATATAACAGCTACTACTACTACTAACAATAACAACTTGTAATGTATTTATAATTGCAAGTAATATTGCTCTTTAACTTTGCGCTAGAATACACCATCAGGAAGGTCCAAGGTAGGCAGGAGGGTTTGCAATTGAATGGGACACATCAGCTATTGGCATATGCTGATGATGTTAATTTATTGGGGGACGATATAAATACAATAAAGAGGAACGCAGAAGTTTTACTAGAGGCTGGTAGACAAGTGGGGCTGGAAGTAAATTCAGAAAAAACTAAGTACATGTTAGTATCTCGTCATCAGAAGACAGGCGGGCAAAATTATCTTAGGGTGGCTAATAAATCCTTTGAAAGGGTTACAAAGTTCAAATATTTGGGAACAACAATAACAAATCAAAATGATACTTGTGAGGAAGTTAGGAGGAGACTAAATTCCGGAAATGCTTGCTACTTCTCAGTCCAAAATATTTTGTCTTCCCGTCTGATTTCTAAGAACCTGAAAATTAAAGTATACAAAACAATAATCTTGCCTGTTGTTTTGTATGGGTGCGAAACATGGTCTCTCACTCAGAGGGAGGAACACAGATTGCAGGTGTTTGAAAATCGGGTGTTGAGGAGGATATTTGGGCCTAAGAGGGAAGACGATGGGGCGTGGAGAAAACTGCACAATGACGAGCTTAAAAATCTGTACTGCTCCCCCAGTATTGTGAGGGTGATTAAGTCGAGAAGAATTAGATGGGCGGGGCATGTAGCGCGCATGGATGGGGCAAGAGGTGTGCACCGGGTACTGGTTGGGAAACCTGAAGGGAAGAGACCGCTGGGGAGACCTAGACGTAGATGGGAGGATAATCTCAGGCGAGATCTATGGGAGATAGGAGTTGAAGGAAACTGGATTTTGTTGGCCCAGGACAGGGTCCGGTGGAGGGCTTTGGTTAATTCGGTGATGAACCTTCGGGTTCGGTAAGCCATCTAGTTAGTTAGTTAGTAATAAATAAAATATCTAACTCTGGTAAAACTAAATCATTTGAGTATGATCATGTGCACATCAGCCAAGCATGCAAACACCCATGACTTAAAATGCATTATAAGTTTACTTACCTAAAATTACATGAATACAACATTTGCACAATAAAGAATCTGTGATTTGGGACAGCAGGTTCTGAGAGTTGTGCCTGGAACTCCTTATCATTTAACTTATTACCTCTCCAATGCAACTTCTTATAATATTGTATACTGCACAGCAGTCATTTCTCAAATAATTCTTTCAACACCCAAATTTCATGTATAAGGAAAGAGTTTCAGATTAATAATGCATTCTTAATACTTTGGCCACAAACATTTCTTAGCACCATGATCAAAGTATAAACATTCTCAGCACCATCTAGCAGTTGACTTTGTACCAGCATGATTTTTTTTACATTCACATTTCACATAAAAACAATTTATTTGAAACAAGAGTCTGAACACTTCATTTACTGTTTTATTTAACAACACTCTTAACTGCACAATCTATAATGGATTAATGAGAAGTAACTGATGATTTCTTCTAGTGACTTGATAGGAATATGGAAAGATGTGATCTTTGCCTATTAAAAGTTTTGTCCCAACATTTGAATAGAATAACTGAAGGAAGCCACTAAAAGACTTCAGTCAGAAAAGCTCGTCATCTGAAACATGTTCCTCCTAACAACAGGCGTGTTGCCATTGTGCCAACATATTTGGTTACCCCTTTCAACTAGACCTTACTGATGAGCTTTGGTCTCCAGATGCCATACACCATAAGAACATACAACATTTCCTGTTATTATTCAAAATAATTTGTTACCAATACCATTTTAGACTGTATTCAGATAAAGTTGTAGTGTTATGAAAAGAAAAATTTAAGTTACATCATGTCTCTACTTTAGTAATATGTCAATGTGGACTATGACGATTTCAGGTTCTCACAGTGGCAAGAATGAAGATGACATTATACCATGCAGTCTGAAACATCAATAAACTTCTACCAGAATACATGGCACAACATTTCAGAAGACAGTCACCTTCACTGACTACAGCAATTATAACTTACTGTAGATTCATTCTTACTGTTGCATGTTGCCACCAGAAGAACTGGAAGAGTACTTGTTTCCTGAAAAAGTCTCTCTACTTCATTAATGAAAGCGCTGATAGCTCGACTGTCTTCAGTGCCATCCTTGTCTCTGCATAACACCTGCAACATAATAAATTAAATGTAACTCAGCTCTGTGTCAAAAACGTGGAAGCTTATTTTAAATTACAGTATTCCCTCAATTTTAAGATGCACTTTTTTCATATTTTAAAATTTCTAAAACTGGGGTGCACCTTACATTTGATGGGGTCTAAGAATCAACAAGCATCTTTTTTCCAGAAGACCTATTACTAAATCAAGAGTGTGTCTTACAATTGATGATGTCTTAAAATTGAGAGAATATGGTACTTAAAGATCAACATACTATTTTAAAGTTTCAAGGAAAAAAGCAGAAGTAGATAAATTCCTATGTATGGGATTCTGAAGGGATATCTCTGTACTCATAAAAGCTCACTACCACCCACAGGTACCTCCATTTCAGAACAGTTTTAAAAAATCTTTAGGTGCCATATTACTCACCATTCTAGTGTATGTACTCATAGAAATCTGATATGAAATTTCTTTTATATATCAAATTTTTTTTCTCTACACAGGAAAATTCCTTCAGGCATGGGTAAACTGTAGAAACAGTTCTGGATTAATGTGCATCACAACTCTTGTACTCACCTGCAGGATCCACCTGAGACACTTTCAACAGCCATTAATTAGGCTATAAACTTTGCTGAAGGATGTAAATATATTTCTTAATGCTTCATGAATAGCAAGAAAGTAATATTCTGAGCTCTAATTAAACTTTATGAAGAGCTTAAAAGTGGATTAAATCAAGTATCTTAAAGAGCAGAAGCTAACTGGAAGCCACTATGAGACATTCCAAATGGTTTGCATTGGCAAAAACAGTAGAAGGGTGTAGTATCAGGGTTTGACTATATCTTATTTAATATTAATGTTCAGTCTAGCAAAAATAAATAAAAAGCAAATTTCACAAATTTAATGTCAGTGGATGATAAAGAAAATGAAGTTTATGGTAATTGTAATGTTAAGTTAAATGGTTATTTTTTGTGAGAAAATTGAATTATGAGTGGAAAATATGACAGTGAAGGAATGAAAACTCATGACAACTGTGTAATTGAATTTTTGAAACAAGTATGTAATCTTGGAAAACTACTTCCTCAACCTTACAGCTGGGAATGGTACCTTGATCCTGGTGCTTAACTAACATCACACCATGTGGAGATTGGGGGGGGGGGAGGAGGAGGAGGAGGTGTTAGAGATACAGATCCACACATTCTTAACATTAGTAAAAACCTTATTTCCAGCTTTAAAAAAAATACTGGTTGTTGACCCAGAGTAAAATATACCTCTATGTTTCTTAGCAGAAGAATACATGGGGCAAGCTGTTGAACCTTAGTAAAGACATGCTTCAGTTTGCCTTCAGTATAGCCTGGGTTTCCTCCCTGTAATTCAAACGAATTCACAACAAACACATTTAAGCCCAGCCTCTGAGCTACATTCCTTGCCACGACTACTTTACCCACACCTCGAGGACCACAAAGTAAGAACAGTGGCTTCAGTTTAAACCTGTACATATTCAAAACATGAGGCTGCACACATCCCAAGAGCTCATCTCGGTATTCATCCAGGCCAGCTGGACAGGTGCTTAAGAGTTGTAACTTCAGATTATTTCCTGTAATTTTTCCTTTTCCTTTGATGAATGCAACATCACTTTGAGGAACATACCCCTGCTGATCTGTGCATTGTACTAAAGAAGTAAATAACTTCATAACATAGTATCCATGGGTCAAACCTTGGTTGACTCTGCCTCCATAGCAAGGTCCTTCAATGTCCAAAACTTTGAAGCATAATGTCCTAACTTTGCTGTTTAGACAGGGTACAGCTGATGCAAATTTTATTAAGTCTATACAGAAAACATCACCTTTACGAAGAAAGCATGGATGTTGGAAATAACATGACAAAACTGCATCCAGTGCTATGTTGACATCGTATAACGGCTGAAGGAGACTCACTTTGGCCAAGGTTGCAATGTGCGGTACAAAAAGTTCAAAACCATCCAACTTTTCTGCCTGTACAATGTTATTCACAAGTAATAAAGCCTGTGTTATATTATAATGCAACACATTGGTTACAACTGCAACAGAGTCTTCAATGTCAGGTATTGCAATAATATAGGCCAAATATGAACGTGTTGTATCAAAAGCTCCAATTTCTTCAGGGCACTTTTTCAATTTCAACCAAGAACAACTGTTAACACCAAGGGTTTGTAAAGTATTGAAGCTTACTAAAATGGAAGAATCCACATTCCCTAATAATATCGGTTTAGCGCTCTCTGGTATTAGACACGCAAATGCATCCTCAGGAACAGACCACAATTCCAACTTTAACGTCTTTTTCTCTCTACGATGTCTCGCAATATAATAAGTGGACAACAAAGGAAAAATTGAGTGGGGATATTTGGGCAACAAAATTGTCGTAGTAAATTTCAGTACACTGAGTAATGAATCCACATTTATATCAGGCATCTTAATTTAGATAAAGTTACAGCTCATCACATTTAAAACACCAGAATAAACCACCAACACTGGAGATATATTACGTATACAAAAACCATGGGCAGGAGCTGTGAAGTTTTCTGTCAATGGTAACACATGCGCCAAAAAAATTTGGTGAAATATGCCAGCTAACTGAAATATATAATTCCATAGGCAGCATTTGGAAACTACGCACTTATATATTTACAATCAGAATCTGATAATATTAAATTACGTCTATCTGTCTATGTCACATAATAAAAAACGAAATACAAAAGTAACAGGCTTTCGTGTTTCAAGGATAGACATATACACAATATCAACGGGGTATTTAGCACAGATGTGCATCAATCTTGTTACTGTTCCTGATTTTCCTTTTCCATGGTTATAGTGAACAGTGACATATCACTTAATCTGTGGTATATCGGTTTTAAAAGAAAATAAATATTAGAGGGAAACGTAAACAAATGCAAGTGTTGGTGTAGGTTCCCGTTTTCTCTTTATTTTTCTCCAAACAGAAACTCTTGATGTATTAAAATGAAGTAAGTATACTGATTACGAACTAAAAGTCATGTCCAAGAGCTATTAACTATTATCGTACTGAGGTTGCGGTAGACAGTTTTAAGAATGAATATGATATTTTCAGGTTAAGTGTCGATGGACTGCTCGTGTACTTTCCTTATGATTATATTTATCCAGAACAGTTTGCATACATGTTGGAATTGAAGAAGGGACTAGATGCTAAGGTAAGGCAATTACTGAGTATATACCCTTTGCAGTAAAAGGTATTTTCTTTTAATGAAATTAGTGTTCGGTTTATTGTTTTAGGGTCACTGCCTACTGGAAATGCCATCAGGAACTGGAAAGACAGTGTCTTTGCTCTCACTTATCGTTGCATATATGCTTGCAAATCCTTTGAGTGTCACAAAGCTCATTTACTGCTCACGAACTGTGCCTGAGATTGAAAAGGTCATAGAGGAATTGAAAAAATTGATAACATATTATGAGAGAGAGAGGGGACAGAAGCCAAAGATGGTTGGGTTAGTTCTCAGCTCAAGGAAAAATTTGTGCATCCATCCACAGGTACATGACACCATGAACATGAATATTACCTCCTCTTGTTTGCAGAGATTCTGACAATATTATTGTCTTCTGAATATGTAAATAATTGTGCTTTCTAGGTATGAATCTTTATTTCGTGACTCTAAGTTCAAAGGCACAGTCAACATACATGAGAATTACCATTGCAGTGATACTTATTTCAGTTTAAAGCATGAATTTGCATGCACATAAATGTAAAGGTCTTGAAATGTTTACTAGGTGAGCAAAGAGCGTGACGGAAAAATTGTTGATGGAAGATGCCACAGCTTAACTGCATCTTATGTCCGAGAAAGGCACAATTATGATGACAGTATACCCATCTGCTCATTCTATGAAGGTTTTGACATAGAAGGGCGTGAAGTACAGCTGGAACCCGGTGTCTATAGTCTGGATGACTTGAAAGAATATGGGCAGGAGAGGAATTGGTGTCCATACTTTTTGGCCAGATATACTGTGAGTATGCTTCAGTTTCTGATTCCTCTTTTCAGTGTGTTTGTGTATTTTTGCTATTTTCCTTTGCTGCATATTTGTTTATCTGAAATCTGAACTGTAACCAGACAATGTGGATGAGGAACACAGTACTTCATATACTGACAGTGTTGTCTGGGTGTCTGGCTAGTTAGTCATGACCAAATACTATTTTGACATATATACAGACATTTTTATGTAGGATGGAAACCCCTAATAGTTTAAATATCTTCAATAATTCTAATAGTTTCTTCTTCCTCCTCCACCATCTGTGCTCTCACAACTCCTCTTCATCATTTGCTTCCCATGGCATTCCTTCTGTGCAACAGATGTCCTAATCTTCTGATCCCATCTTGATTTTGGTCTTGGACACTTCCCTTTCATACTCTTGTTCAAAACCTTTGGAATTCTCTTCTCCAGCCTCTGCATCCAGACAAGCTCTGGGCCCCACCCAATCTCCTATCCAGAGGGTACCAAGGTAAAGCACGGATGGGGTATCATGCTGACCGCTCACCCCATCTATTGCTGAGGTTAAGAATATGTAGGAGCTATACTGTCTCTCCCCAAGCACCTACATTGTGCGTAGCTGGACAGCATTTTAAATGTAATCTTCATCCCATAAGTATTTTGTATAGAGTGGGATTCTACTATACATGAAGTATGGATTAGTACAAATTTTTGTTTTTAATTGTATTATGTTTTGCAGTTATCACATTGATATAATGTAATTTGGATTTTTGCAGATCCTGCATGCAAACATTGTGGTGTACAGCTACCATTACTTGTTAGATCCAAAGATCGCCGATATTGTGTCAAAGGAACTTTCAAAATCTTCTATTGTTGTATTTGATGAAGCCCACAATATAGGTAATTGCAGTTCATGTTAGCATTACATAATATGTTGTGTGATTTAAAAATGCTGTGACAGCAAAACAGGCGTAACAATCAAGAATGAAGTTGCAAGTTCCATTTTAAGCAGTTCTTCAACAGTGTGGCCATATTAACCACTATCTAAAGAGGACATTTTCTACATTTTTCACCCAAAAGTAATGGTCATCTGAAATTCATGTACTAATAAAAATACTGGATTTTGTTGGCCCAGAAGGGCTTTGGTTAATTCGGTGATGAACTCACAGGTTCCTTAAGCCATCTAGTTGGTTTAGTTAGTTAGTTAAAAATGTTGATTATTTTTTGCAGACAATGTGTGTATTGATTCAATGAGTGTAAAAATCAACCGCAGGATCATAGACAAAAGCACGGCCAGTATACAGATTCTGGAGCAGACAGTTAATGAGTAAGTTACCACTGTCTATCTCTTGAGTTCTTGTAAAATTCAAACACTGAAATATTATTCTTATTGTTGTTGTTATTATTATTATCATCATCATCTGCAGGGACCTGGATATATTTGAAACAAAAATTGTTACTCTTAATTGTATTTAACAATAATCGCGGTCTGAGGCATCATGCTTCAGACTGGTGGTACGGAATGCACGCTGGTTTGAGTCTCGGGGAAAGAAATTTCTCATGAGATTTTCGACTGGTGTATGGGACCGGTGCCAACCCAGCATCGTGAGGAAATTTGGGAGCTACAATGGGTAGCATAATCCGGTCAGGAAAACTAGCAATGGCTGGGGGTTCGTCATGCTGACTACACGTCACCCTATATCTGGTTGGATGATCGTTCACCTCTGCTTAGGCATGTGAACATGAGGCCAGCTAGTTGGCTTTGGCTCTCAGAGGGATGTTATGCCGCGGATTATTATTATTAATCTAACTTACTTTCTTTATCAAAATTATTATTAGAAATATACTGATGTATTCAGTAGCAATTTGCCTTTGTGTATTAAACGTCCATTGCAGTTGTGTGATTTTTGATAACCTCTTTGTTACCTTTTATGTTTATTATTGTGTTCTTGTATTTCTCTCTTGTGCTGTATCTGTTATTGACCTTCTGGCTGTTGATACAGCACACTAATAATAAAGAACTGAATTTAATTGAATTATTAGTAATCATGCCACCATGTCAACGCTATGTAACTTCAGCAGTGTTATAAGATTATAAACAAACAGTAGTAATTATTCAGGACTAAGCTAAGCTTTTTAATGTAGGTTTGAATATGGAATGCAGAATCACTTGAAGTGATTCTCATCTCCACTTTCTTACTTCTCTGAAGAGTAATTTGCAGAAAATAAGATTTTTGTAAAATGTGCATGGTAAGTTGTATGTTTCAACTGCCTTTTAGGATGAAAGAAGATGATGCAAAGAAACTGAAAGAAGAGTATCAGAGGTTGGTAGAGGGCTTGAGAGATGCAAGTGTTGCCAGAGAAACAGATGTGGTGTTATCCAACCCTGTGTTGCCTGATGAAGTCCTGAAAGGTACTCCATTAACCTTCTTTTGTTCTTATTGGTTGAAGAGGATCAAATCAGGCTAATCTTTCTAGTACGTTTATGGAACCATGTCCATGGAGCAGAGTCTTTAAGAAGCTGATAAGTCACTCAGGTAATGAAGAAATTTCCTGAATTTTTACGTAACCGGAAGGTTAAATGCCAGGTTCACAAGAGCCCATTGACTGTGTCCAAATCCAGTCCACATTTTCACACTTTATTTCTATGTTCCATTTTATCATCCTCCCATCTCTGCCTTTGTCTCCAAAGTAGTTGCATCAGGTTCTACAGTTATAACATTACATGTATTTCTCTTCCCATGCATCATATATGCCCTGTCCTACCCTGATAATATTTGGAACAGTGACTCATTTCTATCAAGTGCTTTCTGAGAGACCTAAAAATTAATTCACAGGATTTTTTTAGCAGTGTCTTATCTACATTTAATTGGGGGTGGGGGGCAGCGGTGTACTCTGATATTCTTATTAGTATCGAATTTTGGACTAGGCCAGTGTCCCTGTCCCTTCTTTCTGAGAGAATTTTTACCCAGAATTCTAGACGTAAGCTATATTGTAACTGCACAGCACACAGCAAATGGTAAAACTTGGATTTGTGACTATTCTGATGAGTAGGACCGAAGCTGATAGGTAACGTACGTATACAAACATCTATCTGTCAAGACGGGAATCAAACCATTGATCCCAATATTTGCTCTGGCTGTGTACCTTAAATAGCATGGCCACTGTGTTTGGTATAATTATAACTTAATGGCCATCATGAAGAACTGATGTCCTTAAATATAGTTTATAGGTGTAAAGAACCTCAAGTCTATCAACCAGAAAATTCAACCAAAATGTATTCTATGTTGTCATTCCTTCCTCAGAGGTTGTTCCAGGGAGCATTCGAACCGCAGAACACTTCGTAGGATTTCTGAAGAGGTTTGTGGAGTATCTGAAGACACGACTTCGTGTGCAGCATGTGGTATTGGAATCCCCAGCCAGCTTTCTCAAAGATGTTTACCAGAAAGTGTGCATTGAGCGTAAACCTCTCCGGTAAAAAAATAATTTTACTGGTTTAATTTTATGTGCTGTCCGAAGAGTGAATGCAACTCTGCTTTCCCATATGTGCTACATACCATGCCCATCTCAACTTCTGTAACTTGACAGTCCTAATGAATTGTAGTGATTAATACAAATTATGAAGTGCCTGATCCATTTTTTTTCCAATTTACATATTTTGGGTAAAATGTGTTACTAAAATTTAAACAAAAATTACAAATTGGAGAGTATGTAAAAGTAGTTGTGTACAATTTTTCTTGTCTGTTGTAGGTTTTGCCATGAAAGATTAGCATCACTTTTGCGTACATTGGAGATTGCTGATCTCACAGACTTTTCACCATTGATACTTATTACTCATTTGGCAACATTAGTGTCAACATATACAAAAGGATTTACCATTATTGTAGAGCCCTTTGATGACAAAACTCCAACAGTATCAAATCCTATCCTTCACTTCAGGTAGGTACACAAAATGTAAATATAGAATACTAATTCACTTTTCGAGTTCTGATCATGAATGAAAGTTTATAAAATATGATACTCTGTCTGTCCATGTTAAGTGAACACACTGAAGAGATGGTGAAATGAAAATCTAGTGAGATGTGCATATGCCTGAAGACTGATGATTCTCATAATGTCTGTGACATTGGCCGATTCATTATAGCAATATATTGGACACTGTCCCTTGTCTGAGGTATATCTGATAAAATAATACTTTGGAAGTCGGTTCTAATCCTGTCTTCAGCATATTGGTTGTCTTTGTACTGACGGATAGTGTACTAGCCAACTGCTCAAAAGGTCCTGGGTTTTATTCCAGCCATCATGTATAATATTAGAATAAAAGGAATCTGTCTGCATAATGATTCATATATCAAGCATATCTCAGACAGTGGACAATGTCCAACGTAGTTTTGGCACACTGATGTTCAGTCAACATGTGTTGGTGTGACGAGTGGTTAATACTGTCCAGTCAACATGTGCTGATACCTGTTGGTGTGACGAGTGGTTAATACTGTTCCAGTTGTTTGGATTCCTCTATTGCTATCAAGCCAGTGTTTGACCGGTTTCAAACTGTCGTAATCACATCTGGGACACTCTCTCCGCTGGACATGTACCCCAAGATTTTGGACTTCCACCCAGTCATCATGAGTTCCTTCACTATGACACTGGCAAGGCCATGTCTCCTCCCAATGGTAAGATGTATGTAAGTGCAGTATGTGCACCCACCACTTTCTAGAATCAAGTCACTGAATAAGTTGACACAGTGGTAATGTGCCTGACATGTTCTTGACATACCCAGCTCAAGCATCAGTTGGGGCAGTTATTCTGTTTGAAGTGTGTCATGGTTTTCTGCAGTCCTTTCTGGCAAATACAAGGGTATCACTACAATATAGAACACTCCTGCTTTCTGTCCTTGGTCTTCCAGTTCATATGAAAAGAATGATCATTATTGTGTGTGTTATAGATTGTTTCCAAGGGAAATGACCAGGTTGCCATCTCTTCTCGGTTTGAGACGAGGGAAGATGTTGCTGTAGTGCGGAACTATGGCCAACTCTTAGTGGAGATTGCTACAATTGTACCGGATGGAGTTGTGTGTTTTTTCACATCATACCTATACCTAGAGTCAGTGGTGGCAAGCTGGTATGACCAGGGTGTAGTTGATAGCTTGCAGCGAAACAAGCTTCTATTCATTGAAACACAAGATGCAGCCGAAACCAGCCTTGCTCTTTTGAACTACATCAGAGTATGTATCCAAGTATTGAATGCTCTAGTTGGCCATAAGTAACTACATCAAAATAATGATAGAAACTGAAGTTCGATACCAGTCATTTGACAAATCTTCAGACCATTCACAGCCTGCATCTCTGATATAAATATTTATGCATGTTCAAAGCAAAGTTGCAAAAATGCACCTGATACCTTTACCATAGGTATGTGGGGCATATTAACACATATGAAAGATGGATTGCATACAAAGTTTTGGTTGGAAAACTTGAAGGGAAGAGACCACATGAGAGAAAATGGTCATCTTCAGACTCACCGCTGTGAAAACCTCAAATCCGACCACATGGGAGATTTAGGCGTAGATGGATGATATTAAATAGGATCTTCTAGAAAATACGGTGTGAACTGGATTCATCTGGCTTAGAGTAGGGTCAATCATTGGGTCTTTAGAAGATGGTAATGAACCTTTGGGATCCATAAAAAGCAGCAAATTTCTTGACCAGCTGAGCGACTATTAGCCTTTGAAGGACCCTGCTCCGTGGAATTAGATATACACTACTATGCCTCCAGCATGAATAAGATCGAGGGCAAAGAAAACTGCAGCAGATAGATCCTCATATCTGACATCTCACATAGTTGCATTTTCAAGCTATTATCCCCCAGCAGAGACAAATTTCTATGCTGTGGTACAAATAAAAATGTTTTTTAACCTGAATACAACATACCAATCATAGTATCCATTTTTTCTGCATAGCTGCTAATTAAAAACCACTTTAGTAACCCTCATCAGCCATGTGCCACATTAGCATACCACTAAACACTTAGCCCCGGGATTAAAATCCAGTTGGCAGCCCCAGAGTAGAGGGGTTTAAATTCTCTAATTCCATACTACAAAGGTTAAAGTATACTAAAATTACTCTTTAATATTTCTCTGACTGACATGCAAAAAAAAAAATATGAATAGTAGAAATTTGAGAAATATTCATTGTATTTTGAAGTTTGAGTTTGTTTAGAATGAGGGCTCAACTATCTAATAAGTGAGTCTTGCCTTGTGCAGGCGTGTGAAAGTGGACGAGGAGCTGTGCTGTTGTCTGTGGCTCGGGGAAAAGTTTCAGAAGGTGTGGACTTCGATCATCATCTTGGCCGAGCTGTTCTGATGTTTGGGATTCCGTATGTGTACACACAGTCGAGAATACTGCGAGCAAGACTGGAATATCTCCGGGACCAGTTCCAGGTGAAAAATGATATTTTTCTTCTTTTTCTGGGTTTCTGTCACGTTCATAGGTTTCCTGTCATATGTCAGTCATTTCACTCCCCTTCCTTTGAATGCTTTTCTTCCATGATTGAATTTCTTTAACCCACAATGTTTTCAGATTCTGTTGTCTGTTTTCTATTAGGTGTCCAGTGAAGTAGTAGTTTCAGGCATTAATGTCTGCCAGTTCAGTGCAATATTTTATTTTTTGCCAAGATACCAGTAGTAAACCTGCATTGCCCTGATGATGGAGGCAGCAAGCACCTCTGAAACGTTGGTAAACATCTACCAGACTACATGGTGCAACAACCCAGAAGACAGCCATCTTTGCACTCACCACCATGAAAACCTCAAATCCTACTTAAAATTAATTTGATTCCTCTCTGCTATATTTGGTGCAAAAGATGATGATACAGAAAGAATAATTATGTAGTTGTATGAAATATGTTTGCAAGAAAGATGCACAGTGTCATATTCAGTCAGGTGAATATGATAAATTGTGAGTGGTACTTTCTTGCAGATCCGTGAAAATGACTTCCTGACGTTTGATGCAATGAGGCATGCTGCTCAGTGTGTGGGGCGGGTCATCAGAGGCAAGACTGACTATGGTATCATGATATTTGCAGACAAGGTAGATGGTTCATTGATCTATCACAGTATTGTACAAGAAGTGCACTTCTATGATAATTAATGTTGCGATTTTATTGCAGAGGTTCTCTCGTTCAGACAAACGCAATAAGCTGCCCAAATGGATACAGGAACATCTCAAAGATTCACTGTGCAACTTGTCTACTGAGGAAGCTGTCCAGGTAAAGAAGAACCAGGACTTGCATCTCAAGATGGGACTTTTATTTGTTTCGAGCTCACCAGCATTCAACAAATGTAGTTCTTTTTCCTGCCCCCATTTTTCTTTTGTTTATTGACATCAGCACAGACCATTTTATGGTGCAGGATTATTAATTAGCCTTAAACCCATAAAATGGTCTGTGCTAAGAAAGTTTTGCAAATGCCTCAGTATTGGATGGATTCTTCGCAGTAACCTAGTCAGTAAGACTTGAGGTTCTCACAGCGGGAATTTGTACTAAGAAAGTTTAGAATTTGTATAGGATGGTGCTTGAGAAGAGGGGGACCATGGAAAAAGGACCACAGCTCTGAATCTCACTTTTTAGTGAAGATATCTTTAAAAAAGCTCTTATGTAGAATAAGAACATTTATGTACTTGCTTAATTGTAAGGTCTCGCATGAAAATTATGCTAGATTTCAATGTTAAATTGATAGGAGGCATGAGGTGTAGAGTTCATATGGGTAAAAATTTGATAAGCCAGGATAGCTGAGACAGTATAGTGACTGGATACAGCCTGAATTAATGGTTATCATTTCCCAGCAAAGAACCATTTTTATCTTCACCACAATGTCCAGATGAGCTTTCATTTCCATTCAGCCTTTTATCTAATGGGTATTGGACTTTTTACCTTGGGGTTAAAGCAGGAGAGATGTGAAAACTAACCACTTACTTCCATTTACTGCCAAGGTTAAGAATACATGGAGCTGTACCTCCATCCTTCCACATGTCTGCATGGCATGGTGCTTAATTAAGCATCAGGGGCAACTTTATCCTCACCGTAAATGTGTATCTGGTGCATTTCCTGTTCACTGTGAGCTAAAACAGGGGGATGCTTTTGATTTTGTCTAGAATGTCTCATCAGGGAAGTCCAAGTGGCTATATTCCAGAAGTTTATGTGCCAAAATTATGCACTTATTTCCTCCATTCAAGCTAAATGTTCAGTCTATTGTTCTGCTCTCTAATTTGCTGTTACCAAAGATAATTAGGAATGGATGGTTGTCTGCTTGCAGATTGCTAAACGCTGGCTGCGACAGATGGCACAACCTTTCAGCCGTGAGGATCAGCTTGGTGTGTCACTGCTCACGTTAGAGCAACTACAAAATGAAGAGATGCAAACAAAGCAACAGAAAGCTGCTGAACAGAAACTTTAAGAAAATAAAAATACAGTATCTTACTTTTTTAACTGTTTTTTTCTTTAAATGCAATTGCAGAATGAAGTTATACCAAAAAATCAGTTGTCCCCCACCCCTACTTTCTTAAGTCTGTGTTCTCCAGGCCTCATAATTGCAAGACAATACAACAGGAGTTCATTCACGTCTGAGTACTCCATGGAGTATAGTGTTCCCATGTGCTTGCTTTGCAATCATGCATTTGGTCTTAGTGTCTGATTTGGAAATGTGAAAGGACAGACTTCAAGAAAACTGTTGTGCAGTAGATAACCAATGTAGTGTGCACAACTTATGAAAGATAAGACATAAACAATGTATGGTCAACTTCAGAGGCCAGTAGCTGCCTCTGACTGAAGCTGTCCTTGTGAGCCTGTGACTCAAAAGTCCATTGTTAATTTGAGCTCTGGAGGACATAGAATAACACCTTTGTTATAACGGAACATGTACTATAAATTGTTGTCAAGTATAACTGGCAGCCTGTGACTCAATAAGAAAGAGTGAATGTGGCCTCAGATTTTAAAAGGTTTAGAACCCCTGGTCTAGAGCAGTGGTATTCAACCTGGGGTACGCATACCCCTGGGGGTACGCGAAGACATCTTGGGGGGAACGTGAAATTTAAAAAAAAAATTTTTTATGATAAACACTGAATAATCAGTAATGTAATTTATTTAGGATGTAGATTATATACTATGTATAACTTGAATTATACACCAACAACTTTGGGGGTACAAAGTTGAAGAGAAATTATATCTGGGGGTACGCGAACAAAAAAGGTTGAATACCACTCGTCTAGAGTATTTATTAAATGCTTAATTTTACCTTGCCTATTTATTCCATTATTCCTCCCACCCTTTTAATATCTATAACAAGTATCCTTATACATACTGTATACTGACATGTCTCATTCATGTTGCCTGACCATGATAGTCCAGCATAAATACATGATAATTTTTTTTATGAAAGTCATAATTCTTATTAAAAGTAAAGTTACATTATTGCATACAGTTCACATATATTCTCAGCAGTAAGACATAACTGAAACTCAAAATACTTTCTCTATTATTATGTCATATCAGTCAGGGTTTACTACTCAGTATATTGATTCGGAAGGCACCCTCAGAAAGCCATGAGATGCTGGACATGGCATTTGGAGTTAACAGCAACTGACATGAGAACCTCAAATCTCAGACAATACACATTCTGGTAATCCATAAGCATTTCACAGTAATGAATCATGTTTGCACTTGTGGCAAGAAAAGAATAATGATTCATTAAGTTGCAGCAGAAGACACATTTCACACAATTACAACTCAAAATGTGGGAATGAGGAGAGTGTCAGTGGGTTCTTAGTCTGGAGCAGACTTAAAATTGAAAATTATTCTTAACGAATTTCAGAAGTGCTCGAGTTTATACAAGGTAGAATTGGACTGTGTAAAATCAAGAAGAGACTGGCTGCTTTGAAGGAATTAATAATTCTGACCAGGACTTCTGGATATGACCTTTTATGCTGTCTTATTATTTTTGAAAAACTGAAGAAGAAAACAAAAACATTAGTTGTTCCAGCTATCCAGCTTCTCCTGCTGCTTGTTTGTGTGCCAAGTATAAGAAACCAATGGATGACAGTGCACTCACAAGAAAAATAACATCAAACCAGCGATGGTAAAAATTAAACTGGAGTTCACCTAACACTTGTGTGATGATGGTTCGGTACTCTGCTGGCATGTTCATCCTCATAAGTAGCACTGATGACACAAAGTACATTCCCTGCAACAACATAATTCTGTACTCCCATTCAATGAAGCCAATGAAATACTGTACTCTAATTAATTTTACGTAGGTATTCTGAAATGTGTTAGTGCACTTCAGTGAACTTACAATACCAAAATCAATTAGATTAACATGCCAAGATCAATCTAACATAAACATAACTTTTAGTGCTACCTGGTGGCAGATAGAGGCTAGCAATGATGGAAAATATGTTTCCTAAATTACGATTACATACCATTTACAGTTAACAAAAACAGCATGCAATTTTTGGCATATGTGGAGATTCAGTGTAATTAAATATTGAGATATATTACACATTTACCAGCATAATGTTAGTACCAGTCCCCATCGACAAATAAGGGATTTATCTGAACATCTGAGGATAAGAAATAGTACAGAAAAAGGTCAAAATATGAAAAAAAGACTGGAAAATGTGGCAACAGCTTTGTACCAGTGTCTTCATGCCATTATTTTTCAGACTTTTTATGTTGTAACTCAACATGCGAAATACCATTTTCATTACATCAGCCAAGACATGCAATCACACCCCCAGTCATGGAGAAGTTGCATGGTAATAGCACCAGTTTTGAGAACCCTCTGGCTGATGACGCAAAAAGACAGAGTAGAAACAAACATTCATATGCGTGACTCTCATTCAGTTCTGGGACCTTTAAAGAGAGGCAACGTAGCTTCCAGCGAGTTAGTTCCAAGTGAGTAACCGAATGGACTGACACGATGACACGTGCAGTACATAGTGTGTGATGAAGCCAGAAGCAGTGTTAGCCAGCAGTGACAAGACAACAGTTATAACCCATGTGGAGCTTGGGCATCTATAATCAAGACTGATTTATAAACAAACAAAAAATACAGTCAATAAAATAATTGTTGTATGCAATGGAAATATACCTTACTGCTAAGTACAACACAGTACAAAGCTTCAGGACAGCATTATGTACAGCAGAGGTTCCCTATGTGTGGTCTGCAGACCACTAGTGGTCTGTGGGCTTCATTCAGGTGGTACAGGTATAATAATAAACTTATTTATTCACATCTTTAACATACAGAGCCCGGTGCGTCAGAATTTTTAAACAGGGAGAAAAATCTTCCAAACCCTCAGCAATTATCAAGTGGTCCAGGTAACGGAACTTTTCGAACAACTGACATAGAGTTTACATCTATATTTTTAATTTCCGTACCGAAATATAAAATTAAAATATAAATGTAATTTATAGACAATTTATTAATATTTACATGATGTAACTTATTTTACTTACCACTTAATCTGTAACCAACTGAATTATGTACTTCCCAAGAACCACTGATGGGTCACTAACCTCATTTTGAGAAACTCTGCTCTGTATCATTGGTAGAAGAGGATTGATTATGCTTGAATTTACTTACCATAATTTGTGCCAACACAAGAACAATGATGTCCGATGACTTACTGCTCGAGATGGCATAGAAGAACTGTAACAGAATGACACTGGATATCAACTACGTATATGAAACATTTAATATAGAAGAAAGCAAATTTTCAGATAAAGAACTGACAAAACACCATTATACAAATAAATTCTCATTTATTCTGATAAGTTGAAGACATTCTCTGTTATGACAGAACGAAATTTGGTCTTACTTTAAGGAAAAAACATAAAATAAAGATGTTTAAGAACAAAGTGCTGAAGAAATTATGTGGGCCTAATAACTGAAACAGCAGAAGAATATAGATTATCAAAAAATGAGGAACTTGTCCTTTACTCTTCACCAGATATGGATACCTTGACCATAATAAACAAAGCAATGGAACCACAATGTATTTACCTTGGTGAGAGTAAGCAGTAGACCTCTGATGGAAGTGACCACAATGCAACCCACCAAGAAGAAGGAGATGTGCTGAGACCAGAATGTCACATCAATGTTGATTCCAACCCAATGGACTGCTATTTCCATACCTCGTGTAACTGGATCTTTCTTTCCCACACGATCAAAAACAATGTTGATTGTTGACTGCAACAAGGAATATTCTTATAATACCTGATTAAAGTGAATAATGGACTGGACTGGGTGACATCCATACATTAAAATAAATGGACCTCAAGGGAATTGATACAAAACATATTACTTCAAAGCTGAATTCTTTCACACTTATATAGATTAATGTATACTATATTAATTATATTAACATGAATTATAGTTACTTGGAAATTAAAACAGCCACCATAAGATAATCACTTTAACCCAAAGTTTTTACTTGTAAATTTGCTAGAGTTCACTATGAACGTCTTACTAAGCTTACTATGAAAATCTTCCACATGCAGTAGAGAGAGAAGAAGTAGCCGAGGAAGTTGAAGTACTTCCCCTGGAAAGTTGAGGCCCACTGTAATCGTTCCTGCATAATATGCATATCGTGTGCTTCAAGAAACAGTTGCCGACTCAGTTCCTCCAAACCAGCAATCTCTTGTTTCAGCTGCCAAATATCTCAAGAAACATTATTGAGGAAATATTTCTGACTCACATGCAGAAACAAAGATACTGAATTCTGATCCAATCAACATGGGGGGGGGACAACAATTGCAATTACTGAATTTCATGAACATCTGTTGAGGTGAACTGAAGAGCAAGTTATTTTTAAGACAAAAACACAAAAGAGTTCTAAAAAATTCACACTCCAAATGAAGAATCCTCCAATTAGACAATCAAATAGCATGACAGAAAAAAAATGATTTCCATACTGAAATGGCCATTATTAATGACTGCAAAAATATTTGGTGCTTAAATTTCACTGTTAATCTGTCTTTGTAAACTGTTGTTAACATGCTGCAATTGTTCAATAGCCATTTTCAACATTGGTTACCTTTTTTTTTGGGGGTGGGGTCCTTACTTTTATGTCATTTGATGTGAACAACAATCAGGCTATATGGGATGCTGTGGCTAAGATTTGTACCGGAAACACGCATCACCGTTAATGCAACAACACAATAATGAAGATAAAGCCAAGTTTAAAAAAATTGTATTTCTGCATTGTCAAATCATCTACGAATAATCAATATGGTGAATCAATCTCCAAAACATCAAATTAATAAAAATGTAAGATTATATTCATTTGAAATTACTAATATGTATATGAATGAATATTCCATGAGATGAAATTTTCCAAATCATCCAATATGCAGTACAAAATTTAGATGTAATTTATGACACATTCATAACATGAATTCAAAACTTGGTACATAAAGTTCTGAAATGGAGTTGCTTCCAATTTAATAATATTTTCTACAAACAAGAACATGGCCTTATCTTGGAGCACCCACACCAGGTACATTCTCTGATATTTACAATTTATTGAACACAATAATACATGTAACCCATCTCCCTGAGCAGAAAACATTGTCTATTAAACAGACTTACAAACTATCCTCTCTATGAGATACAGAAACATAAAATAAAAGAAAGACAGAAAATCACAGGTAATAAAAATTAATTACTCAAATACTTTTTTACAAAAAGTAAAGTAAAGCTGTCCCACTACACAAACAGTTAATGATGTGCCAACGCCTTAATGACCTACGATATTTCAATGTGGGTAAAAATGCCACTGATATTCTGTCTTAATGACCTACGATATTTGAATGTGGGTAAAAATGCCACTGATATTCATTCTCTTCTCAAGAGTAACATAACAGTTATAACTGAAGCCTGCGATAGCTTTCGTAATCTTGGTCTCTAGTTCATTTACATTTCTTGACAGATAGTGCAGCAGTAATGCCGTACACTTGTGCTCATTGTCAGACGAACTTTGTCTGAATCTCACAGAGTTAATGACTATTTCTGTAGTTCTCTGTGATATTCCTTGCTCTTCACAGCTTAATACTGAAATAGTCCTTTAACTATTTATGTGATGTTTTGATTACAAAGTCATTCTCTCATTCTGTAAGTTCACTAAATTTCTCAAGTCTGGGACTCAGTGGATAAAGTGTGGATTTTTCAATATGACATTTTTCTTCAAGAAAGGATACTTTCTCCACTTCCTTTGCTGACAGATGTAGTGACAGTCTTCAACATTCCCCATATACCAGAACTGCCCTGTTTGTTCTGTGCCCCATTTACAACTGAGCCCTTCTTGGCTAAAGCAATGCGTTTCTTTTTCGCTAGGATCATGTCCATAGTCTGCAGCAACCGCTTCTCGATTGCTTGTATATCAGATGGCATAACTGGCCTGTAAACAAAGAATGACGTAATTGACATACATTGCAAATATCTAATCAAATGCTGGGGTTTGAACTGTAGCCAGTTGTGTAACAACACAGAAGCTAGTGACTGCTGATGATTCTGATGAAACCAGTATTTCAAAAGCCGTGATAAATTTTTAATTTGTACTTTTTAATTTCTTCACAACTTGATACAAGCTATTTATTATTTATTTAGTGTTCTGTCTGACGGTCCATATGAACAGGATCCTTCCATCCTTTTCTCGGACTGGGACCTGTTCATATACGTTCTTGGCAGATGATCCAGAAGTGGTTTGCCATTGCCTGCTTCTGTGTGTGAATAGAGTAATTGTTGGGATGCCACGGAGGAAAACTCCGTGTTGCCTAGACCAAGGCCTTGCCCAACACAAGTTATAAATTCGGGCACCGCCGGGAATCGAACCCGAGACCCCAGGATAACAAGGATAGCGTTCTGACCGCTAGACCACCGTGGCGGTCGTATTTTGATTTTATTAAAATATATTAAATAATTTCCTACTCCGGGTGATCAGTTTTACAACACTGCAATATTGTTGTCTATTTGTGACGTCTATAGATAGACAACGCACATTTTGCACCACTGAAGTAGTTCTGGTTGTAATGAAACGCGTGACCTTGAGTCCTCTGAAACTGAAAATGTGTTATGTGCGCGTCGTTCAAGGCCGATACAAGCTAACACTTTAAAATCGAATTAGTAAACACTTCCAAATTCAAGTACTGTATTATAATACAATAAATATTCAATACACTCTGCCACCTTAATATTTTTCTTAGCTCAAGTTTCAACCGAATACTAACATGAAAACCGCAAATAATCTGGATTACTATTTCAACACTTACAGTGAGAATAAACGAAACTGGGAGCATCTCATTTTAATTACAATAGACATCTGACACTCCAAACAACTTTATAATCAGCCCATGAGAATATTAAGACCTGGGTTACCAGTAAAGATACTAGTAGATGTCTGGAACATTGAGGACAAAATAGTTTACGTTCTTTACTGGTCAAACATCATGATCAAAAGAATAAGACAGTGGCAAGATTTGTGGGTTCAAGGCAGGAAATAAAAGTCTGTAATTAAGGTCAAAATGTTATGATGTGCTTCCTATTCTTACACACCTTTGGCTCCATATGATGGTAAGTGCTCCAGCTTGTGTTAACCAGTGGCGTAGCATCATGGAACACAGGACACAGACCATAAATCCAACTTCTTCTTCTGAAGAAAGCTGTGGAGGATGCACAATCCAAAAATAATAAAAAAATTAAGAACTATTAACATGTGTGTGGGCAAAGTGCAATATTTTTGTTTTAGTTCCGAGTACCACAATTCACAGTCACACTACGCCACTGGTCTTAAACTATTTTACGGAAAGAAAAAAGAGCACTTACCTCCCTCATTGGTCTCTATGTTCAGTTATCTATTTTTGACAATGCTAATCAAAAGCACAGCTATGATACTTACCAGCAATAGACACAAATTATTTTCTTGACAAAGCTAATCAACGGTAAAAATACTCAACTGCATAAATTATTCTCTACTTACATTTTGTAATACATGAACCAAAACAAAGTATTTTCAAATAAATCTTATAGATTAGAATAAAATATATATTTTATTTCAAACACTCAGTTCTTGAACAATTAGCCATCTCTTATAAATTTTATGAAGTTCAAATTTTAATACAGAACCATACAACACTTTTTTTTAGATTTTCCACAGTAACTCGAGAGAAAATTATTGTAAGACAGACACACACACAAACATGATCTTTTATGAGCTCACTTTATGCAGTTGTACAATTATATAAAAGTGCGTCTTAATCTATATGATATAGTACCTCATAAAATAAGCCATGGATGTATATGGATAACTGACAGCACCAAAGCCTGACAGGAGAGCCATAACAGTCACGCCAATCACACCTATACGGCTTATGCCTTGCTCAATGGATAAGATCCCCTGCTTCGGACTCAATATGGGGAAAGGATCACCCACTTTCCAGAAGAGGTAGATATACACCAGCCATATCAAAATGGTCAATGGTTGTATCATTTGCAGTCTCACTGAAACATTCATATTTAAGTCAAAAATTTCTCACATCCAAAACTTCATGACAAACAAAGCTTCATATGTGTTATATACAGTGCTTTCTACATTTGTGAAGAAGTTTCAAAGAACAATTATGATTACGGCATGTAATATTCAGGTTTTATTGTCACCTAATTCCAAAACTAAGTGAGTTTAATGCAAGAGGATCTCTGGTATTATTGATATAATATTTTGTGACATTATTTTTCCATTTATTTAATTTTCATGCTATAATTCACATTATCAACATAATATTTCACATACTAAGATTATGTTTAGAGAAAACTGGATCTAGATATGGAGAGTAGCTGCAGATATAATGAGTAAGCAATCACGGAGAGCCAGACATGGCTTATACGCCAGCGTACAGGTTGGGCATTCACAATAAAAAGTGCTTTACATTATGAAATTTACCACTTGGGACAAGACAGATGCTTTGGAATAGACACAGGAATGAATGAAGGTATAGAAATTCAGTCTTTGAAGGTTAGAAACTTACACATAACAGTTGATACAGTAGCACTGGATACAGTAGTAATGAATACAAACTGGTTAACTGAGGAGGGCAGTTGTAAAAATGAGGAACTAATTATATTAGTAGGAACAGTTTGGAACATATTTCCTCATGGATAGTAAAGTCGGAAAAGCAGCTGAGTAGAATTTATTAATAACACACAGAAAATTATTCAGCTAACTGAAAAACCCATGTTCTTTGAATTCCCCATGCAGAATCCCATTCCAAATTCCCTATTACCAACCAAATGGATGAAGATCTGAGAACCCTAACAAACTATGGCATGAGACCATAACAGGTCACTGGGGTTTAAGACAAGGAAGGCTTATTGCTGTAATTTGTTTTTGATGTGATTTATTGTTACTACTACAACAACTACCATGGTTATGATGAATTTGTAAAATAAAAGATGAAAGAATTTTGCAGGAATGGGACTGAAATAATTGGCAGTTATAAAGCAGAACTGGGAATCTATAAGAATGGGGATCCTCAATGAAAATTAAGTTATAAATTTCTTACTGTAAAATAGTGTTAACTATAATTACATAAATATGGTTACCCACCAAAAATTGGCAACACAATGAAGGTCAGTGGCAAATATAAGTATGAAGTAGTCTGTGGGATTATGGATAAGTGGATTTTGTCATTTGGCTAGTAGATTTAAGTTATATTTTTGGAACTCTACTGATAATCTATGCAGTCACACTTACCAAACCTTATGTTGCTCACTATGAAGTATCCTATGTAAAATGGAATGAGGACAATTACCATGAAAAGCATCACATACAGCACGAGGTTCCAATGGAAATAACGAGAACTGTAAACATAAAGTTAATCATCTATTCATTTACAAGGTAGAATTAAAATAATTCAAAGTATACTTCAAGAGTTTAAAGCCTAGCATTCTATGGCAGCATTTGAAGGCAAATGTATGCAAGGATATAGGCTTTGTCAAAGAGAACATAGAAATCTTTAAATGTTTTCCAAACTGTTGGGTGTTTTTATGGTCCAATTTAAAATGATAAGGCTTTATAACATCAGTACCAAACCCAGATTATAAAGCATTTTCATTTCATTAGATGAAAGAGGCAATAATTTATTGAACCTACATAACAGTGAAAAAGCAACCAATGCTTTTTATGTTTGCTAGTATTATGGCATTAAACTCTCCATACTAAATCTCTCTCGTACTAATCTTCAACTACGCCAAAATCCTACTGTGCACAAGTCACTTACCTTGAATCCAAAACTCCAAGAATCTCAAAAATTATTAGTTCGAACATGGTGCATGACAATGAAAAGGTCACTGAAAATATAAGTTGCACTAATCTATGACGGACCTCATAGTCCCGAAATAACTTCTTGACAAAAAATACCCAACCACCTACGAAGAAAAATACCTGCAAGGAAGAAGAGTGATAGTAATAATAATATTACAAATTTCATTTGACACGACGGGTCACCAGGATCTGGTGCGAAATAACACTGTTCAAACAATACGTCTAAATTTACCTGTGTTACAAGAATAACTAGGGTATCTTCTATGAAACCCATATTATTAATATATATATCAATTATAACATAAAACAAGAATAATATGTGCTCTACTTTTTACACGCCAGATCTTATATCACAATCCTGTCTCTTGTTCCGCCCGGTTAACATTTGCTGCCAATCGAACTACAAGCAGGTTGTAAAGTATTTTTACATTATCAAGGCTCTACCTATCTTCCAAAAATACAATATTGCTAAAATAAACAATTTATGCATTGGATGCTATATTTTCAACTGTAATTCTAATACGGACATATATATATTTAGTTAATTCCCATTTGACAGGATCACTTCATATATTGGTCAACCTGAGAATTACGATTACTGTTGCGACGTTAAAGTAGGGGAGGAGGGATGTTGTTCGTTTGACATATTTGTGAAAACATCAGTAGAGTAACAGAAATATAAATCATGGCTCTTACTTGTGTTTATTTGGCAGCAGATGTTTACATGGTTTGCTTACAGCATGCGCTATCAACTGAGAAAGAAGAGGTTATGGGTCTTCTTATAGGAGAGGTTAGGATTGTAAAATTAACATTTTTCGTTCATTTTGTGTAATACCGAGCCACACTGAAATAGTAAAAGGTTGCTATGCTACGAGCTTCATTGCTAACGACGGGGCATCAGTTGCCGTCTCCATAAGCTTTCAGAAAAAATGACTTCAAATAATTCGTAGGATTTGAGGTTTTCACGGCGGTGAGTTTGAAGATGGCAGTCTTCTGGGTTGTTGCGCCGTGTAGTCTGGTAGAAGTTTACCGACGTTGCAGAGGCCCTTGCTGCCTCCATCATCAGGAGGATGATTGAGAAGGAAGGTGGCCCTCCGTTCCACGGCCTCAGTGGGGTCCTTGGGCAGCCTCCTATAAATAGCGGTCCCTAAAAGGGCCACAATCTTCCCGTTGTAGTCGGCGTTGCCTTCCTCTGGCAGGGAACCAACAGCCTTCTCCACACCGCTGAGGAAGCCCTTGATGTGCAGCAGGCCTTTACCCAGGGCTGAGTAAGCGTCACCCTTATGATTGAGGCAGGAAGGACCTCTAAAATGTCGGTAAACTTATACCAGAGCCATCTTCAAATAATTCAGTTGATCTTGAACATAGTAATAGGTTGGCAGTTGCACAAATTTTTATAGTTCTGACTTGCTTTTCAGATAGATTCCGTAAAGGTTGCACATATATCTGCTGTGGTTATGCTTAGGCGTTCTGATAAACGGAAGGATCGAGTTGAAATTTCACCTGAGCAATTAACAAATGCAGCCATTCAAGCAGATAAACTGACTCACGAACTAGGACAACCTATGCGAGTGCTTGGTTGGTACCATTCACATCCACACATCACAGTATGGCCTTCTCATGTTGGTAAGGATATATTTATGTGCAAAAATATTAGCAGTAATTATTGATGCACTTTTATGTGGTGCGATGGAGTAAAAAATAAGTTATTCTTATGCTTCAAAATTAAAATTATCTCTATATTTAGCATATAAGTTGGTTAAAGTGCAGATTATCTCTCAACCTGCATGGTCCATGTCCCCCCCCCCCCAAAGCTCATTCCTGGTTTGGCATGATTATGTTAGCTTTTCTTGTTATGAAGACTAATACTAATCTGCTGCATTTTTATCCATAATGTCTTTTTTTTCAGATGTGAGGACACAAGCTATGTATCAAATGATGGATGAATGTTTTGTGGGAATCATATTTTCTGTTTTTACAGAAGATAAGTCCACAAAAGTAGGTATTAATTACTGATATTAATCATATACCAATAATACTATTTGTTTCCTGAGTGCAGGAATAAAATTATCACGTAGAGTTCATATTCCCCATCACATCACAAATGACAGCCTTGCCATGCAAAGGTGGTTAAGGAAACACTATTATGGGTTGAACTGATATCCATGTGAGCCCAATGTTGCTGGTGGCATTGATATCTGATCACTGTAAACTTTGTCTTCTTCTGCAATGCACAGGAACAGCAGGTGCAGGTGACATGTTTTCAGTCAACTAATCAGAGTCCAGAGGGTGAAGCACCACAGTTTATTCGTCTGGAAGTACCTTTACACATAAAACCAACTACAAATCTTTCCAAGCTTTGCTTACAGGTGAAGTATATTTTTATGTATTCCAACGTTTAATATAAAGAGGTCTAAGTAAATGGCCATTGTTTAGAAAATTGTCCTGCTTGTCTGACTCTGGTGCCCACCCAGCTTCCTGTCCAATGGGTGCTGGGGCACATACCTCAGGAGAAAAGCAGCTGGGCTGTGAATGTGACCAGTCACCTTTAGTGCTGAGGTCAAGAAAGAGTGGAGCTATACCTACCTCCACTATACACATCTTCATGGTGTTAACAACTTTCCCTTTTTTAGCAAATGAAAGGTACTCAGGACAGAGGAACCCAAATGAATATTTTTCTGAAGATTGCTATATTCTGGGTTGTTGCGCCGTGTAGTAAGGTAGATGTCCAACATTTCAGAGGTCGTACTGCCTCTGTCATCAGGGCAATGAATGAGCCAATCGAGCGGAAAGTGCTAGGTTTATAGGGACCGGCTCATTCATCACCCTGATGACGGAGGCAGCGTGACCTCTGAAACATTGATGGACATCTACCATACTACACAACACAACAACCCAGAAGACAGCAATCTTCATATTCACCTCTGTGAAAACCTCAAATCTGAAAATTTTTCTGATGATATGCATTTATTCCAGACCCTGTAGTGAGATTCTGTCCTTTTCTTGTTAATTTTGTGTATGGTTTTCTGGTATCATAAAGCCTATTAAGGTGTGTTGATATTATGCCTTGCAGTCAATGGTGGAGCTGCCTGAAATCCTGTTCCAAGAGGAGAAAGATAGTTATGATTTGACTACCAAGCTCAAATTCCTCAGTGTCCTTGCACAGCTCAACAATAAAGCTGGTAAGTCTCAGTTTACTGTCTGAATTATTTTCATTGTACCAAAGATCTGAGCTTGGTGTTAGGAAACAAGTGACATATCAATTTAGCTTGTCAGTAGTCACTTCACATTAAAGATCACTTCTCTGGACTGTTTAATTAGTAAATGATGCTTATCATTTCATATTATTGTTTCCAGTTCTTACTAAAGCTTTGTGCCACATCACAGAAGTGGTGTCAGGCCCACTTGTTACAGCCCTGGAACAACGTAAGGCTACCAATGTCAAAAAGTATGAGGAATTGTTACAGGAGAAGCAGAAGCTAATTTCACTGAAATCATGTTCATGATGTAACTCTTCAATTATTTCAGCCTTTGAGTATGTATAATTATGCTAATGTTTAGTAAAATTAAGCAAACTTACATTTATAATACTGATGAATAATAATATAATTGAATACATTTTACTGTAAATATATGTTTAATCTGCATATTATTCACATTTTATTAACATTTATCCTATGGAAATAGAGGACTTATACTCTCATATTATGGGATTACCAACCAGACTTTGGATTAAAAGTTTTTAGTGGTATGCTTCTGTGACACGTGATGTGTGGTATTAAACTCAACAGTTCTTGGATTCTGTATTGCAGTACATGTCATCATTAAGCAATTAACACTGTAATAAAAGAGACCAGAAGATAATTAAACAAAAGGGGTTTTTATGCTGTCACCTCAACCTGAAAACTGATGAACTGAGTTTGATCAAATATTATTTTTGAGTTCCTTGCTCATCCACCCCATCTGTTCTATGTTATGGTCAAAAGTTCACTTTAACGCAAATTAAAAATCTAGAGCCTATGGACAAGCTGCGTACATTTCATAACTTTCTAAAACAGCTTGACAGTTTATTCATAATCTGTAGCACCATACTGGTAGTTACATGGCTGTAGGTAAGACAGATGACTTTTCTCTCAAGTCAGTCTTAAAATAAGATAAAGGAAATAATTGTGCTGATAATTATTTTAAATTACAGTATGACTACATGCCATTTTGATATGACAAATTAAGACTAAAACTCTCGGTATAATGAACTGTAATTCTGGTTCCTATTTGGGTAGTTCAGGTTTTGAAACTTGGCCCTGCGATATTTTTACAGGCTGTCTTCTACTTTTCCGTAGTCCCTCCAGATAAATGCTGAAATATTACCCAAAATAGGCTATGGCTGCTTTCATTTTGCAGACTGTTTTCCTCACAACTGAACGATATAGTACATATCCTGTACAGCTCACAAAACATTTCAAAATAATTCAGAAAATTACACTGAGGGATAGCCTTGTAGACAGAACAAGTAAAGGAAAGAGACCAGATACTTTATAAGGATATAATTGACAATATACAAAAATGAGTCCTCTTTATTTCTAAATTGAAGTTATTCAACTAAAGCATCATGAATAAATTATGCAAATTCATTATTAAAGGCACCATCATTCTGACAAAAATGCTTCATACAGACATATATATATAGTAATTAATTAAATGGATTTGCTCATCTATAAACCATGTGCGTAAGTCTACATATCGGTTAAGGAGAAATATAGAATCTCAAACCTGACCAATAATATTTGATTCCAGAAGCCTGAGAAACTTGTGATACTGAAAGTAAATAGACAAGAATGTAACATATTCTTACTATTGTCCGCAAGTTTCCTTTTCTGTAAGGAATGGCGCAGACTTGTAGCTGTGGAAAACGATTACTTTTCCATAACTGTCCATAAATGAGACATTATGCAGTACAGTATCATAAAATGATTTAAAATTTTTATACATCAAGAAATCTCAAGAGGAGTGCTTAATAGGAAGCTACAGAAGAATGGAGGTGGGTTTGACAGATCATGGTGGAAACCACGTCAAATTCACATTTGGTGATGGTGATAGTTGGGGAAGCAAACCTCCACTATACACATCTTCATGGTGTTAACAACTTTCCCTTTTTTAGCAAATGAAAGGTACTCAGGACAGAGGAACCCAAATGAATATTTTTCTGAAGATTGCTATATTCTGGGTTGTTGCGCCGTGTAGTAAGGTAGATGTCCAACATTTCAGAGGTCGTACTGCCTCTGTCATCAGGGCAATGAATGAGCCAATCGAGCGGAAAGTGCTAGGTTTATAGGGACCGGCTCATTCATCACCCTGATGACGGAGGCAGCGTGACCTCTGAAACATTGATGGACATCTACCATACTACACAACACAACAACCCAGAAGACAGCAATCTTCATATTCACCTCTGTGAAAACCTCAAATCTGAAAATTTTTCTGATGATATGCATTTATTCCAGACCCTGTAGTGAGATTCTGTCCTTTTCTTGTTAATTTTGTGTATGGTTTTCTGGTATCATAAAGCCTATTAAGGTGTGTTGATATTATGCCTTGCAGTCAATGGTGGAGCTGCCTGAAATCCTGTTCCAAGAGGAGAAAGATAGTTATGATTTGACTACCAAGCTCAAATTCCTCAGTGTCCTTGCACAGCTCAACAATAAAGCTGGTAAGTCTCAGTTTACTGTCTGAATTATTTTCATTGTACCAAAGATCTGAGCTTGGTGTTAGGAAACAAGTGACATATCAATTTAGCTTGTCAGTAGTCACTTCACATTAAAGATCACTTCTCTGGACTGTTTAATTAGTAAATGATGCTTATCATTTCATATTATTGTTTCCAGTTCTTACTAAAGCTTTGTGCCACATCACAGAAGTGGTGTCAGGCCCACTTGTTACAGCCCTGGAACAACGTAAGGCTACCAATGTCAAAAAGTATGAGGAATTGTTACAGGAGAAGCAGAAGCTAATTTCACTGAAATCATGTTCATGATGTAACTCTTCAATTATTTCAGCCTTTGAGTATGTATAATTATGCTAATGTTTAGTAAAATTAAGCAAACTTACATTTATAATACTGATGAATAATAATATAATTGAATACATTTTACTGTAAATATATGTTTAATCTGCATATTATTCACATTTTATTAACATTTATCCTATGGAAATAGAGGACTTATACTCTCATATTATGGGATTACCAACCAGACTTTGGATTAAAAGTTTTTAGTGGTATGCTTCTGTGACACGTGATGTGTGGTATTAAACTCAACAGTTCTTGGATTCTGTATTGCAGTACATGTCATCATTAAGCAATTAACACTGTAATAAAAGAGACCAGAAGATAATTAAACAAAAGGGGTTTTTATGCTGTCACCTCAACCTGAAAACTGATGAACTGAGTTTGATCAAATATTATTTTTGAGTTCCTTGCTCATCCACCCCATCTGTTCTATGTTATGGTCAAAAGTTCACTTTAACGCAAATTAAAAATCTAGAGCCTATGGACAAGCTGCGTACATTTCATAACTTTCTAAAACAGCTTGACAGTTTATTCATAATCTGTAGCACCATACTGGTAGTTACATGGCTGTAGGTAAGACAGATGACTTTTCTCTCAAGTCAGTCTTAAAATAAGATAAAGGAAATAATTGTGCTGATAATTATTTTAAATTACAGTATGACTACATGCCATTTTGATATGACAAATTAAGACTAAAACTCTCGGTATAATGAACTGTAATTCTGGTTCCTATTTGGGTAGTTCAGGTTTTGAAACTTGGCCCTGCGATATTTTTACAGGCTGTCTTCTACTTTTCCGTAGTCCCTCCAGATAAATGCTGAAATATTACCCAAAATAGGCTATGGCTGCTTTCATTTTGCAGACTGTTTTCCTCACAACTGAACGATATAGTACATATCCTGTACAGCTCACAAAACATTTCAAAATAATTCAGAAAATTACACTGAGGGATAGCCTTGTAGACAGAACAACTAAAGGAAGATACTTTATAAGGATATAATTGACAATATACAAAAATGAGTCCTCTTTATTTCTAAATTGAAGTTATTCAACTAAAGCATCATGAATAAATTATGCAAATTCATTATTAAAGGCACCATCATTCTGACAAAAATGCTTCATACAGACATATATATATAGTAATTAATTAAATGGATTTGCTCATCTATAAACCATGTGCGTAAGTCTACATATCGGTTAAGGAGAAATATAGAATCTCAAACCTGACCAATAATATTTGATTCCAGAAGCCTGAGAAACTTGTGATACTGAAAGTAAATAGACAAGAATGTAACATATTCTTACTATTGTCCGCAAGTTTCCTTTTCTGTAAGGAATGGCGCAGACTTGTAGCTGTGGAAAACGATTACTTTTCCATAACTGTCCATAAATGAGACATTATGCAGTACAGTATCATAAAATGATTTAAAATTTTTATACATCAAGAAATCTCAAGAGGAGTGCTTAATAGGAAGCTACAGAAGAATGGAGGTGGGTTTGACAGATCATGGTGGAAACCACGTCAAATTCACATTTGGTGATGGTGATAGTTGGGGAAGCAATTTAATTTTGTGGAGGACACTTCAGTTCCATTGTATGATAAATTCCTATGTTTACCTCATGAAATTATGCCCAACCATTTCAAGGTCACTACTTCATGTTCTTGGCTATCAATATAAATTACAAAAGTTCTTCATTCTATAATTTTCTCTATTCCCAATTTAATCATTTTCTGGTCCTCAAACTTTGTTTTCAAATACTTCAAATTCTCTCAAAATACATCAAGTTCCACATGTACACAAAAAAAGGCAAAACAATTCTTTTAAGTAACAAAATATTTGGGATTTACAGATGTAATTTAGAAGGCAAAACAATTCTTTTAAGTAACATTAATATTTGGGATTTACAGATGTAATTTATCCTGGCTTTGAGTTAAATTGCATTTAAGCCATCTGTTTACTTATTTTTATAAGTATTTTCTAATCTTTGTTAAAATACTTGTATTAGTATATATACTGTTTAGTGAGACTGCTGCTGTTAGTGAAGAAATGAGTCAGGAATCTGCTAACACTAAGCATAGCTGAAGATCAGGATTTTTTTCAATAAGATTGTGACTAAAAATTAAAGTTTTAATACAATCCGGTAGAATAACAGGCTTTTTAAAAAGCTCCTACTAATAAACAAATTAGTGGAGGTTCATTACAATGTGTACAAATGTATAGACATGTTACACTCACTTTCTTTTTAGTACACGAGCCATCCAATTCTCAAAAACAATGCTACATTACATAACTAGGCCTATAAAAGCGGCATGTGTTGACTGTTAGATTTTTCAACTCTGAACTGTCTCAAAACACTCTGACAGTTCTCTAACCTTCATGGTTTTAAACATAAGTATTGTTCTATACTATGTAACATTTTTCTTTTACTTCAATAATCAAAGGCGGTGGTGTAAAATTCACTACAGTTTATATTATTCCACAAGGTAAGACTTTTTCAAAAGGAATATTACATAATGTGATAAAATAAAATAATTCCTTAAACTATATGTACAGTTTTTCGCAACTCAGCATAATCACTGCTAATGACTGCAACTGCCACTCAAATGAACATACTCTCCAGCACCAATAACAGCTTGCAGTTTCATAGCTAGTGCCTACAGTCATGCTAGCTCTCAGCCTTCAGTGGTACCTGCACAAGACAGGCAGTTCACTCAAGATTACGAGCCAGCAACAAAACACAAATATTTTTTTCTAAAAATATATAACTGCCACGAAAGCTTCACATACCACAGTAAAAGCTTTAATAAATTGATGTACCATTTTCAATGTACATTTGATGGAAGTGATTGTTTTCCCCAACTGAAAATGCTGCTTTGTCATTTTAGTCATGGTTGCTAGGGAAACTTAAATTAGCAGCAAGTATGATAAGTTCTTAGTTACAAAGGACAAAAGAAAGCACAAGGACAGGACATGGTTCCAGGGCTATGATTTTATTTTTAAATACTGCAGAAACATCAATACGTAATGAATGTCAGGAACTTATACTTCACACTGAAAAGTGTTATAATACAGTACAGCACTGATTATCCAGGATTCAATTATTCATGGTCTCAGACTGTATCTAATATGTTGTTATATTTTTCTTATCTTCAGTTTACTTCATGGAAAATCAAGATGATCATTATGTTGACTTTTTACAAGTTCATGGGTGTGTAATTATATAATAAAGAAAGAGGCCAACAGAAAAATCAACAAAAACTGCAGACTTTCTGATAAAATGACTACGATGTTTTGCAATGTAAATACATATGTTTCTGTGTATAAGTTCCTAATTTGTTTACATGGATGATTATAATTCTAATAAAATATAATTTCCATTACCATGTTTTTCAATTGCATGGGCCCCTGCTCCCCCCAATTACCACAGATAATCAGCACTCCATTGTATATATTCTAACTTATAATATACTGTTTGAAATGCACACACTAAACATAATACAGAAGATATAATCATATGGAAATGTCTACAGTAAAACTTTGTCTGCAGTTCGAGGGGCATTAAGGCAACACCAACAAACTTCAGAAACTGCACATTTAAATAATGGTCTAGTTCCAAAACCTGAACTGCCCTAAGAAAGATAAAATAACAATTAATAACAGTATCACTTAAAACCCACAAATAAAGAAAGATAAATAATCTTGTTTCCAATAAGCATTTTCAATAAATAATGGGTGTGTTAAATTATTAAATAAAAATGTGTAGACATGAAAGTTAACTTTAATTCACACCACAATGAATGGTGATTCAACAATTGCTAGGTAATGAAAATATAGTGCCTTATTCTGACACAAATGTAGATCACACATCTTTGGCAATTGGGAAAAACATATGTTCCGATATGACTAGACCTCAAATTTAAACCGCTACCAGTAATATGCAAATACATATAACATAGAAGGTTACCTACACCAATAATAAAGGTATTGGGAATAATAGTACTGCATCATTTTAATAGCATTATTTCACAATGCCCACTTAATTTTATTCACAAAAAAGTATTGATGTATAAATGAAGCAGTCTCTCAATGTTGAATTAAGAATGTTCATAATTAAAATGGTGGTTGATGTTTAGAAAAGTGCCTCCAAGTGTAATCTTACAAATTTCCTGATATCTATACATCCAGTGAGTCATTCATGAGGTTATTCTATTACTTTCATTGCTATGATGATTATCACTGGCAAAGAGGATAAACAACTTAATATGAGTTCTGAACCAAGTATTCTTTACATCTCCAGAAGCGTTCATACAACTGAAGAATCTGCATCTAGATCTGGCCAAGTAATGAATATATGATTCCTTGAATGACAGTCTAGTGTAACTTAGACCATCAGTCTCTTAGAATTAAGAGAATGAAATGGAATTTCTTATTCTATGTGGTACTGAGTCTCCATTTTATATTAATATCACTGACTTTTACAATTTTTCTGGAAGTGTTTGAGAAGGAGAACTGAAATATTATAGAAGACTCTACATCTGAAGGCAGAACCACATACTGACAAAATTTATCAACAGAGGTGCTTCTCAAAGTTCAAAGCATATAATACCTGAATGTGAGCTATCATTACTGCCTGGTTATTATCTCATGGCCAAATGGCCAAGGAAAGTCATGCCAACCCCCTTCTTCTCAAACCAATACACATTTCTGCTCTGTATATCCTGCTCAGGCATGAGAACAACCAGAAAGTAGTAGTATACCCTGGTTAAATCTGCAAGTTTTGAGGGGGAGAAAAATGCAGTCTTCACCAGACTGTTCAGTTTATACTTCAGTATTTGAACCATCATAGTCCTGATAGAGGGCGACTCTATCATGTGAGATGATAGCTTCTGGATCCATTGAGAGTATGCTGTCTGGAGACACCATTGTCTCCACATCTCCCTGGTCACCAGCCTGGGTCCCATATGTCCGTTGCAGGATGGAAAGGCCTTCCACAGGGCTCTGAATGCTAACTACACCATGCTGACAGTTCCGAGAGGGCTGAAGTACGTATGGCACAAATTTATGCATGGACCCATCCCTTCCAGGGCTTGCATGGTTTGATGAATTTGGAGATGATCGATAATTCTGGTCAGGAAGAAAGACGCTTGAAACAAAAACTTGAAAAAAATTACTAAAAAATGCTGAGAACCTGATGCAATAATCAATTTTCATTTTCAGTACTGCTTACAGATAGTGGAATGGATGAATAAATGAACGAACAATTTTCATTAAATACTTGATAACACTGTATCACCTACTGAGATTATGTGATACCATGATAACAGTGAATCAGCGGGTAGGATGATTGTGAAGGAGTATGCAAGAAATGGAGATAATCTATTCTTTAATCCTACCCCGGCATTTGCCTGGATGGACTGACATGTTGAAGATCATCATGACAGATGGTTCCCAGCTAGAATTAAATGTTTACTACTGAATGTGAGACAGATACCACATGGCAGTATGAATAGTTAACATGGACAATGAGAGCACAGTGTATAAATACGGCCACTGACAGACAGCAGCAAACTGAATCTTAAGGACAAGCCTGGATTTGGCCAAGGCCATGGGACGAAGCAGGTGGGTAAAGCCCCAGAAGAGAAGAAAGTGCAGGGGCTATGCCCTGGGGAGCAATCATGCTGGAAAAAGGCCTGGATGGTAAAGCCCAGTTAGGAGAAAGCCAGAGGGGGAGGCCTGGGAATGCCCCACGTGGATGCAAGCCCAGAAGTGGCTTAGCCCTAGGGGTGGCAAGCCTAGGGAAGTATAATCTAGGACAGGAGAAGCCCAGGGATGTCTTCTAAGTCCAGTGAGAAGAAGGTCTTGGGAGGGCAAAGCCCCATGGTGGGCAATGTTGACAGGCCAAGTCAGGGAAAGTAATCACTGGGATGAAGTTGGGAGGAAGCTAAGGGCATCATAAGCAAATGCCCAGCAGGTAACAGAATCCTAGGGAAAAAGGTCCACTGGGACAAACCCTGGGGACTAAGAATACCGAGTGTAAGACCTGGGGGTCACTTTGCCCCTTGGGTTCTTAGTTCCTATGGGCAGTCTCTGTAGGAGTTGACTGAAAGACATGACCAACAGACAGACAAACATATGGACATCTAAAAACTGCAATGAACACTTTAACATTGCCATAAGTGTATACCACACTTATTTTAGTAAAGATAAAATAAATTATCTCCTCATCGATATCAGACATCTGCTGTTGCCCGCCATGGAACCTTACAATTGGGTACTGGAGAAACAGAATGGAAAGAGGAATGAAATTTGGAGCAACTCTTTTGCAACCAACACACCGTTAAATGGGAACGGACAACAGCAGGATGCAAACTGTGATATGAAATGACAAGAATGGCGGTGCAGACTCTGTAGCCAGTACAACAAATCGCTGACTTCTGCAAAGAGAACATACACATTATGCACTTTCCCTTATTATTAAGACTGCCATAATCACTGTAATACTGGACATACCTGGTAAGAGATTGGACTAAAGCCTTTGAACCAGTTGAGGAATATCTGTGCTGACAGGAATAGTAATGTGATGCAGAATCCAGCCAACGAATAGACAGAGATATAATTGAAGCCTCGCCTGAGAATAGACAATGATGTGAAGCTCAGTTGCTGCAGAGTGATGGAGATTATCACAATGTTGATTGCTGATGCATGGATACAGGAGCTGATCTTAGAAGGTCCATATGCGAAGTAGATGTTGTATCGATCCACAAAGTGTTTCAATAACATGTACAACAGACCTGGTAATATAAATGCCAACTTCAGCACTGTTTTCACCCTTTGGAATATTATTGAGGTACAATAATATAAAGCAGATAATATATTTTTAGAAAATTAATTCTTGCATGAACAACGAGATAACACAGCAGGTAAATGTCCTTTCTCATCGTCCTTACTACCTAACTACCTGCTTGCAGTGTGATGCACTCACTCACTCACTCTCCTACTGAACAATTAACTAATTCCATAATACATTTTCCCTGAGCAGATAAGTTCAAATCCTTTAATTGTTTGTGTTATAACGTTTACAGCTCTACAAAGTACATACTCAAACAAGATTTGCCAACTTACCAAATGGAGTAACAAGGGGACAGGCGAGACTATACATGGTTGTCATAGCAAAAATAAGCAGCATCCATGCATACTGCACACCAAATGGAAATTCCCATAATATGGTTTTACGAACACTTGCTGTTTCTGCTTGTGACCTGTGACAATACAAACAGATGTCTAAACTATATTGTGCTAGTCAAAATTCTGAACTGTACATGGATACTGTCAAACTAACACTGTGTATGCTACCATATACTGAAAAGTAAATAAATAAGCAAGGAAGTAGAACTTGGTCAAGAATTTATAACATTCTTATTTTAAGAATATCAAATTAAGATACAGCACTTGTATGTCAGCTTCCAGTTGTTTTCTAATAAACTTTCTCAACCTTCTTTACGAACACCAAGCATTTCCTTTTCAAAAGGGGAATGAACATTCAAACTTAACGGCTGGCAGTGAAAATATAAAAACTGTTTTTGTGTTTAAATAAAATGATGCAATAGTATTTTCGAGCTGAACAGTGATTCATGAATAACACAAGCAAAACGTCTGATGTGGTATCAACTTTCATTCCCAAAATACAATTAAACCTCTTAAGCTGAAGCTTGACTAAATAATATTTAAAAATTCAGTCCATACTGCAAAGAAAACACACCTCACCATTACAAAGAATAGCTGGTTAATGCTGTTTAAGGGCATAATCATTGTGTATTCTGAGAATCATACTGAACCCATAAATACAGAATACAAACTTACTAACTGTTAAAGCAGCTTCTTGTATGTATCACTAGGCTTTAACAGGTTAAAGATAAAAATCTTCAAGATTATCATTGGATACTGGTTATATGTCTGGTATATGAATGAGATTCCATTGAATAAGTTCCTATAAATTAAGATTCACACAGTGAAGCCAGATGTTGAGGATAATTTGAGGTTGGGAGTTCTGGTGCACTGTGCCTCACGTTGCGGGAGATAAAACGCGTAGACATTGTCTTCCCATAATGTGTTAACTTCATTCTGAGAGCAAACAACCAAGCAAGCCACTTAACTGAAGTGGTGGTTGTGTCTCAACACACAGGAAACATCATCCTTGCACATAACGGGTACATAGTGTTGCATAAGTACCAGTTCAGTGGCTTGCTTAGTTGTCTGCACTCAGAATGAAGTTAACACATCATGGGAAGACAATGTCTACGCGTTTTACCTCCCGCGACAATGTGCGGATTTAGGTTAAATGTAGTTAGCTTATATTCAATGTTCGGTATGCTGCAACATGCATAGCAAATTTTTAATTAAAACCAGAATCTGTGATATTTGATAATATATAACCATCATGCAGACACCAAAGTGTTTCCGTATCACCAAGAAGACAAAAGTTTAATTTCAATTATAAATAAAAAAAATTTTATACCAGTACTAAACTTAATTAAATGCTGACTTATTCAAACTTCACCATAACACACATTAAAACAGGCATTTATGAAGTTAAATATTGTGACCGCAATATTACACAATACGTGTAATGTTAATTTTCAAATATCCTACTTGCTGTTAACTTCAGCCATTAGTTCCCTTTTTATACCAATATTTTTTCCAAGAAAACACTTCATACTTAACAACGAACATGGAATTTTGTTCCAATTACCTTGCAAGACAGAGTCTAACTGTATACACAAACAGCTCTGGGAAGCGAATCAATTCCAGTGCAGTTCCGATAAAGGCAGATGTGATAACATAGTTCACAAAAAATGCTCCTTTGTCAGGTAGAAACAAGCATTCCCATCTGTAAGTTTCATTGCGGGCATGGATTGTCCAGTCAACAAATGCCTGAGCACTGTGGAAAAATTAAATACAGTCACAAACAAAATAAAAACTTGAGAGACAAAGAATTAAGAGATGAATGAACTTAAAAGCATAAAATGACATATCAAAGCCCTTCACACTAGATGTGTTAAGCAAAAGAAAAGTATTGTACAAAGTTTGTAAAAATACTTCTGACTCAGCCTGTATATTCCCAATCTTGTGTTTCTACAATTGGAAAAATTATGCTATACACTGGGACAATACTGTAAGTTGTCATTTCCTGAGTTGTGATGCTTTCTAGTTCTGTAGGTGGTTACCAAATTTTGGAGACAACTGGTAACCACCTAGAAGATCACATAGTGTCACATCCCAGACACTTACACATGGCATCTTCAGTGCCATGAGAACATCAATCTCAGGGTTAGTACCAATTAAATCACAGTACATACCTAGTGAGACCTAAAGATGGCAGTATCAACACCATGAAAAGCAGGAAAAAGAATGTCTTGCGCATGATAGAGTGGTTCTGCTCAGAACGTGTCCAGTGTGAAATCCACTGGTCTGAGTATGAGACCAACACTGGTAGAAGTGCTGCTACTGTCCAAAGCAAGAGTGTTGGAAGGAATTCTGATAGAACAGGACTCTGAAAATAAACCAAAACTTCCACCAATGAACAATAATTCAATAGAAAGTACAAAACACATTACACAAATTTTCTTATAAACTGACAGGTATGCTGATGAGTGGTTAACTTAACAAGTTCCCACCTTACATGTTTGTGTGTCTGCCATAATGTTATTACCAACTGCACAAAACTAAAAAGTAAAAGATTAGAGTGGCCACTAGTGGCATAATATTCATAGTAACTTTCATGAAAATCAGTCAGCTGTTTTAAAGTTCAAAGGATCGACACATCTCTTATACCTACTTACCTATGTGCTCAAAGAATAAACTCAGTCCTCACAATCAATGCTTTGTGATCCGCTACCGTGTGCATCAAAGGATCTTATCCATAAAGACTCCTATTTGTCACTGGGCTGCATATTGTCAAACCACATGACAAGAGTCATCTACAGTATTTTACAGTTTTACTCCCTAAACTTTAAAAAATAAAAATTTCGCAGAATTTAAAATTAAAGATCTGATCGTTATGTTAAAAAAAATAGCCAATATATTTCACAAATGCTTTGAATTCTATTACTGCAATATACAATATTTAAAAAACAAAGAAACAGACATGCATCAATCAGTGGTACATTTTCTTGTGTCACATTAGGTGTGTGCCATCAGTGTTAGTCAAATTCACCAGCCATTTTGTTGTATTTCACTTTTTTTATTATATACTGGCTTGATGACTGCATAATAAGATAATCACTGGCTAATCTTGTATTAAAAGTAAGCCAATATCACTGGTAAGATGATGTAGGGTTCTTGCTTGGAATGAAACTGAATAAAAAGCCACGACTCCTAAATTACTAGTCTAAACATTTACTGAATTAAAATAGCATAAAGAAATGTTTCAAAACTGTTTTGTGCCATTTCTCAAATAATGAAGTGTCCACCAGTTGACTGTGTATTTAAGATTCAACCATTTGTTGACCCATGCAGTGCAAAAGTATTAAAGTGCTATTTGGCCAAACAGAGACACATGTAATAACAAAATCATGATGCTATTTCATGAATGTCTTATTTCAAGCGATATATAAAGAGTAATCTGCATAAATATGATAACAAAATGTACAAATTTTGCATCTAGCATGGATACATGTGGAATTTAATGACATATATCAAACTTATAAGTATATACTTGATAAGTTTAGTATGTGAAATCCAAGGGACTTGATGGTTTACAGGTAATACTCTTGTTTCAATTCCAAATTCCAGGCCTGATCAGACCTAAAAAACAGATTTTGCACTACACAGACTGAGACCTTCACCTCTGTCATAACTCAGACTTTCAGAATGCAGAACTGAGGCCTTCACCTTTGTCATAACTCAGACTTTCAGAATGCAGAGAAAACTATTTCCCCACTAATCTGAGCCGAAATTAAGCTGTGCATCCTGTTTAGAAGCCATCATTCTATCAACTGTAGCAGCAACATATGTTTCAGAACTGGATTATTTTAAACTGCCTCAATGGGTGAGCAGAGACCAGGAGGGCCAAATAAAGACTGAACATGGCAAAGTTACCATAACACATTTTATGCACAGTAAATTTTATGGATATGAACAGTGAAGTAAGAATCTACATCACATACATGTTCTTCAGTCCACTTTTACGTAATTGACATCAACAAAAAGTTAGATGAAACATAAATACCAAAGCTTAACCAAACTCACCATCTTCTCTAGCTCACTTTCCACTGTCATGGTATCAAGAAAGTTAACGACAATAGCAGGAGTAGTGAGGAAAAACAGAACCAGAAACAGGAAGAAGTTGACTAGCACAGCCTTGATGTACCAGTAGTTTGACGCAATTGATAGGTTCTCCCTGCAACGACACATTCAATATTTCATTTTATGAGCAGGACATTTTATCAACTGCATTCAATTTCCTTGGACAGCTGATAGTTATTCAACTAGCCAAAAATTTCCTGTTATGATCTCAGAGGTTCATCATCACATTAAAAAAACAGCATACTAATGGAATATACACCAGACCAATTCCATCCATTTCACAGCTATTCTTTACAATCCATCTTAATATTATGCAATTTTATAAAAAATTATATATGTCATATCTCATATCCTTGAGTTATAAAACAAAAGTTCAATAAAGGCACTAAATTTCACAGTCAAAAAAGTGAGACATGTCTTCTTACCAATAAATGTCATTGGGGGATGAAGCAAACTGGACTTGCCAGTTGTGTGGTTCTAGCTGGCGACTCACACTGGAAGTGGGCGGGTTGTTTGAACATTTGCAAGAAGGTTTGTGATCAACATATATCTTGCGAGCAGCTTCCGCAGATACCAATGTGATAAATGCAATACCAAGGGGAGTCTTCAGAGCAGACGCACGCTCCTGGTCCACCTGATTTTGAAGACGAACCTCTTCCTCTGCATAGTACTCGATAGCATCAACCTTATCAACAAAGTATCATATAATTCAATTCTAAAGGGTTTTAACGACGGTAGTTTACACTTAAATTATTCATTGTCAGGGCTTTTTCCATTGTCTGTTCTTTGAAACCACGACATTTCGGAGGCTGGTTCTGTCACCGTCTTCAGGTGTTGGGTCCCTTAGATAGAGCTAGTCTCTGTCACTGGCAGTCACCAAGTTTCACTCTACTTATACAGCATGACTCAGAAGTCAATTCATTGAAACCTATTTTTGGCTATTATTTCAAAAATGAAACATTTGCGACTCCATGTTCATAGGAACATTTTTTCTTAATTTTGATCCTGGAACACACACACACACACGAAGCTTGTAAACATACTTCTGACTCTATCTGTATATTAATAATGCACAAAGCTTAACACACAAAAACATAACTATAGTTACATAAGTAATTGCAAAAAGGGAGGAGTGATAAGCAGTTACTTACAGTAGGGCAACCAAACAGGTCACAGCAACCACAGATATTTCCACATGCATAAGGTCTCATGTCCAGCCTCATGCCACTACTTTTCATGTAACTTTCACAGTACAGCCTGGCCTGATACACCTTTTCCCTGCAGAAAACAATTACTATTTTACGTCAAAGACAAGTTGTGGTATAATCAGAGTAATAATAATAACAACAACAAAACAACAATGACAATTACTCTAGTTTAATAAAGAGCAGTCAGAAAGGTAAATAATTGCACAGTGACTAGCACTGATTAGACTGATCCTGCAAAAGAAATATTTATTCCACTCCCCTGGTGGCAGAAGCAAACAAACACCATCACCTACAAAACTAGTAACAGGAAAAACAAATGATGCATTCCTGAACAAACCAGATCAACAAATTAGATCCAAACCAAGGTGAACAGGAGAGGAACTCATCCAATAACATTACTTGCACTACAAGATGATTAAATTATTGATTCGTCTGGATCTTTCTACTCACTTTTCTTTATCCATCAAACTCAATCTTGAGATATTGTATGCCAACTGAACGTCCTGTATCTCAATTTCTGGGTACGCTTCACTGAAACAGGTAAGTAATAAACATTTCAGTTCCTTGGTTCATAAGGTGGTCTGCAGTGTTTATTTCTGAAGTAAATACAGTCAAACTACTGGCCACAGCTCCATAAGAACACGGTCTCACCCCTTTATATAAATAACAACAGGTAACATCGCAAGAACTGTGGTAGAACAGTTACAGATCCACAATGCTGTATTCTTTCTGCTCTTTCACAGGACAGTGGACTCTTCTGCAATGAAAGTGTTTTCTGCACACTTTGAGTACCTAACATACAGAATTCAAAAACACTTCACGCTAGTCACAGTAAGGAAGTGGAGTACTACAGATACGGGCACATACTGTACCAGATTCAGTTACATTTGTCTGACATGAGGAAAAGAAGATAAAATTAATGTCATTCACTAAACAAACTGAGTTTTGGAAGAACTATTCAGTGCTCAAAGGAAAAACTAATTATTTTTAAGCATTTATTTTCTTCTTAATTTATACTCACCGGAAATGTCGGTGTAAATCAGCTGAATCACAATTCTTGCTTGGAATTTTTGTAATCATTAAAGTTCTGGACACGCTTGTATCTCTCTCATCGAACTTGATTGTTACAGAGAATCTGCGCATGATGATGATACCCAGTGGCAAGTACAGGATAGCCAATGTCACATGTGTCCAGAGGTATGAAGAACTGAAACGTGAACACATCACATTGACATTTGCAATACAGATCACAAGGTAAGGGACACATCAAATCAGTGTGTGAATACAGGTGTCTTGATGTGTTTAATCTTGTTTCTTATGTTAGACAGATGTAAATTTACCTTAATAATTATTTAAACTCTGTATACAAACTTCAAGAATCCAGTTAATCTAGGCTTCTTAGATAGCATAAAATAAGAGACATCAATGCAACTAAAAAGATTAATGAAAATACAAATGAGCTCTCTAGAAAATATTTCAAAATTACAATATTCTTAGCCGGGATAGCTCAGTCAGTATAGTGACTAGCTACGGGCTGGACGGCCGGGGTTCGATCCCCGACGGGGGCAGAGGATTTTTCCTCTAGCCTCTGCGTCCAGACCGGCTCTGGGGCCCACCCAGCCTCCTCTACAATGGGTACCTGGGTCCTTTCCCGGGGGTAAAGCCGGCCGGGGCGTGATGCTGACCACTCACCGCCATCTAGTGCCGAGGTCAAGGAAGAGAGGAGCTATACCTCCTCTCACCCCAAATGCCTACATGGCGTATAGTGGGACAAACTTTACTTTACTTTAGCCATGTTCTCTGTATGATCACTTTTGGACTGTTCCTCTGCAAGATTAGAACTGGAAATACAATTATACCATACTAAGTGCTAACATAGCAATGAAAATTCATATAAAGATACAATTACCACGATCATGTAGTAATTCCATGTTACTATCATGATGCTTCAACAAGTGGTTAAATTTACAATAGTTAAGAAAACTTAGAAGATGGGTTATTTTAAGCATTGTTTTATAGGATTTTGCTAATGCAGCTAATTTATTATATCAAGGTAGAAAAACTTGTACACATATGCTGTATTCTGCCACAATCCATGGTCTCTCAATATCTGAAGGTTTTACTGTAGTTTTGACTATAAAACATCTTATTATTTCATTGCCTTTATAATCCATGTTTTACTTCATACATAAATAGACATATAATCCTTCCTACACAGTTTTCATAACAAAACTCTCTTCAATAAATAAAAATAATTTGTTCATTTCGTGGTTTATCATAAATTAAAATCAGGCCAATCTTGGTACACTCTACAAATGAAACAATTTACTGAAGTACAAACATTTCATTCACTCTTTCTATCAATACCTCTGTGATCACACATTAATGATTGATGGTTTCATACCGATCATTATCTTAATGACAACAGATTTTTAAAATAAGTGTACACGGAGTATGGCCTGATAAAAAGGAGACAATACACAAACCTACAATGAGAGATGTACTTACTTAGGATCAAGATTACTAAGTGTTGTGTGGCCAAATGTCTTTTCATTTCCTTCTAAATCACCTTGGAAGTTAATGGGTAGCACGATGGTAAGGGAAATTATCATCATGATAAGCATATAAACAATAATGTGGCGCTGGAACGAGAGGTACTGCACCGCATCAGGTCCACACTTCAGAAGGATGTTCTCGTCCCTGCACATAACCCTTATTATAATAAAAACTGAAGACAACTACAAGCATTTTAATCAACAGACTATACGACTATTTACTTTATGAATGATATAAGACACTAAATGTCAAGTTACGTTCATGCACATTGCAAGAGTGTGAGTGAGCGAGTAAGTGTGTGTGTGTGTGGGGGGGGGGGTTGCGCGCACCCACGTGGGTGCATGTGTGTGTGAATGAGTGAGTGTGAGCTGTCTTCTTAGTTCCTTCATTCTTTCAAAAAACTGTATTAACTGCTGAAGTTCTGTAACGTCAAACAATAAAATTTAAAATAATAGTTTAGGTCAGGAAGTATAAGTCAGACTAAAAGCACTAAGTCTGAGGAAAGTCATGTATAATCTAACAAGGAGAATGACTCTCTTGGCAAATATCAAAACTGGTATGTTCTAAACACTTCATCACCAAGCAAAACAGATTTTTATGTAATCACGCATGTGCACATGTGTGACCAAACTCAAATTAAACATTTCAATTTTTAGTATATTATTTTAAAGCCCTTAAAACTTACAACAATGAATTGCTTTCACAGAATTGTTGCTGTCCTGCATATTATAATGAGAAATATTTTCTAATGTTGGTTGATTTAAACACATTGAAAGAACAGCTAAGTGAAACTATAAACCATTTAAGGAGAGATTATCGTGTTTATGTTGATGTTCCTCTTACAAGAGAAATAAAGCACTTCTAGATTAATATCAAGTAAAATTATACAGATAAAGCACACTTGTGCTATGAAGACCTGTACCAAATCACCATCAGAGATAAGATTCAATTGACTTTTCATAGTGTAAAAATCCTATAATATTTTTTAGTATAATGGCAACACACTGCTTAGCAGAAAGATAATTCTCATGGTTCAAAAGCACAAATATTGGATCAGAAATGACAATACTGAATGATAGTTTGTGTGCACAGAATGTTACAAAATTTTGCAGGTTTGCATGCTACCCCACAAAGCAATTACCAGAAAGTTCTTAAACAATGAAATTAAAAATCAACATCTGAATCAAGACTGAGACAATTTTTCCTCAAATTGACATCAAATATTCTCGAGTTACATATGCCTATCACTGTTGGTTACTGATCAGTTGTTAGTTCTCTGTAACATTTTGATTAATGATATTTACATTTCCTTTCTACTTTTTTATCATTATATATCTGAGAGGCCCAGCGTGTCTAAATCTGGCCACTGCCAAGTTTTTTCATTTAGCATGAAAGGTAAATAATCTAGAACTGTTTAGAAACACATTCCATAAACAACGTGTACTGTTTAATATTGCAATTAAAAATGTTTTACATGCAGAACTTCGAGAGAAAAATGTCATTTATAATTAAAAAATTGTACGTAAGAATGTTTAATTCACAAAATATGAAAATGAAACATAACTCACTTAATTCTAAATACAGCTGTAAACCAAGAGCAGAAGCCCTTATCAATGTGTATACTGGAGTCCAGGGAAGCAACAGATTCCACTTCTGAAGCCCCCAACACTTCATCCATTGTTCCATAGAACAGCTGTGTCCACCTGCAAAACAATATTCCTATCTCCAGATGCAACCATCATTCGAAGCAGTTCTTCTTAGGACCGTTTCACTACTATGATGTACTCCCTCTTAGCAGCTTTCATTACTGGAGCTGCCAGCTCTATTGTTCACGCAGTTAAACAAAACTCTACTACACTGTACAGCAAGCTACACATCATTTTGAAATACCACAGGTCCATGGAACCTAAGTACTTCTGTAATTCTGCACATTATTTTTAAAAATTATAGTGTTAAATAAACAATTTATATATTTATATATAGAAGCAATAAATAAATTCAGAAGATGACTGTAATATACACATTTAAAGACCACAAAAGTAACCAAGGTATTCTGGAAGACCTAAATATTCAATCTGTATCACTCACTCTTTTTAACCACAAGAAATTATCAACTTGTCATATTCAGTTTAAATTAATATTTAATCACTTGCCTTCAAAATCACAAACATAGGCTAGAGTCCAATGAATTATATGTTTACTTACTTCTCCTCTGTTTTCTGAACAAGAGCAATTCTACCATAATTCCAGGCTCGTTTTCTCAGCACTGCAAATAATATCATAAGAATCTGAAACAGAAAATAAATATAATTTAGTAACACTACATCATGAGTAGAAAAGATGAAGCAGATAATTATGCAGCAAATTACAGTACAAATAGTATGTGATAATACATAGACTGTTACATGCAACACTTTCCAGCATATGTTCAAGCACACATTTACCTGGTCGGCAGTCACAAATAAGGAACGCACATGTTCCAAGTTAATTTTTTCACTAATCATCCCATCATTTGCAGTATAAGAACTGCACAATTGAAAGAACTGTTAAATAAGCCATGAATTAAATGCATAGTATTTGTGTGTTACACAAACAAATGAACATCAGCATATACCAGTAGCTAATGTGTTCCATTCAGTATCACCTGTATTCTAAATTAAATTTACATTAGGATAATCATTCTCACAGAACATGCATGAAACATGAATTTTACAAAATTACATCATGAATGACCTCTCAAAATCCAAGTAAGTACAATTTCCTACAATAATCAATAAATATGAATTTTGACAAACAAAATTTATTTATGGGTTTGTACGAATCTCAGAGCAAACAAGTTGTGCACAGAAATGTTGAGTTACATACAGGGGCAGGTTGGGCAAGGCTGAGCCCTGGCCAGAGCAATAGGAGAAGGTAGAGTACCATTGTGAGGGCCAACAAAAAAGTAAGCCAATGGGTAAAGGGTAGGAGGACCTCAGGCATGCAGAAGGCCAGGAAGGAGAGCAAGATACATGGGAATAAAGTGTGTAGAACATGGATAGTAAAATATAAGGAAAATAAATAAAAGAATGAACTAAAAATACAGAATAAATAAAAAATAAAAGCAAGAAGTAAATATGAAAAATGTTCTTATATTTAGCTCAACTTTTCCATGCATGGCTCTCACAAACTCAAATAGAGGCGACAGCAAGCTCCTCTAAAACATCAATGTCTACCAGACTACATAGTGCAACATCCTAGAAGACACCCAACTTCAGTTTTCACAATTCTACTAACACAAACACTTTAAAGACCTCAATAACTGTCATTCCAGCAGATTACGATGTGTACAAGGTCTGGAAGATAATAGTCATTATTCATGTGCCTTCACAATGAAAAAAGTGCCTACCATCCATCCCAAGAAATTAAGAAGCAAGTTTTCTGGTATTCCTTCATAAGCAGATGTAAAAATCCTGTTGGTGGTTCTATTATAATACACGCATTTATCTCTTGAAGTGTAGAACGACACGTTCACAAGCTCACTGAAAAAAAAACTTCATTTAGTAAATTATTATTATAAGTGATATCGTAAGTTCAACTAAAGGCAATATTTTCCCACCTTTCTGTGAAATTAAAAGCCATCTTAAAAACTGGGTACTTTTACTGCTGTAAATCGTCAGTTCTGAAAAATCATATGTTCTCCAAATGACAGAAGTGACTGGTTATCTAATTACACTTTCCCTTTCCCACTGTAGTAGAATGGACACATGACAAGTCTTCTTAAAATCACAAAACTTATTTATTACACCCTATAAAATCCTGCTTCACGACATGGGCCCAAATTAACTGCATCTCATAAATAGACGTAATATACCACTGTTCCGGACTTTCCAACTTTTACAGCTCGTTATCTACTTCCACTTGACACTAGCTAGAAACGCAATATTATAAGAGTAGGAGAGAAAGTAGATTAGCGGTGGCACAGATTATAAAACATCTATAATTCTGAATTTTGTTAATAAAACATAACCTATCATAAGAGAAAGTGCTACCATCTACACTACATTGGGAGAATCGCAATAATGACTCAGTGCTGGTAGCGCTAGTCAGCCGGTAAGAAACAATATTCAATTTTTCCTGTTGTGGTGTACTCCATTGCAGAGCAAGTGTATGTGAATTAATTATGTAGTGCTGCATTACGATGGCAAGTGAACAAATATGAAATGAGTGAACTCATTTTCTCATATCCATCAGATGAAAAAAGAAAACATTTAATGGCATCATCAGATTTATTTTTTAAAATACGTAATACATATTTTCACACACACACAAATACATATCAATGTAAATATCATACACATATTTGGAGAGAGGAAGTATAGAGTTAGAAATGACATCATCACATCTGTGAGTAGGAGAGGGGCAGGAGATTGTGTTTCAGGTTGTAATATACATAGTATATCTATGCACAAGTTATAAACTGGTTAATGCTGTTTAGTGAAATAATCCATGATTACAATGAGAATCATATGAAAGTTATAAATAAAAATGCAGAGTTGGTACTTATAGTTTTGGCTTGGCCTTAAAAGATTAAATGTTAAATCATGATACAAAAGTGTTTAAGATAGTACTGAAAGAATACCTTTTATTTAGAAGTAAACTATTTTCTGGACATTATCCATCGCCCATGACTAAATAACACCGATAAAACACGACCTTTTGTCAATTGGATTCTATCTCCGTCTTCAGGTAAAACCTACTCTGTTGGGTCCAATCGATAGAGCTAGTCACTATCTGCGGACACAGCAGCGTCTGCTTTAGCTGGAGGTTTTGTTTCTTCACTTACAGTCACTCTGTGGAGAAACAGGAAACATTTCTTATAGAAGCAAATTTAATATGACCTCAAGTTACCTAAGAATGTAATGGACTTATAGGCAGCGAGATATATGGATATGTACAGTAAGCTGTCAGTCTGTAGGAACTTCATTTGGTTTCAAGATAGATAACATTTAGGTCATGAGTTAGCTCATCAGTCTGAACTGGATTGACCAGGCTGCAAATAATGTTCAGTGAAGCATTCGTATGTTCATGATAATTATAAAAGTTTGGCCACCACAAACCAATTTACCATTAACTACTCAATATGTCACTGTTTCCAGAATTAGGGATTTTCATGTCTGCTGGTGGTGACAGTAATTTTCACATATCCAGAAGAAGTGTGTTAGTGAAGCAAGGATGATTTTCAACTTTGAAGATATACAGTATGACATCAATTTAAATATTGTACCTATTTAAATGATTAGCAGTATAACTGACTGCAATGTTTATCAAGAAATATATCATTGTAATCACCTGCATATAACAGTTTTAAACAACATTCTTCTATTAAGTGTAACTGTACTTGTAGAAAAAAATTACTGGTGATCATCAGTATGATTTTTAATGCATTAGATCAACTACTGATTAAATATTCTGCTTTTATCAAATAACTAGGATGACAATTCTTTGAACATTAGGAATGGGCAGGGAACTCTTTCACTGAGAATTCCCCACATCAGAATTCTCCATCACTGGATCTTTGTGAATGGCTTGGGATTCCTCACCAATCACACAAAATGAACCCCTAAACACTCTGAAATACTGAATATATCAAACATATATCACATCCAAAAATTCTTTGCCCAGATACCAAGAATTTAATACTGTTTTCTCTAACTGTTAAATGTAGTCCAACTTCTGCTTCACAGGGTATTCACTTACCACATTGTGAGAGTTCACTTAAATGAGTGGCTCTAACTTTAATGGACTTCAAATGGTTTTGATCATTTATTCTAAGGACTCTGCCACTTCAGTTGATTTGAACATGCAGTATGCTCATAGTACAACTGTATCATAGTCACTAACAACAAAAATAAAAATAATAGGTGGGGTGGTTAATGGGTAGATATAGGTGGAAGGAGTGGTGATGGTAACAAGATGTAACAGCTAAATTTTCTTTCTTGGAATAACTTGTTACTTAAATACCGACTTTTGTCTGTGGGACATAATCTCAAAATTTCATACAATACCACATTTGCATTTCTTACCTTGTAATCAGTGTTACTTACAGCCGGTGTAGTTATATTTATACTTGTTTGATGTAACACTAAAAATGTCAGCTTACAAATAATTTATAAAAAAAATTAACTAAGTATGCAAAGAATAATGTAACAACAATATGTACCAGTGTCTGAATTGCATGCCCCTTGATTATATTCTGTGGTAAGATACACTTCCTCTTCTGAGTCTGACATACTTCCTGTACCTGGAGCTTTTGGTATGGGGATCAGTGTAAATTCCATGTGCTGAGATTCTCCAACTCCCTTCATATGAATATCTACGGCACAAAAATGGAAGTGCATATAAGCTGTGAAATGCATAAATATGTATAAGTTAAATCACCATCTCTAAATGAAAAATGTGAACTTTATACTCTTCAGTCTAAATAATTTAATTAAGTCATGTGTTACAGTAACAACTTTCTTTAGAATTACATTTTTCTCTTTAACTTTGCGCTAGAATATGCCATCAGGAAAGTCCAAGATAGGCAGGAGGGGTTTTATTACCTTTCAAGTCTTGATGCAGTTGCTGGAGAACAGCCTCTGTCCAGCGTGTCTCACGGGCACACAATTCATAGTTCTGGACTGCAGGTTTTCTCATGTGGTGTGATGGTTGTGGCAAATTGGACATTGTCTCGAGGATCTCTAGACCTACTCCCATCAAACATTTATTCATACACAATGAATACCAGAAAATACAAAGTCAGAAAGAAAGGTATATACTGAATAGCAGTAACACAATTGGCAGTGTTTCTAAGAATCCTAGATCTTATAAATGCTTTCTCTTAAAACTTCTAATCATTGTCAGATATTCACTTTTTATGCTGTTGCATTATTGTCATCCAGAACAGAAAACGTGTGAATAAATGTCCTAAACTGTTCTTCACAGTGAATGGTATGATCCTTAATATTTGAATCTCATCATAAATAATTATCAATGGAAAGCTTTCTAACAAAACCTATTTGAAATTTATTTATACTGGAACATAACAGTTTGATTTCTTTGTTATTTAATCTATTGGTATTCTACTTTATTACTCAAAATGCCTACATAATAAATTCTAAGACTCCAAATTAAATCCCTCTAAATTATCACAAAATTTCCATATACATAAAATATCATCAAAGAAACAGTGCTAGAGGAAGAAGATAGCAAATATTCGTTTTTTCAGTGAGTAAATAATCTTAACCGTCACCTGGATACACTTCACAGGTATCACACTAAATACATTCACTCAAAAGCATGGACGATATGCAGCCGTCAGTGTAGTACCATTGAGTTAATAACAGTTTCAGTTGCAGTATTTATTTAGTACTGAATGAGATGTGAGCAATATTAGATACAGTGATACAGAAAGGATCAGGAAAAAACATTCATAGCTTATTTCGATGTACGATACATGCACTTCCTTGAAAGAACTGAGGGAAACCACAAATAGAAATTAGCTGAGATGGCCAGTGGTCCAAGTTCTGTGACTTCTCAAGTACAGGAGAGATGCATTACTGCTGTGTTACTGTTTTCTCTCTAGAGCATAATGTGTAAACTTTCATTTATAGGGTTAAATTAATTATGAATTTTAAATTTTATGTTTGTTTGTAATTCTTAATTTCTAACACCTACAGTTTTATATTTTCACCTTTGGGATGTGTCAAAAATCTGCTGTGTACACTGATCAGCTCATGGCAATGTTTGGGATGCTCTCCAGAACGCATCTGTGGGCCATACAGTTCAGATTTATGGTCTCTGTATTTCTCCACAATACTTCCCTTATGATACTTCATGTCAATGCCTTTGTGTCTGAGTAACAGTTTGCGCAGCTCTGCAATAGATAACCAACAGTTTAAACTTAAAACTATTTACTTGTAAACTGCCCGGTATAAACCAATTTAAAGGATAGTTATTGTAAAAGAAAATACCTTAACAGCCAATTTTGTACAGAAAGTGCTGCAGAATATAAAAAATATATGCAGTGACATATGAAGAAAATTTCTTTTGTCTAAACAGTTTAGTAAGAAGTAACACATATGGCTTGTATTCTAGGAGTATCAGGTTGGAATCCCACCAAATGCACCAACTATTCAAAGTTTTCTTGTGGTCTTCTTCAGTTAGTACCTACAAATTTCCAACATCCTTCAGAGTCCTCACTATATTACTGTTACATAATGCACAAGGCACATTTGGCTATACCATTGCTGAAGTGTTCCCACTGACATGAATCTTTAAAAATCATCATAACAAAGCTGTTATATAAAAATCTACTAAAATAAACCCAAAATTCATCCTCAAATTTGGGTACTTTTATGAAAATGTACAGACTTATATTTTCTTTTCACTTCCTGTAACAATGGTAAAATATTGTATATCTAAATTCCAAATTATGTGACTTTAAGTTATGTACCTCTGTTATGATCAAGCCTTATCTTCTGTATTTTTATGGTCTTCTCCTGTTGCTTCGCTATCCAATAGTGCTGCAAGCGAATATTCAGTTTGTGTGCCTCTTCAAGCTGGGACTTTTGAATAAGTTGCCAAGCCAGATCTAAACGCATATTATGAATTGTCTGTATTTCCTGCCAAAAGAGACAATTAAAATTAAAGGGTAAGATTACGAACTTGGAATTCAGAAGGAAGAAAGAATCAACTATTCTAACAACACATCATAAAATGACATTTCTTCATGAAGAAGAAATTCTCAGACTGTTCTTTGGTTGGTTGTTTAGTTACTTCATGATGCTCTATCGACTGTTACTAGAATAAATGTGATGTAGTACAACGATGGACTAAAGGGATGTGGAATAAAGCAATCATGGTCTAATTTAACACTCATTATATGCTAGCTCAGATGATTTTATGACATCTGTGTAATGTAAGTACTCAAATATAAAATTTATTCTATATTCATTAAAATTTTGCAACTCACTGTGCTGCTAGATGAACCCCTATACTAACACAGATATGTACTTTACAGTTCACACAAAGGATAAAATTTGGTATTAGATGTCTACACTATAATCCTCATTTTGGCCCATACTGGTCCAAAAAAGAACCCTACTTTACATGAAGCTCAAATTAAATGTTTATCAATATTCACAAATACATCTCAATGTAGGCCTACAATAAAATTTTCACACATCATAAACTATAGAGCATGTTAAGGTCTACAAATACAGAAACATATTTATTGTGGTCTATATCATACAAAATTACAAGAAAAAAATTTGTCAAACCTGTATAGCCAATCATTTTTCAACAATAGAGTTTTCTGTATGTAACAAATGTCAAATGCACAATCACAAAGAACACTTTCATAAAATGATTTTCACCCTTGTTTCAGTGTTTATATGATACACCAACATTTTACCAGAATATGAATTATTAATATACAGTAAAACCTCTGGGAACTGACCCTCAATTATCCAACCGAATCTGGTTTCTACCAGCGAGAGTCAGTACAGCGAGAAACATGTTGTGCTTTCGGTAGCTGATAAATTGATTACTGAGAATATTTAATTTGGTGTCACGATAGCTAAGCTAGCAGCTGGCCATAGCATCAGTGTTATTACAGTAAAGGATATAAAGAAGAATAAGGAGTCTATAAGGAAATTTGCCATGAAATTTGATGTTGATGCAAGGGCAGGCAAGACAAGAGGGAAAAGGCATCTCAGAAAACATTAAAAATGCCAGCTTCCGTGACTTTAGATGAAGCAGTTTACAACAGAGGCGTGGCTGTGCAAGGTGTTGAAATTCAAGCTGCTGCTGCTGTTAAACTCTTGGCCAAGCACAAGTAGTGGATGGCTCTGGCAATTTAGAAACAGATATAGCATGAGAAGTCAGGGAATTTATGGTGTAGCATTAAGTGCCGACACTGGAAGTGTTGAACCTTTCATTGATCTAAACTCAGACCCAGTTTTTGCTGATTATTATGAACACTTCAGGACATTTAGAGAATTGGTTATTCACTAGTTTCCATAGAAGCTGAATCCCTACTCCTTCTCGTTCAGGACAACATAGCAAGCAAATCAACTGACATCAACAGAATCACACACCAGAACCTCCATTTCATGTGATGTATAGCGACTCATAATGACTGATGAATTCACTATTTTAATACAGGGACTTCCTTGAACAGCGCTCATGAGTGACTCTTTTGCCATTGGCTTGTGTGTGCCCACATCATCTCTGTATATTTCAGTATTTATAACAATGATTTACTTGTTTTTGTTTCAACTTTGCTAATTATATCTTTTTCTTCTACTTCTTTTTTCATATCCATGACCACTTTCCGTTTCCCTCTCTCATCCAACTTATCAGCTTATCCGACCTACGGTTTCCCCCGTATAGGTCGGTTAAAAGAGGTTCCACTGTATTCAGTTACATTCACTGTGAATGTGTGAAATGGAAATTTATTATTAAAGTGTTTTCTGTATATTACCTTTTCACGGAACAGCCATTCATCCCTGTCCATAGCATCTATGATATTAATCATCTTCTTAATGTACTTAGGATCCCATGAAGCAGGCATAGCATTTTCCCAAGCCCTCTTTATGCGAGTGTGTTCTATCGTCTCCACCTCATGCATCCCTGCTGGCAACCCATGATCTACACCACAATTACATGCATATAAGCATATTATTTAATAATAACATTTTGTTGCATTAGCTGTGAACATTGCTCATTTCCTAATGGAAAACCAAACATATCAGGACCAGGAAAGTTACGAATAATGTTTACATTTCCCTGGAGTTGTTACCAACATCTCACAAGATTAAGGACCATAATGGAGCTGTTGGAATGATATAGATAGGGCATGTAGCATGCTTACAGAAAGTAGAGCTACTCAAAAATGTGGATTGAAAAGCTTGAGGGGAAGACACCAGCCAGAAGACCTAGTCATATATGGGAGGATAATGTTAAACTGGATCTTATACGAGGGTTACTTCAAAAGTCATGAGCCTTTTTTCTTGCCTACTGTACCTACACCCATTCACACCTACCTGATCTGACTACGCTGATCATATGCATATTTTGAACTTTCTTCAATATAACGTGTTTGCCCCCCAAAAATTAGTTGTCATGACTTTTGAAGTAACCCTCGTAAAACAGGATGGGAGGGTGTGGACTGGATTGATGTGGCTTGGAACTGGGACCAGTGACAAGTTCTTCTGAACAAAGTAATACACTTTCCAGTTCCATAAGAGATAGGTATTTTTTGACAGAGTCCAGTTTACAGTCTGCACATTGAGATGATTCTGTAATTCACAAAGCGCTTGCGACTACTGGTCCTTAAGACAGCTTGTCTAGTAATATATTATTACCTTAATTACTACCTGAGGAATTTGCCTACAAGAAAGTAAGATTCCAGGTTCTCACAGCAGCAAGTATGAAGATGATTGTATCTGGGATGTTACACTGCGTGGTCCTGTAAAAACTGAATGATGTTTCAAGCGTACTTACTTCCTGCATCATTAGGGAAATGATAATGGATGCAGTAAGCACCTCTGAAATGTTGGTCAATTTCTATGAGACTAGATGGAGCTACATCACAGATAACAGCCATCTTCTTGCCTACAAAATGTCTTCTTTAGATGGTGGCTTTTAGACTTTTACACATGTTATGATATTCTTTACACTCACCCCACGATAAGTTAGCAAGAGTCAACACCTCAGGTGTTGAGGTACAGTGGGTAAACACAGGTGGTGCCCAGGGTGTTGTCTGAGTTTCAGACTCTCTGTAGTCTGTCTGTGTGCTGCGGTTTTGTATGCCTGGTACAGACTCTTCAAATGATTCCCTTCCTCCTTCTGTGACCACAGAGCTGAATGTCATAATTGTTTCTGCTGGTTGCAGGATTGGATCTAATGGCCTTCATGCAAAGATAAGGTTCATCAATATTACAAGCTTGTAACGTGCTACCAAATGCATACAGTATTGAAGATGTGCTTAAATAACATGGGTGTAGAAATGTAATCCAACTCGAAGTTCCCAAATGTGTTTACTTGATCTCTGTACAAAACAGACATAAGAGATAAAAACTATGTTAAAAAATTAACACAAGTAATTAATTTGTATTACAGATTTATGGGTAGAAATTTAGCAAAATCAGACCCACAGTCTTAGGGATAGATTAGGCTTCTTGAAATAAGAAGTCTCTGATAAATAAACTCTCAAGCTCTGTCCCAGTAATATTTCAAAATATCTCATGCATCTACTCTAAATTATATTTTTATAGTTATAATATAATTGTGTACTATAGATTGTATTTAAGGTAAATATGGTGAGATAAGTGTATGCAGTTTGCACAACAAAGTACATAAGTCACATCAAAACTTAAATCATTAATGAGTATATGTAATGTCTTGCATAACTGATATATTTCAACCATTAGCAAAATGTCTATGCACAAAATCTGGTGAAATTCAAAATAAGTATTAATGTAAATATGATATCAGTATTGCACAAAATGCACGCCTTTACCAACACAACAAATCCAAACTCACCGAGAAAAGAAGTGATACCTGTCCACCCCATCAACATCCAATGGTTTCTTTCTAGTCTTTGTTACTGCTCTGTAATACAAAACAGACCAAAATCCTGGTCATGTCAAGTAAATTAAGTATAAAACAGATAATATAACATAGCCTAATTCTTTGTGACTAGAAACAAAGGATCTAGACTCAGTAACTGTTGGGTGTATGGAAAGGTTGTATAAACAAATTGCTGCAGCATAACCTCCTCTTTCTTTTGTCATTAAATTTCCCTCACCAGTATCAAATTGCTAAATTACTACAGTAAATTTGGTTACTTTAGAAAGGTGGGTTTTGATGGAAGTTGTCGTGGCTTCATAATTACTTCCCTTTTTGACAGTATTATACTGGCATCATCTCCTGAGTGACAGGGAGACTCATAATTCTCCAACAAGATTTGAAATGATTAACTCAGGAGTATTATAACTGGGCCAATCTGCTTCTCTTATAATGCTATATCAACTGCTGTGATTATTTAGTACACAATGGAAAATGGGAGGATGATGTAAAAGGTAAATCAGGTGGGATGTGGAAGAGATCGTGGCCTGTTTTTAGCATAATGTACTGGCATTTGACAACAGGGATTGAAGAAAATCATAAAATAAATTTTGTGAGTGTGTGTGTGTGTGTGTAACTATACGGATTTTATCTTATAGACACTATATGTTATTTATTTGATTGATGGTTAAATTCTTATTACCAGGTAAATAATTTATGATGTCTGTAACTGACAGTCTAGAGACTTTGTATAGGGTAGGCACTGAGTGTTCAGATTGGGGGAGTGGGCTGCTGTCCAATGGGAAAGGAGCATTTCTTATGTTGCCTTACTAAGTAAACTGCAAATAAAAATGTTTTACACCCAAACAATAGAGGTAACAGACAGTCAAAAGTATAGTAGTGCAACAATAAATCTTAATCAGTCATTAATATTATTAAACAGATGGCATGCATGAATGGGGCAAGAGGTGTGCACTGGGTATGGTCAGAAAGCCTGAAGGGAGAAGACCGCTGGGGAGACCAAAATGTAGATGAGAGGATAATATAATGGGGAGAATCTATCGGAGATGGGAGTTGAAGGCGACTGGATTTTGCTGGCCCAGGACAAAGACCCCCCCACTTAATAGTACCTGCACCTTGTCGTGGTGATGGGGCTTGAGTACCTCAGTGACCCCAAAAGCTATGCTGGCGGTAGCATAGCTATTGGTAAGGCCTCCCTAGCCAGATTGGTCGAGGGGGAGAGGTCAGACTAAGACAGGTACCCTGGTCCTCCAGGTTGGGGTTGGTCGCAAGGCTAACAACCTTGCACCGTAAAAAGGAAGATGTTTCAAAACCTCAACCTCGGACAGACGGACCGAATGGAAGAGGAGAATTGAGGAGGCCACGGACCGAATACGGACCGGAGAGCCATAGAAGAAGAAGGACAGGGACCGGTGGAGGGCTTTGGTTAATTCAGTGATGAACTTTCAGATTCCCTAAGCCATTTAGTTAGTTAGTTAGTAAAGCTATGTACAGCCATTATATCTCCTGCTGTATGTCCAAAAGCTTTCTGTCTTACATTCCCATACTACTTTCACCTACCTTTCCTGTTATGGTGACCAGAAGTCAGAATGAGTTAACAGAACTCTATAAGCCTCACCTGTGATGATGCTCCCAACATCTGTCAAACCATGGTGGTAAGTGGTTCAGCTGCTTGAGTACCATCATGTTCCTGGAGTATGCATCACTAAACATTGTTGTATACAATGGACACAGTTCCTGCAACAATTAATAGGCTTGTAATACCAACCAAAAAGAAGCTAAACTGACCAAACTTTTAAGAATAGAAAATGGAATATTTAAAAAACAAACTAAACTTAAAACAAATGTAAAAATGAGTGTAGAATGAAAGTTCCCTTTGACTTTCGATCCAACCATAAAGCCGTAGAGGGGGGCATAGAGGCAAAGTCCTACATGTCCTTAACCTTCACTCTTGATGAAGATATTACAAACCTGTATTAAGGCAAGAATTAATTTAAGAAGGGTTATATAACTTTATAAAAAAATATAAATGGTAAACACATTAGTATGCTTTGCAATTCATAAACTCTTACTTGAAAATTGGAATAAGAAAGAACTGTCACAGACCTGAAGAGACCTATCTGACAGATGCATCACACAGAATAACCAAATAGTTATTAATCTAATGTAATTTGTTTCTATCCAAAAATTTAATTAGAAAACCTAAGGGGAAGACACCTCTTAGAAGAAATAAGCATAGATGTGAGGGTATGTCAAAGAAATAGGGTGTAAGGATGTGTACTGGTATACGTCTAAGAACAGGGTCCAGCAGTGGGCTCTTGTGAACATAGTTGTGAACCTCTGGGTTCCATAAATGGTAGAGAATTCTTTAGAGACTTGAGTGACTGTTAGCTTCTGTAGGATTCTTCCCATGTATTTAGTTAGTTCAAAGCAATAAAAAAAAATTGAAGTAATTAACTTTAGTATAAATAATTTGAATTGTTTGCTCATTCCTACTACTACTACTATGGCGTAACAGCCCAAAATCGAGCCCTAGCCTCCTCAGTGCCTATTTGCTCATTCCAGCCAACCTATATCTTGTCCTAACATGAACCAGTTCACATCTTCACAATCCATTTCTGTAAGCTATATTTTGGCATTATCCTTCAATCCCCTGCTTAATGTTCTTAAGGAGATACTGTCCAAGAGATTTCATATAAAAATTCTGTTATTTTTCCTTGCCTCCATCACGGCTTCATGATCAGTCCATCATAGCCTCTATTATCTGATTACCAGAGCAATTCAAGATGGGTTTTGGCACTATGTACACCAACAAGTCTATACAGCACCAAAATCCAGGACACCATCATCCTCACTTCCATGAAAACAAAATCTCACAAAAGATGAGATACATTAAAAGTTTTGCAATTAATATCTCTCATTGCCTACTTACTTGATTTCTGTTGTACTAAAGAAAATAATAACCAAGTTCTGTGTTGCCTTGGTAAACAATATAACACTATTCTGACATAGAAGTGCAAGTTTAAATTCTCATTCCATCTAACTGCCAAAACTGAACTTACATAAATGTTAGATTTCAAATACTAAAAATGCTGAGCCTTTATTACTGCTGCAATGGAATGAGGGTGCTGCTGGGCCCACCTCCCAGATGATACACAGAACAGCAGTGGAATGATATTGATGTTGGCAAAAACAGGATTTAGAGACAAACTTGTCCCAGTGACATTTCATTCATAGTAAATCCCACATGGACTGCTCTGCCTCTATAGTGAGAAGATGATAACTGACCACTTTGTAATATGGTATGGAGTTCTGAAAATTCTCAGTAATATAAATGAAGATGACTTACAAATTCTGCCTGCGTTTTAAAAGACTCTGCAATACATTTCTGAAAATCACAGTGGCCTGAAACTACATAATCTGGATCTGTAAAGCAAGACAAATTTTTATTACAAGCCATTTATGTTAGAGTATGAACAACATACAAATATAGTGAGGAAGGAAATGAATGTATCATAAGTTAAAACAAACAATGCCATTAATGTGAAGATGGCTGTCTTCTGTGTTGTTGCACCATGTAACCTGGTAGAAGTTTATCGACATTTCAGAGGTCCTCTGATACGGCTTACCGTAAGGTTTACGTCTGTGAAGGCCAACCTTACAGCAAACCAGAGCATGTGTTGAATTTGGCCAGAAACCGATTCTCCGATAAATGTGCAGTCGCTTGATTTTTTACCTCGAGGTTTACTGGATGTTTACAAGCCGCAAAGTGTGTGGGGAGGGAGGAGGGTAAAGGAAAGGCTTGAAGCATGTAATCATCTCAATCAGTCAACACAGCACTATACAGCCCTGCTTGTTTCGTCAGTTTTTATAATACCACTATTGGAGTGTTGGCTGACATGAGATCCTGGCCTCATGAATTCATTGAATTGTACAGGTCTCTGCCTTGTTTGTATATACGAAGTGAAAAGCAAGCAATATTCCAATAAACACTTGAGAAACTCCCAAATATGTCTAGGCTACAACTGGCTATGTGAGCGTGTTAATTACATGTTCATATTTTGAATACAAACAGAATGAACAGAAATTTTGTACAATTCATGTTTGTTTGTGTGTTGAGAGTTATTTTATGGAGTATGAATAATGATGCATTGGTACAAATAACACAGAAATTCTAAGTTAAAATAGTTGGCCTACACGCCAAACTCAGGTACTGCTGAATATGAAGCATGATGCTAAAAACTACTACATGATGTTCAGTACCAGTACCTAAATCCAACTTACTTCATTGTAATATGTTTGTTATAAATAATCTCATAGTTTTTAGGAAATATCACCATTTCTCTCATCATAATGTATTAATTTTATTTTATCCATGTCAATTACATATTTAGCATGCCCATTATAATATTACTAAAAAATGAGAATCTATACAATACATTAAATTTAAGGGCTTCCAGTGCTTGATTGTAATTTGATACTATGTATTTTTAATCAGTGTGGATTTTCATTAAATTTCTTGAATTTGATATTTTTGTGATGGTGGTCAAGGACCTCCTATGCAAGTCTTGCATTCATGACCATGGATTTTTCCCTATGTCCTCTGAATCCCTTAATTCTGACATCGTTAAAAACTTTGTGAATGATTACCGGAAACAGAGAGAGAAAAAATTCATACTCTTCTGTTCCTCTAACAAATATAAATCACACATTGAGCAGAGGTGTCACAAATTGAAGTTTCAAGTTTGTTCCTTTTATCACAATGGTATTTTTTTAATATAACTGATCTGGCATAAACCTCAGAGTAACATGAGTAATATATATGCAACAAATTATTTCTGAAAGGTGCATAAAAAACTCCTCACATGCAACTGCATATATTATTTGTAATTCAGTGCAACAAACTACACCTTCCATATGAATTTGTCATATTAACAACATTACTTACCATAAATGTAATCAAATGGCCTAGAAGGTCGGTATTTTGACTTTTCCGAATTTAAAATTTTCACTTTTGTACCCATCCTCACAGTTCTACATCACAGACAAATGAAAACACACAGACTTAAGAAGTCATCTGGCACTATCAAGCAGCCATTTTAAAATAACTGGGAACTGGTTGCTATGGAGACAATAATAACTACTTTTGGTTTTAGATTTTAACTTACACAAATAAGGGAAAAAATATGTAATTTCTACATCTGTGTGTAATAGTACCAAGCATTTTGCTCAGTTATGTAGGTATGTTTATGCAGTTTATTTCTTACCCAAATGTGACAAAAACAGAGAACACTGTCAAATCGTTTGCATATAAATGGAAAAGCTGTGCACTGATCCGTGTGTTAAAATCCTGTTCACCAGTAGATATTAAAGGCACTCACCATTTAATGGCAAATTTCAGGTTCTGAAGGATATCTAGACAGTTTTAATACCAGCCCAGTTACTAGTAATAAATTCATATCACAATAGAAATTCCACGCATAAAGCTAAAATCATTCATCTATAAATACTGCTAACCAAAATATTAAACATTGCTGGTGTGCAAAAATGTTTAATTTTCTTAAAAAATCCCAAATTTTTACCATATACTAATTAAGTATGATTTATGGGGAAATGTTATCCAGTATGGTGGTTAAGGATGCATGTTTGGGGATTTATCACCATTTTAAACTTGAATAGAACTGGTGGTGTTACCACCTCAGTACACACCATTGCAATGATGTGAACTGATCAAGATGTCAATGCATTGACATCTTGATGATACTACTAGTAAAATGTAGTTAAACATAACGCACAGGTTAACCTCACCGTAGAAAGTTAAGCATATTAAGTTTCATGATAATTTGTCAGTGGTTATAGTAATAATGTGCAAAAATAAAATGACACAAAGTTCTAGGAAGAGTATGCAATACTTTTGAAATGTTAAAGGTATGATGTTACATGAAACCTCTGTACAGACTACTGTAGTAGCTTAATTTTTATTGGGGTGGACACTCACCCCATCTAGTGCCAAGGTTGAGAATAAGTAGGATCTATGCATTCTCTCCCCCAGAGTGCCTACATGACACGTAGCAGAATAGCTTTACTTACATTACTCCATACCTTAAAAGTAAATGATATGATACCACACTCTTAAGTGATAGTAAAATCATGTGAATCATCCAACTACAAATTCCATTTTGGTAGTTTGGAAATGTGGATATTTAGCTCAAAGTTTACATATTATTCCCATTTTACTCAAATCAGAGCAAATACAAGAATATAAAGCTGCATCACTTTTAAGGAAATAAAAAGGTTAAAAAAAACAAATAATGAACTCTGTTGCAGTGTCACAGAGACAGTCTCATTCCAATGTAAAAAGGAAGGGGCGGGGAGAGAATGAAAAAAAGAATAAGACTGCCTGACACATAAAGTGAAATACTAAAGTTCCATTTTATCATGTCATCAGAAAAATAAGCGTGAAACCCATAACACTTATGGTTCAGAATCTAGGGCACAGATCAGTAACAGTGATTTAAAACACACTTACTAAAATACCACCACCAGCAGTTACTCAGTAACTGAAGTGGAAGTGATTAAAGTCACTGTTTATATTTCAGTGCTTGGCTAGGCTGTATACAGTAGTGGGTGCTGGAGCAATTTAAAGTTCTGCCTTGCCCAAATTTTAGGACACTAAGAGTTTGGCATTAATCTTAAAACTTTGCATACCATGTAGTGTATTAGAATATAAAATAAGCAAACAAACAAACTATTAACACTATAAAAAGACATTAGAGTTTGGCAGATTTCATTGTTTCATTACTGGAATATTACAAACAATACCCAGCTGATACATTTAAAAGAATACACACCCGGCCATTATAAAAAAGACAAGTCCAGTTTTATTTTGCTTTTCTGTATATTCTCTCTGTCTTGTACTGTCATTTTATTGCTTCAAGAGTTTCATGTGAGGTAGTGGTGAAATGTCTGATAACAATAAACTGAACATCAAAATTAAAATGTGATTTTTTAAAATAATTTATTGGACCTAATGTAATTCAGTTTTATCCAACTCTACAATTTAATCAATCTGATGTACTGGCTTAACTACAAGCATCTACAGACTAGTATTACAATCATTTTAACTTATCCACCGCAAGTGGTTGATATGCCCGAATGAATCGTGCGAGCACTGCTACATTAGCACAGAACAAAGCTATACCCTGTAGCCACACATATAAAAATGTGTCTTGGCCTCGAAACTCTAGCCAGTATGCAGGCAGCAGCCAAGCCAATTGGGCGGTAAGCCAGAGAGATGCAATAGCAGTGGCCTGATAACAAGACAAGGTCAGCCATGGCAGACAGGGTGGTACCAAGGACAGAAACCACACAAAGTACTGTGAAGTGAGAACAGGATTGTAGGCCACCATCACAACTGCTTGGGACAACAAGCAAAATGGAAGATCTCGTCGACTGCCATATGCCCATGATAAAGCCAATAATAGGACCAACTGGGGCACAAATATCAGCACCCGTTGGATTAATCCGGCTGGAGCATCAGATCCAAGATATTGCAAGTAAAAATAAACAGAGAAGTTGTGTCGTATGTCTTGTCGACCCAGATGGTATAACAGACTCTCATACAGGAAATGATAGCCATATGCAGCATAACACACACCTGTGAGACTGCCCAGAGTTGCCGCACATGACAACACAAGCTTGACATGATTCCATGTTGGGTATAAGTCTGATAACAATCGTCTTAAAACATCTCCACGACTTGAACAAGTAGCCCTTTTTGTGAGTGATATATGCTTATCTCTATGTACAGAAAGATATATAGCCAAACTGAAGGCAATAGGATATAAGCGAACATGAATCGCTAACCCATGCATCACACCAGCCAAGAAGAAATACTGTTTTTTTAACAACAGAAGTGTTGCCAACACGAGCATAGCAGAGATGGAATCTGCATTACCACGTGTGGCAATGATGATTGCCAGGGGGTTATAGACCCAAGCCATCACACACCACACTGCTACACGTGGACCTGAACCCTGTGCTATAACTAAGCATCGTATTAATAATGCAACACATATATCCACCACAGAGAACAGAAGTTTCCCCCAAGCTGGGTGAAGGAACAAGTTGGGAGTCAGAATTGCAGCTAGGAGAGGGGTGTAACGATATGTATGACGGTCATAGGGTGATGAACCTGACAACATATGTCTAGCTGCATCTGTGAAGACACGGTAGTCAATATCAGTGTACTGTACAACTGATAATCTGTCATGCACCTCTCCATAGGCTATTAATGCCAAACGAATACACAGGCCTAAAATGCAGTGGGTACTGATATTAGCAATGTTCAACATATTGTTTATAACACAGCTACACTAGATAAAACAATTCCAGGAGTTATGACTGTCTTCAGTTTTACACACCTACATCAATATTAAACCTGAAACTGTTTTTACATGAGACACATTTCTCAGAAAACAAGTTCAAAGACGGGTTCCCACATTACGAGCAGCCCTCTGCAAGCACTTCCGAAGTTCCTGGAACTCATGGTCGCATTCAGCTTGTTTAACATTCTCTTTGGCCAGTACACAGGTAGCATATGCAGCAGCTGGACCACTGCACTCTATCAGCAACTCTGGGTAGCGCCTCAAACGCTGTCGAGCTTTTACAACAGATTCCATAATGAATTACTTAAATCTGAAAACAAATTATACCAATTAAAATTCTACAACGGCAAATTTCATTACAGCTGTCTTGCTCTTCAGTTGTACGATGTACATATCTGCTAAAACTTAAACTCTACATGAGGGGTTTTCAATTACATTTTATCCTTTCTGACTGGCTTACAAATGACAATTTATTGAAACTTTACAACAGTTTATTAAAAGTGTTAGGAACTTATTATTACTGTAAACACTTCACATAGTAACTCACTTAATAATTTCTTTAACAAATTTGCTGATGTTATTTCTATTACTGATTCACATATATTTAAATATTTAACTGAGGCAGTAAATATATTCCTCATATGTACAGTGATAAAATATTAAAAATATATATGCAGACTGCACAAAACACATCAGTAGGTTGTGGTTTGAAACCCCATTCTAAATATCTGCACATTTGCTATGTTATTCCATCACGGCGACACTTGTTTCACCAAACACAAGAGCCCATTCTAAATATCTGCACATTTGATATATTATTCCATCATGGCGACACTTGTTTCACCAAACACAAGACAGTAATGCAGCACCTGTTTTTATAACTTTACATTTGCATGTATTTAATGTCACATTCACAAAGCAACAAACTTTCAAAACACACAGCACATTTATTATTAAAGTGGAATATTTTCTGGCCAGTAAACATCAGGAAAATTACTCATATTATAAATATAGCACAAAAGAAGTTGCTGAAAAACTGTAATCCTTCCCTTCTTAAAAAAGTGAACCAAAAGCTAGCTGAAATTCTAAATAAACAATTATACCACCGAGAGACCTTGTAAAAATATTTCCACTAACACAAACTGCCAATATCTGAAAGCTGCCAGACACAATGTTGAGAGACAGACAAGTACAACAATCACTGAAACATATTTTTACAAGTCTCTGCCTTGCGTCAGCTATTCCTGTTGTCATAGTAACTTCAATATTACAGAAAAGTAATGACCATCGTAATCACTCACGCTAAATGACGTGACTTGCAGATTAGCTCACTTCTTCAACTGAGGATTGGCAGGAACAGGAGGGGACTCCCTGATGAAAATATCATAAAGAGGACGACTGAAGAGAACAAGCAAACAAGATGTACTAAACAGTCCAATAAACAAGCGAGGGTTTCGCTGGATCCATGTACGATCTTTCAGAACTCTTTGTCGCACATGTGGAGGCTGCGGATTCATTGTTTCTTGCCCTCACACTGCAAACAGAGATAATATATCTTATCATATATCTTACACCATCACTCAATATGAGTTTGAAGTGGTGGTTGTATTTATATTTTACTACTACCATTTTACAGGATACCTGTCCAAAAGCCAGGATCAAACCATGCCTATGAGATTCATTATACAGTACATACTACTACTGCAAGATTACACAGCATCACAACCCAGAAAACCACAATCTACAGATTAGGGATAAGTTTGTTGCATTAAACTAGAAATATTTCTTCTTATTTAAAGTTTGTTAAAAGTAACAGGAATATTGAAGATTTCTGTCTTCTGGGTTGTTGCGCTGTGTAGTATGGTGGATGTTTATCAACGTTTCAGATGAACATTCATCGCCCTGACGACGGAGGCAGTATGACCTCTGAAACGGTAAACATCTACCAGACTACACAGCCCAACAACCCAGAAGACAGAATACTTCATACTCACCGCTGTAAAAACCTCAAATCATACAAAAGGAAAATTATCTGTGCACTTTATGAGTTATACCTATTTATCACATCCTGTAGTTACCAAGCCTTTTCAGATGCAGTATAGTACTAAGATTTTATTACAACAAATCAGATATATTTTAAAAGAGTTTAAAAGATTTTTATTTTATTTTCCAAATTACAGATACCTACAAAAATTAATCTGGTATAGCTGGTGATATTCTAAGATACTGCAGTAATTTGGCTTTGCCAACATTTTGGAGAAACCTACTGCCTCTGGCCCATCAAAAATAATGGGAGTTGTTAGCATGTTCTGTGAATGTGCGAACGTATGCACTGGACAAATTGGCTGTTCCATCGAAACAGCTTGTAATAGGTTACAATTTCATCCTCTTCATATCAAATCCAACATTTGCAATCTAAAATAAGTAGAGTGGGTGAGCCAGATTAATACATGTCAAAAACACCTGAGATCTGATGTTTTCATGGCAATGAAACTTAATTTTAATGCTTTTGGTTGTGGCACTGTGTTGTCACCTGGAAAGTTACATCACTTCAGTGTACCCTGAAGGTGGAGGTAATAACCTATAAGAGTACAAGGTGTCACTAGCCGGATCAAATTCTGAAGATTGTAAAAACTGTTCATAACATTAAACACTGAATTCATAAGTTCAGTAATTTTTGTTTAACTTACTTTTGTTACTTAAGCATAATGCAATAACATACAATTGCTCATTTAAACCCTTGAAGAAAGCACTCATCTGGATAAAATAGGCCAAAAAATATCAACTTATGCTTTTATTTTAACAACATCTACCAATATAAAATTACCAGGTCATGGACAAACATGAGCATCACAACAGGAATTTTTGTTTAAGAATGCATAATAAAAAAAGAAACCTTGGAAGAAATACAACGTACAGGTGCAGTTTCTGTTTGTGAAGGAGTTTCCTGAGTATCAATCCCAGAACAACTGATTGAAGCACTGCCCCACTTGCGACAACACTCCTTTAGTAATTCAATAAACTGTTGGCAGGATGCTTCCTGATAATTGTTTTCTGTAAAAGGAATATGGATGGTAAGTCTGTCATTGAACAAAATAGAATTTATTTACATTCCACAAATCCTTCACAGCCTAAGCCAAAGATGCAGAACATGTCACAGCACATACACAGTACTTGTTTCTAATAACTAACTAGATGGCTTACCGAACCCGAAGGTTCATCACCGAAGTAACCGAAGCCCTCCACCGGACCCTCTCCTGGGCCAACAATAATGGAAACAAGGAAAGGCCTCACATAAATGCCAGGTACATCAGCCCCTTAACACTAGACATTCTTGATGAAGAATGTCTCAGATACATATTTACCTACTCGAATTTTGCTACAGGTTTCAATTAAGCACATTTTTTCTAATAACAAATATAAATTACATAGTTACTACAGTAATTTACAGCCAACTACAGTATTACCGCAAAAACAATTATACAGTAAAACCTCTCTAACTTGGACATTTGCGGTTCCACGATAATGTGTCCAATTTACAGAGGTGTCCAGGATAGAGGGAAAAGGGAAAATCATCCTTTCAAATTGTCGTGTAATGACAATGTGGTAATTGTAAAGTATTATGGAGCCCTTCCCAAAAAGGAATTATTGATAAGAAAAATCAAATGGGTAAATTAAATTTTTACAAATTTTGTTTTCACTAAATTAAACTTGCATGGATATAAGCTCAATGGGAAGGGCACCAATACTTTACGTTTACCGACAATGTAATCTATTTTACATAATCTAACTACTGTAGGCTTGCTTGAATTAAGAACTAATGACAATTATAACAATCATTTGAAACCCACTCTCATGGTTGCACATTACACCCCAGCCTCAATGAAATTTTAAATGTTCAGAATGTATTTTTTTAATTGTACTTACGGCATTAGCTCAACATATGATGTCACTTATTTCTTGTAAAAAAGTCTGTTACAAGACACTGCTTTTTTGCTTTTATCTTGGAATTTGCCCATCCTCTTTCTAATTTTCGCCGCAATCCGATAAAGTTTCAACCATTCCAGGTTGATTATGAGCAAAAGCATACCGTTCCAATTTCGGTTAACATTGTTTAACTCAGTTGCAAGCACAGTACTGACAAAGTTAAAACTATATCAGCAATAGGTACTGTAGTTCAGTGAAAGGTTCAACAAAAGAATAACTATACACTTTCACTGCATTCCAATGATGTGTTCAATGTCTCACACCCTCAACCATAAGCTAATCCTCAGGTAGAAGGCATTCATCAGTCAGAAATTGAAAACATACTAACTGTAAACGTTTCCCATAAAAGCATTGAAGCTAAGTGCATGCATGCACCTGTCCAACTTACAACAAAATGGGTGACCAAGTCCAGGATAAATGGGTGTTCAAGATATAGGGTATTGTGGACATGTAAAATTATAGGATATTCGTCAGTTCCAATTAAAAGTGTCCAACTTGAGGGGTTTTACTGTAGAAGAAAGCATAATCACTACTGCTTACATGTAATTATAATAGCTGAGAATTTTTCATTAAGGTAGATTCTTCTATGGAGCAGAAGCAGTGAGACTTCTAGCATTGACTTAAACTTTACATAGTGATGATAAGATTAATGGATAGCTTAATTCCAGTACAGTAAACTCCTTGTTTGATATTTACTAACTTTAGTATTTGGTATATGAAAGTTATATCTGTATCTTATATTGTGGGTATAAGAATTCGCTGGCTAGTAGAAGAATATTAAATTTCTTATACAATTCCCTACAGGTGCTAACCACTCGGCACCACATTTGGTCATAAAACGACATACATGTATCCCAACGTACGAGGCGCGTCCTCAAAGTAAGTTTCCCTGGGGCTGTTTACAGAAACAAAACACAATTTCATGGAAATATTTATTGCAACAGATACAGCAAGTGTCCAGCTATTTTTCAACATATTCGCCACCGGAATTGAGACATTTGTCATACCGTGGGACCAACTTTTGAATACCTGTGTCGTAGAAGTCTGCCGCCTGGGATTGGAACCACTGTGTGACAACCATCTCCGCCTCTCTTTCATTCTCAAAACGCTGACGCTGACGCTGACCGGACAGGAATTTCTTGAGGTGTAGGAAAAGATGGAAATCACTGGGAGCGAGGTCCGGGCTGTAGGGTGAATGATTAAACACCTCCCAGCTGAACTTCTGCAGGAGACTTGCTGTCCGTCGAGCCGTGTGCGGCCTAGCGTTATCACTGACCGCACTTCACAGTCGGCGGGGGCTGGAATAAGAACCTCCATCTTCAACAGCTGCAACGATGCTAATGTGAGAACGCGGGAAGTTCCGTTAGTGCATGCGCCATGCTACGTCATTGCTCTATCACGTACGCACAGTCGCTTCGCGCAATATAAGGTTTGCTAGCTGTGGGACGAGTGGGAAACTTACTTTGAGGACGCGCCTCGTATTTTCCTAATTGGGCGTGATAAAACAGAATAGCCAATGAGGGGAAGATTACGCAGGAACCCAATCCGAGAGTAAATCGAAAACTGGATTACATTTATCAAAGTAAAATAATCTTGTAGTCAGAAACCAGTTAACTATTCCAAATGAAACTTTCACCGGCAACATTACAATATATCAACATGAGAACCATCAGATAATTAACTCTGCAACAGCAATCCGTTAGTCTTAAAATTCAAGGTAAGTAAGAACAGTCGAATAATTACTGATGCCTATATATATCACCTTTCAGACACTTCTGAATGCTGCAAGCACTAGGTTTGCAGGGATCTTTCTTCATTAACATTCACTCTGTAAATTCCACAACATTCAGAACTCGATTATATAATTTCTGTTCATGCCACAGATTTTGTCACAGGTAACCTAATTTGAGCTGAAAATGCAAAACCACGTATTGCCAAAGCACCAACAAATATTCTTATGAAAAACAAAATTCCTCTCATGTGCCGTGGATAGGGGGCTGTATTATTGAACACGACCTACGTCGAAAGCCAGCTCTTAGTTATATCCTCTACCACCAGAAGACGCCTCAAACTACTTACTACAATGAGAGGAATGCGGTTTCTTTTGTAATTATACAAATCAACGGAAATAAACTTCCGATGTCAGATTACCACCAAAACACATTTTTCTCACAAAATGTTCTGTAATAAATGAATTAGACATCTGTCCAAATTAATTTATTTTTAAGCTACAAACTTGCCATCAATTCATATTTTCCTTACAATATCTGACAACTAGAGATTTGAACCTGGGACCTCTCAAATATGAAGCAGAAGTGAAAATCACTCAACCACAATGTGTTATCTGATCCAGGAAGTAAAGTCTGACAACTTCATTACTGATCTGAGCCTGTGTAAGTAATTTTGGTGAGAAGTCTTCAAAATATTTCTTGATACTTTTCAAATGTATTCCAACCATTTCTGGAAGTACTGATAGGAATTCTGCTTGGAAAGCCATTGTATACTGTCTTTACATCATCCTAATCTATGTTATTGAAATGAGACCTTACAAGGTTATGTTTCATTTTGGAAAAACAAAGCAGTTAGGTATGGCTAAAACAGTCTAGTGCAGTGGATGTTCCAGCACCAGTAGTTGCTTTCAAATAAAATATCACTGTACTGGCAGTATTCTGTGACAACGCATACTTTCATGATGAAAAATCCACTTCTCTGTTCAGAGAGGTATGATGCTCATTTGAATCTTCTGAAGACAGAAATTTGTAATTGATTTGTCATTATAGTAGATTATGATGGTTCTGACCTTTGATTTTAACATTAAGTTTTTCTTTGAATTTGATGACTCAACCTATCCAATGTAAATTGACTTTTTTTTCTTTCTGGATTGTTCTGGTAGGCCCAAGATTCATTACCAATTACTTCCCCCACCCCCATCTTCTGACAATCTTGGTTTCCAAATATCATCACCAGCCATTTTTTGTACATGTCTATGACACTGAATCACCTCATATCCCAGAGGATAAAGAAACAAAGTCACTGCCAACTGCAAATCGTACTGCGTAAGGGTGAAATTATATTTTACTATTACAACTGAATAACTAGACATACAAAGTTAAGAACTGTCATAATCCACAGAAATGTAGAAGAAAATGAAAACACCCATAGCAAACTTTCCTTCTGCCAACATTTTATTTAATCCAGAAATATCTTCTCTCATATTAAAACTATTATACCAAGTTACATTAAATCATTTCAGGTTCAATATATTTTCCCAGCAATTTAATGATTAGAAATCACATATACAGCAATGCCTTGTTTACAATTCAGAGTAAGCTAATATATATATCAAATATAATAATCTCAATTAACTAACATTTTATAAGTATCCATATCTTCCTGAAAAAGTGGTGTAAGAATTTTTGTGATCAATGAAACTTTCATTATAAATATAAAGAATCAGCAATTTTTAGATTCATAAAATACATGTTGATTGTGGTATTCTGGGTTATGACACCATGTAGTTTTGCAGGTTGTTGCAAAACATCTCTTCAGAAAATTGGTAACTACCTACAAGACTACACAGTACAATCAACATCTTCACCACTGTGAGAAACAAAAATCTCAAAGCAGTGGAATTATGGGAAGTTATTAATGTAGTAATAGCTGAGGGCATTTACTTTTGTGAACACCTTCACATACATCTAGTCTGTATATAACACACAAGTTTTCAATACTGACTCAAAAGCTTCACTTTTAACATTTGCAACTCATCTTCATTCTGAACCAATCTCCAAGGACAGAGATAAATCCTACTTTCCTAATCATAATACTACTTTGATGTTCATGTTCTGGCCTGAATATTATTTCTACAACCGAAATGTTCTGCTTCGCTCTCCATTCATTCAGCATATAGATGGACCAAGATAATATATTATTTCCCTATTCTTGGATTCTGACGATGGTATGACATAGTCAGGTTTATTGGGTTATTGGACTCTGTGAATTGTCTAAGGTTTAAATGTATACAATGTTTTGAAAACAGAGTAGGTGCCCCTGATCTATACATCTCAAAACAGGTCCAGTTTTTGAAACATTGTATACATTTTAACCTTGGATGATGGACAAAATCCAAAAACCTGATAAACCTGACTATATCACACCATCACCAGAATTCAAGAATAGGAAAATAATACATTATCAGCATTTAACCAAACAAAAGAACATCTAAGATGTAGTCAATACTCATACCTACCTCAAAATAACAACTTTGGAGTTATATATTGACCACAGATATAGTTACACTTATATATAACAGATAAAATTTTTCCTTAAGAGTTGTATGTTTTTTAAAACTGTTTACCATTAACCGTATCTATTAAACAAAAGGAGACACTTAATCATTAGTCAGCATTACTAAATGGAGAGCCAAATACTGACTTTGTACAGCTTGTATGAAGTTGCATATTCTTTAAAGTTTAACCATTACTCAAACTTTTAGTGCATTACAATAAATGGCCCTTGTGTCAACCTCTATCAGAAGTTCGTATAACAGCCATGTCAGTGTTTATGGTAAAGAGAATTAAAAAAGCATAAATATGGTGTAGCTTTCAATGACAAGTTCATACCAAGTTTCATGCAAATCCATCAGGAGTTATTAGGGTGGGCGGGACATGCACACACACAGATATGATATCATCAGCCTATCCTTTCTTATAAAACAGGATAAAATAATTTTATAAGCAAAACTTATAGACCAAAATATCATGAGTGAAGTGAGATATAATATGTGCTAGTCCAGGAATCCTGCACATAGCAGTCAAAGGGTTAAGGTCTACACAACTCATTTAAAATTCTTATATAGTGCAATGTCTCACAGTTGGAAGTCCATAACAGGAGAATTGAATCCAGTTTTCAAAACAGGGTACTTCCAGTCTTGTAATTCTGCTCCAGGATATTACACAGAAATGAAATGTCAAATGTTTTGATGTCTTCATATTATTCTTTATGATTCAGAAAACAGAAAAACAGTGTAAATTTATCTGCTGAGTATTAACCAGATTCATTCTCCCATCAGAAAAGAAAATTGTATACTGTATTTGTGGGGAAGATAGAAAGGCAAAATGATACCAAGGAACTTGTATTTATGTCACTTCCCATAGACATCAGTGGCACAGCAATCTGCATCTGACCAGCATGGGCATAGTAAAATAAGGTTAAAAAAATCCATCGCAATTGTATTACCTCTTGCATCTACATGTGGTAATACAGCAGTCCTTTTGATAAATATTTCACATGCAAGATATACATCTAAATGCTTTGTCATCACATTCTGTGGCATGATGTAAAACAATTCAAAATTATACGAAGAGGAGAAAAAAAAAGTGTTATACAACAAAGTCACTCTGAATTGTAAATCATTCTGTATAATGATATTCTCCCTACTGTCAAGTTGTTACCTTCCAATCAGTCTGTCAAGTTTCTTCTAGACACAAATCTCTTCTTCACCGTATCACTCCAACACAAAAGCACCTGCAAGTTCTCAGCTTGACATATCCAACTCTTCCGTTTCCCCTTCAGCCTCTGCCTCTTCCTCCATGTTCATATCTGACAGTTCTTCCCAATGATCTTCTGATTCACTGCCTAAAGCTGTGTCTTCTATTCCACTGCCTTCCTCTGAGTCTGAAACAAGATAACATTTACATTTACTGAAAGTTCCTTAAATCATAGTGGTTCAAAAATGTAACATCACAATATGAACTTATTATGTTTATTCATAAACGAAATTATCATCTTCTGGTCACAAAATTAGGCTGACATATGACCTGTCTCAGCAACAGCATACTTTCCAGACAAGCCACATCTTATACTTTTTCTGTTTCTGAAATACAAGTGCACCTTATATTCACCAAATTATGATACTTATGTCTCTCTATGATCTGCAATGCAGACACACTAATTTGTATCTCTTCAATTACATTTGTTTGTACTGTCAGTATTTACAACAGAACAAAAAAGTACCATCTCTGAACATTCTAGTAACGCAAATATGCACAAATATCACCTCAAAAAAAACAGGACTTTCTGAAGAAATTTCATTTATGGAAATAGGATCAAAATTGAAAATTTGGAAACACAAATAGGTACAATGAATGAGGAATAAGACCCTACAGACAACAGAAAATGCAGCATTCTTGAAGCATGAGGATATGGACAGAATGGGAAAGCAGACATGGCCAACACACAAATTCACTGGACCTCTAGTAGAAAATCTGGAGAGACAATAAACACAGTGGTTTAGAAGGACAGAAGAAAGGAATTTTAAGTAAGACAATCAGAATCTAAGACAGTATGAAATGCGAGAAAGCATATATATGAAAACTGAAAAGAAAAAAAACCAAAGACACAGAACTGGATGCTCAATACCTTGATCCTGGAATACAAGAAGACTTTCCCCAAGGTCTCCAGTGACATTCCCCTTGTTGCTTTCCCCCATCTGATCCACCAGCAAATCAAGGCGACCACGAAGTCGAGACAAAGGTGCCAACAGCCCCAACCTTGTTTCCACTAGTCCTAGGACAGGAGACAATGTATCTCTTACATCAGAGTTGGCCATCAACTGACCAGCATGTGATTTAATAACAGCTTTCAGCCAAAGGACAGCAATCTGACTCCTGAAAACAACAAAGCAATATGTTTCAACTCTCAGCACACATTTTAAAATGATAATCCACATTTCCAAGCTCTCCTACATTTCTGTAAAATTCTGGCAAATAAAACTGGTAAAGCACACTTAAATTTAGAGTACACACAATACCCAAAATCACACTAAGAGATGATCACGGCTAACAGCAGCTTTCCTCCGCAGCCCAACCAGTTTTCAAAAATATAAATAGGTGACATTCCTAAGATGTTTATATTTAATACATTTAGGCTTAACTGGAAAGTCACCATATTATCCCTGCACCTCACCCACTTTGTGAACGAGGAAGTTCAGAACCAATATTTTTTAAAACACTTTGAAACATTAATATTTGAGGGAAATATACTTTCATGTTACCTTACCTGCTCCTTATTGGTTAGTTACTGCAAAATGGATTTAGATTAACTGCAGATTAGAAAAGCCTCAACCCTTTCACTGCTGGCTTACCTTTAAGTGGAGCCATTTATAGCAATACACTAGCAGTCTACAATATTTCACAGGAAAAAAAAGAACAGCAACTAATCTAAGTACATTCAATAAATCACAAAAGTACCGTCTAGTGACAGAGGAAAAGAAGTACATGATCAAAGTTCAGTCTGAAACACGACTACTTTTGTCTTCTCATGGCATATTTCTGACTGAGACTGGCTATGGTAGTCTGGACAAAGCACCATTAACACCAAACTTGAATACAGGAGTGAAAAAGTTAATATATAATGAAAAGTTGACTCACGCTATTGTCTTGCCCTGGATGAGTGTGACAAGTTCCTTAAGTAGTGGAATAGTGCACTGAAGAGAGAGTCTCATAACAGTGCTGGAAATAAGGGCTGGATCATTCTTCATCAAGACACTCTGCAGGATCTTTCTGTCCTTACTGCATAGTCCCTGGAACAATGACCATCAATTTGTTTAACTTTTTTGTCTTAAATCTCTTACATCTGACGGTGCACTATCGGAGGAAGGAAAATAGCCTCAAGACACAGACAGGTGAACCATATTCCAATGCAACAATGGCAGGTGTATGTGCTGCTGGTTATTAGTAGTTTCACCAAATACAAAATAAGGTGAGATTTATAACTTTTCAACTTTCCAATGGCTTAATTTAACTTCATCTAAACTAGGTTCTGGCACTAACAGTTCAGGCATATGTATTTTAATCTGTCTAACATCTTAAGTCCCATGAACATTTAAGAGCTCGCTAAAGAAATTTTTCCACCTATTCACAATTTTTATTGGATCTGCAAGCAAATTGCCACTATCATCCTTTACCAAATTAGTCTGAGGTTGATATCCTCTCTTGGAAGCCAAGACTAAGAGAGTTGCTAGTGGAATTTTCCACTAGTAACAGTAAATCTCCATTACTGAAGCTGAACTGGATATAGCTTCAGTACAGTGTCACTTATTCCATAACATATAATTCTGCACGTGGATAGATTTCATACACACAAGAATCAGAAATTACATGTGAAATCTAATTTTCCTAACATGTTCATAAATGACCTCCAGATTCACACTACTTAGAACAGGCCCATCCAACCTGTAGCTCGCAGGCAACATGTTGCCTGTGACACAGTGTTATTTTGCCTGCGGAGGCATTTAAAATAAGAAAACGTCTTTTAATCCTTTCCCCGGCAACTGAGCGACAGAACATCGAAGCAATTCCACCTGTTTCCGGGCAAACTACGAAAGAATACTTAGCACCTGCTCAATATTCCCAAGAAACCCTTATTGTTAGTAACTGTCCTTTGCCGGGATTAAAATAACTTTGTCGATGATTGCCGATGTGTATTGTTATGGGGATGTTTTCTAGTTAACGACTTGCAGATGTGCAGGTACCAGCAGCAGCTTCTTTCTGATACTTACATTGCCGAACTTACAATCGGTCTCATCATGCAAAAGATCACACCCAAGTTAAAATCAATGCAATAATATTTTAAAAAGGTTATGAACTTTTTATTTATGGAGACATATATTACACGACAAATTATTTTTGTAAAAATGTGCTAAAAATAAAAACACCCCAGCCTAGGTTGTGAATTGCAATTTTATTTACAAAGTCTTAACATTATCATCAGTATATTTTTATTGTAGATAATGTATAGAAAAATATGCAGATAAAGTGTGTGTGTGTATACATTCCACAGTTTATGTATTAAACTTCATGTTGCCCACATACAGACCACATTTTGCCAAAGTTGCCTGCACAACAAAAAGGTTGGGCAGGCCTGACTTAGAATTTACTGGTACTTTGAACAAGATATGCTAAGACATACAAACCTGCATAAGCAGATGAGCCATGCTGTCTGTCCTTGGAGGTTCGTGGCCACCAGCTTCTTGCCTCGTAAGACTTAAGTTTTCGAGACGTTCCTCCATAGGTACATCTGACTTCAGCTTTTTGCCTCTCTTTACAGGTGTCACTACTGTTGCTGTTTGGGAGACATATTCAACACTATCACTAGCCTCTGGAATTTTTACCTGCAGAAGAAAATAAATATAAGAAAATAATGCACAGAGAAATAACCTTCACACATTATGAATATTTTGGACTCTGAGCACACAAATATATATTACAAGTGGGGGTGAAACTGGAAATCTTCTGGTCATGTTTTCCAGTGTGATTCAACCACATTTGGAATTCTTATTACCTGTTACGTTCATAAGGGCAGAAGACTTTTAATCCACTGGCAAACAAGGGAGGTGCATTCAAAACACCACCTCCTCTTTACATATTCAATATTTACAGACATTTTGATTTCTGCTCACATAATGCACTTTTAAGAAAAGTTCTATATCACATTTAGAATATCTATAATAATGTTCAAGAACTCTCAAACATGTTCTGTTAAAATGTTTTGGAAAAGTTGAAACTAAAATCTGTCAGTTACAAAACTAACTGCAATGTCTGTGTCACACGAGAAGACGGCAAACAACACTTTCATTCATGCATCTCAGAAGACACTGCCACTTTCATTATATGTATGTACTTGTACTTATTTTCATTGGTAACATGCTGGACACAACAACTTTTAACTAAGATAATCTTACTGCATCGCAGGCATCCTACCTTTGACACTACACCATCCCTTGATGTACTCTTCTTCCTAGGATCTTGTCTCACCAAACATACCACTTTTTCATGTTCCTTAGGACACTGTAATATAAAACACTCAATAAGAACAGCTTTTCAACAGGTTTATTAACAGCCATCAATTTGTTCACACTTCCTGTGAAATAATAAGTTAACTTCATGCATAGTCTATACCTAATAAAAGACTGTTTAGGCAGCATATATTACCATATTTATCGAAATACCATGCACACTTTTCCTAAAATTGTTGCACAAAAAAACCAGATGGGCATCATATTTTTGGATTTGATATGAAAAGCACAGAGTGCAATGCAAAGGGCAGTTGCAGACTTGCAAGATTGTATCAGTCATTTGGAGATGCAAGAAACCTGTCCTTCAAAATCTTCACCAGCCTAGCAACAGGAGAAAGGGGTCGAGGTCGAGGTGTACTGGTTTATGCAACAAGGCAGCAAATAAGTATTCACCATATTCCATGCAGTGGCACACGCTACACATGGCTCATACTGTGCATACCACAGAGAAATGTTATTTTGGATGGTGGCACAAAGCATATCAAAATAACATCCCTCCTGCCAGCAGCATGTCTTGTGAACATAAAGAAGAGGGGTCCTGTAAGACGACAAGATAATGCTGCTGACAGTATAGTTCTTACCAGTGAATAAAACAAAGCAACTGCAAAAATTTAATGTCTAAAAAGCAGGGAATCATACAATAGCCAGAAAGTCTGAAGAGAGTGAAAGTTGCACCCAAGACTTAAAAAAATTTAAGAGTTTTCTACGAAATAGCAGTTACTGGTCGGCTTTTCACTTTCATATTTCATCCAGAAGCAAAAGTTGTCAGATGTCAAGTGAAGGGCTCTAATTTAAGGACTGAGGAGTAATGAAAGAAATTGGAATCCAAGGACAAGCTGAGGATAGTTCCACAATTTTTTTAACAAAACAATTTCTGTGTAAGACAACAAAGCATTGCACAAAGCCTTCCTAATGTGTATGAATAACAAATAACAGCGTTTCAAAAGTAATGGTACTGGTAAATAGTTCATCACAACCACAGAGCTGAAAAGAAACTGCAGGACTTGCTTCCATCAAAATTAATTCTGTACACAGTCACATATTTAAAATTACAATTGTCATCATTAAACAAGTTGGTAACATGATACTCACTATTGTCTCAAATGAGAGAAAAACTGGACTCCCATGAGCTATAATGATACCGGATCCCAGCTTCATAGCTCCAAGGATTGGGATTCGCTGCACAGCATCCTTGCTCTGACCTGTGTCAGTTGCTATCTGTACTGTTACTTTTGGCTTCAAGGGTTTAGAGCACTTTCTGTAAGGGACAAAATATGAGTACCTTTCTGCAAACTGATGGTCTTTTATACATGCAACTATTACTCACATCCAAAAACCGCTAATCCTTCATTCCATAAACGTTTATGTTATACAACCAAGACCGTAATTATGAAAGCCATAAAGGAATTGAAGACAAGAGATATTACAAATTTGACTCCTATAAACGTTTTCAATGCAGCAAGACAAAATTAGAATAAACACTGATATGATCTCAAAACAACTGTAATAACTTAATTATTTTACTTTTTTAGTATGTCCTCTTCCCTTGAAAGAAAAGACTGGACTGATCTGGATATACAAATTATCTATTATGACAAACTTGATTTGAATTTTTAAAACTTAACAGATGGGCAACATATAGTGACAAGACATAAACAATGAGTATAATGTGAAATGCAATCCACATGCACAACAAATTACACCGTGCTTTATTATAAAAGAAATAATGACATGGAAACAACTCTCATCACTAAATAATTTTATATAGCACCATCAAAGAAATCGGAACATACTCAGACTAATACACGATGAAAGAAATCAGCTTCAACAGGATCTAAAAGCACTATTTCACAGTATACTCATTAAGTTATAATATTCAATTGTGATACCAGATAATTTTCTCTTCAGGTATCATGGTACATTATCAAAAGCTGAAGAATAATATTATGGTGGCCACTGAAAAGTAAGATTTTGTTCTCTTCACTGTCTACAATTAAAGAAGACCTACAGGTAGAGTATATTATGGTGAAACTAGAGAATGCCACACAATCAGTGTGACTCACCCATTCAGCTGATGCCTGTATACGTGCAGTACGCCACTGCTAGTAACTGCAACCACACTGGTTGTATCAGTACTACACAATGACACACTTGTTGCAACATCTTCCATCGCAAATGATGCCACAGCATTCTTATCTTGACTCCTTAAACTTAATGACCTGTAATAATACAAAAGTAACAATTAAGAACTCTGCTAGCTTGTTCCTTTCAGTAAAATGCAGAAGCACACACCATGCAGGTGAATAGGTGATGTGGTCAACCTCACACTCTGGTTGCCCTCCAGCAGAACTCAATAGACCAGGGGTTATCAACCTGGTCCCTACCGCCCACTAGTGGGCGATCAAGCTTTCATGGTAAGCGGTGAGGGTTTTTGTCTGTTGTTACAAATTTTGTTCTTCCTCCATATATCGAATACACTGCTAACAACTTAGCGAGTTTGACTTTTTAAAATATGCTTTTGCAATTTACTTTTGAATATAGATAATAATTCACCGGACACTTCTCGAAGTATACTTGTGGACGAGGGAGCAACGAATGAGCTCCGTAGCCAAAGGCACGAGTTTAGTGCGCATAACGAGGGCGGGGCTTACCACCAGCCATCACTCAGTCTTCGAGCTGTAGCTCTTTCATGGTGGTGGGCAGTACGTGCGGCACCGGTGGTTGGTAAGGAAATTTTACCATCAACAAAGATACAAAAGTGGGCGGTAGGTATAAAAAGGTTGACGACCCCTGCAATAGACAGAAGACAAGTTGGGCCCCAGATCTGTTCTGGAAAGCGTAGTGTCACAGATATACAGTGAAACCTCGATGCATCGTTTTCGGCGGGGGTGGGAAATAAAAACGATGAATGCGGGAAAACGATAGATGCGGGAAAGCATTAAAAATTTAAAAAAAAACAATGTTTCTCTTTCAAAGTTACTTCTTTTTACCAAAAAAAGTCTTTAATGGACAACTGGTTTGTCGAAACTTTACGTTTTAGGCCAAACAGAGCCCTTTCCACGTTCAAAATTTAAAAGAGACTTAAAATTCACCTTCAATGGAACAAGTATTTAAATTTCCTGACTGCCAACAATACATAATTCAAACTGTATAATATATATGAATAATAATCTTACACATGACAAATGGTTTTTATTTACTTACAAGGTGATAAGTAAGTATTTATATAATTAAAACTAATTCAGTTACACTACAACTGTGTTTTGGCAGAAAACTATTAACAGGCTCTCACAAACTGTATTATGTATACTATGTGTCTACATTTTGAAGCACCATAGTATATACTCAATTATTATTAAATATGCCAAGCATTATACATTACATAAACAGTAAAGTTAAATTACAGTTAACTAACATGGTTAGATCCTGGAAGTGATGTTCCATTTTAATACTTATGATTACACAAAGGCACTTAAGACCATTTGTATTCTTTATCAATGATGCCATACAACACATTACAGTTTCTGTTGACAGGACTGGAGAATGTACTATGTTGTTAGGTGCAGTCTTCCACCTGACAGTAACAGTTACATGTAGGGTGGAGATGTAAGTTCTTACAGCAGAATAAGGTGCTTTCTGACAATGACCAGTACACTAAATTATCTCAATTATTTTAAAAAATAACCCAGTAAACTTACTTACCATGCACTGAGCAGTCGGTCATTCTTGGCTGCACTTATGAAGTAACTTTCTGTACCTGGGACAAGTGTCAGAGATGTCACTTCTGAAGCATGACCCGTATACCTACGCATAAGTTTCTTGCTGGGTATGTCCCACAAGCCAATTGTACATCCTGCTACCAGTAGTGAATTACTGTCTGGCAGCACCAGCAAACATGTAACTCGCTCTGACCCAGCTTTCCATTTGCTACACGGTGAAGAAAAATAAAGAGATAGAAATACTATAATACAAACATACCGAAGTTCACACCAAAGACAGTAGGCACACACAAGAGAAAGAACGTCCCTGTTGGCAAGGCAGGAGTTTCTAAAATTACAGGGCATTAAGACTATAAAACAAGAATATGCCTAGACGGGAATGAGAATCTATTATATGACAATGTGCAGCACAGTTCACATATAACAAGTGTGGTGTGTGTTCAGCGTGCAAAAGAGGCTGGCAGGAAAGAATATTGTAAATAATAACAGGAACAGATATTAGTGTTGAGGTGAATATGAGAAGCAACAACATGAGAGCCCCTTTTGCGCTTGCGGTAACTGCTTGGAAGAGCCCATCTTGACCAGAAGTCATTTTTGTGTCTGCCAAATGAAAAGGTTATATGAATCAAATTAGTGACGATAGAATGATTACAGATAGGGTGGCTGGGAAGTATTTGGAAAGAAATTAAAGTTATCTTCTTTTTAAAGCACAACCTAAAGGGACAGATAAAAATCAGTCTAGATAGCCAAATGTGCAGCTGAGATGTAAATTATATCTCAAAAATATTAAATATAAACACTAATCACTACACTCAGCCATGCCATATTTCAGGCAGTTAGTTGCCAGCTTCTCACTGTAGCAGAGGGACCTTTGGTGGACAAAGTGGCATTGTGACAGGTTTCTCTCTGGGTTCATAATCATCCCAACACTACTCCATATTCATAAATGTACTATCTGGGAGATGAACAAGAGACTCATCAGCAGCTGCCCACAGCAATAACAAAATTAACCTTTACACTAAGATGTTTAGTGCATAAGTTTGAGATACGACTGCAAACACCACTTACAGTCACCCTCCAAATAACAGTTCCTTACCTCTTAACAGAGCAGTCAGCAACATTCCACTCTACAATATGTCTGTCATCACAGCTAAATAAATTGGAACCTCTGCTCCAAGCTACATGATTCACGGCAGAACTGTGCCCACTATCTAGCTGGCTGACCATGCTGCCACTGGTAACACTGTATAACAGCAAATTGCCTGAAACTGTTCCTAGTGCTAAAGTGTCTGTCTCAGACCCATGTTCATCTGATTTCCGCTTCTTCCTCTTCCGTGGTGATACCTATCAAGCAAAATGTCACTGATTACTTCTCATTTAGACGAAGGAGACATTCAGCAACATATGAGGTATAATTCCACAGCAAAACATTTCATTATATTTTACACTAAACAGATTATAATAATTTTGTTCCAACAAATCACTATGGAATGACAGACAACAATTTGTATTAAACACACAATTGTATTTTAAAAGAAAGAAGTATATGTATCACACTGCATGAAGTATATGAAATATTTAGGCAAATTCACAACTTTCTGATAATATACAGCCTCATTAACTCTGATAATGGAACCTAGGGACTGAACATCACTAATACAAAACTGCAGCTTTCAAAAATGTTCAACACCAAAATTCCACATGCAGACTATTTTTCCATATCCAAGCTAAATGTCTAGACAACCGAGACCCTTGACTTCATCTGCTCATGAATCACATCAATTGCTTGTGGAGTAAGTTCAAGTGGCAGATCATGACTTTTTCAAAAGTGTTAGCCCAATCACAAGGAGGGGGAAGGGAGGGGTTACCAGGATGCATAAGTCACAACACAGAATACATGTATAACAACAATATAACAAATGTTATACAATTAAAATCATGAGAAATGTGATGCAGCATACTATGTCAAATGCCAGCATGCAAGCAACCACCATGTCCCAAGACTAACATGACATTATATCTCGCAACTGCACCTACGCAAACAGACAGTAAGTATTGGCTCACCTATGTGGCCTGGGTGACTGCAGCTGGCTAATAAATAGAACTGTCCCACTATATGCCATGTAGGAGCTTGGGGAAAAGGGAGGTATATCTCCTACTCATTCTTAACCTCAGCATTAGATATGGATGAGTGGTCAGCATCACACTCCGCCCACAGTTTACCCCTCGGAAAGAACCCCAGTATCTATTGGATAGATTGTACAGGGGGCTTGGTAGGTCCCAGAGGTGGTATGGATACAGAGGGTACAGGAAAAATCCTCTGCCCCAATCATCCAGTCTATAGTCAGTGACCATACTGACTGACTTACCCAGGCTCATCTGCATGTATTTTATCTGATTGGTTCTGCTGCGTTCCAGTGTATGAAGTACCAATGAAGCAAAGGTTTTTCATTCTTCAATGTGTTAGCCAAAGTAACACAATTAACATGACCTCTCTGCCCCAGGCTAGTTCTAAACATTAAGTCCAGGCAACAATATTCACCGCACAGAACATAATTTGTAAAAAGCAACGTGTACAAAATATCCTATTCCTTGATGCTGCTATGCCACTAAACCAGTGTACATAATGAACAAAACCAACTGTAGCTGTATGATACTAATGTGTGGCTCACAAGATCTGTTAGAGAAGTTACAGGCTACAGACTCGATAACTACAGTTCAATCTGTGGCAGGAGCAGAAACTTTTCTTTTCAATACCACATTCAGACTGGCTGGGGTTTGGAGTTCAGATTCTTATTCAGTGAGTACTGGGGGCTCTCTTCTTAGGGGAAAAGCAGTGTGAAGCTGCCCATTGATCTCCATTTAGTTCTGAGACTAAAAATGTATTGCACTTTACCTTCACTCCTTCATACATCATGAAGTGGTTTTTAAGCACAGGAACAACTTTATTTTTAGCTTACTTACATGATCATAATTATATTAAACACATAGGTGACATACATAATAAATTCTTTGTTTAAGAATTAATACACTGTGCCTTTGGCAACTTAAACATCAAATTGTATGTTATGGTCTCAGCTTATTGGCTAATTTGCCTAGTCTTGAAGGTAGATCAAATTAGTTTCTTTTAATGCAAACCTTTGCGTTTACTGTACATTTATGTAAGTATAAAACTACAATGAGGTTAACTAATCTGTAAAAGGAATGAGGAAACAGAATCATTACTTAATCCTGTTCTTTATAACGATTTTAACTGTTTGTTGTCGATATGTTTAACAGAGACATCTTGCACCACTTGCTGTTACTGACCTTCTAGGAGAACTAGACGAAATGAAAGTCCGTAAAAGAAATGCATGCTACTTATGAAAAAACTGTAAGTACCTTTCCTACCAATTCTGTGCTTTCTTCATTGGGTTTCGTGTGTGTAATAAATATCATCAGAACTTATCATGCACGAACTCAAAACTGAGCTCCACTCAATACAATCCGTATTTAATATTTATTTCAACGATCCACATGGCTTACCGAATTTCTAGATGCTACCCATGTAAGACAAGTACATGGAGAGGACAGATGTAAGTTTGGTGTATATTCTTGACTTAATATCCCAGATTCCGTTTCCCACACCTTCAGCTTCCCATCTACACCACAATATCCAAAATATTTTCCACTTTCTGAAAAAGCCGAACACTCCAAAACCGCCATATTGAGTTTATAATGCTCTTCTACTACACGTGCCAAACATTGCACATCGGATCAGAGAATCTTACACTGAACACACAAAATTGTGGACAGACATCAATCCAAGCATTTTGACACGAATTGTTTTAAGCATAGCCATAAAATACATTAACGGTAAAAAATGCCATTCAGTTTCTAAAAAATGCACCTCCAGTCAACACAATACACTTTAATTTAACTTTTCAACCCCCCAACTTTTCCACGAAGAACCATCATCTACGGATTACCAACACATTCTCATCGTACCAAGGATCTTAAACACAACACAGACATGGATGGAGACAAAGTACATGAAGCGAGATTCCACTTATAACTTCTACTACCAGAGTGCATGACATTAAACAGACTCCAATTTCTTCACATAATGAAACAAAATTTTTTCTGATAAATCACATTGCTTGTGAAATATATGCAAAGAAAGTAGAACAAATTTTGGAGGCTCTAAATAATTATATATTAGTGCATCTCTGTATTTATTAAAATATTTTTTTATACAGTCGATGTGCAGTCACTTCGCGTGCAAATAATGATATTATATATTTTTCCAACAAATGAAACGAAAGATAACCATCGTAAATGACACAGAAATAACAGACTTTGCCGAAACTAAAGTTATTCTGCAATCGAGATTCGCGTTTCCATCATCGAGGGATGAAATGATGAGGGCTGCCCCGGCCTCTTTTAGGCTCAATATCGTGCTTTAAGTTTGAAAGCCTTCTGTTGTGACTTTCATTTGTAAATATCCCGTTCTTTTGTGTCACATTCACCCAATTTAACTGTCTTATTTCAATACAATAGCTAAAAACCCTGCAATTCCGTTTACAATGCCTAAAATGACGTGCTTTCGAGGCCAAAATAATTGCGAAAGAGGACACTTGGATGAACTAGGCCCCAGAGCTTCCGAAGTTTCTCTTGGGCTGAAACTTCTACCAGACTACACGGCACAACAACCCAGAAGATAGCCATCTTCTGACTCACTGCCGTGAAAACCTCAAATACAACGTTCTTTTGGTCCTTCTAGCATCCCAAATGTATCTAGAAACAACAATCTAGCTTCATTTATTTTACCACTCTGGCGGTTTAGAAGCCATTGGTCACATCTTTGTCTCCAGTAATGTACCTATTCAAGCGGTAGTCATTTTCGTTAAATAAAATTCCTAAAAATTATTTCTAAATTTCAATAACTGATAATTGATGTCTGAACAATTCTAGGGTTGGGGTTGCACAAGTTACTGGATATGATGGAAGAAGGATGTGAGATATGATTGTATAGTTACCTCAAACATTTAACCCATACCCAAGTTCCCAGAAATGGGGCTTACCACACTGAAATCTAGGCCCAAGGGTGCCCTTTACATGTTTACTGAATTCATAATTTTTTTTGAATTTACAAGTGTAGATCAATACATACATTGTTCACAATTTAATTTTTAATTGTTGAGTGCCCCCTGAGAGTTTTGACAATTTCTTTTGCCCACATTCAGGTTCCCTTCAATCAAATCTCTTCATTTTGCCTCAGAGGACTTTCATTGTCTTGGTCAACAGTTCAGCATAGTTTTCTGCAGTTGCTTGCACATTGTGTATCCTGGCTTGATATATACATACACATGCACATGAGCCAACACTACTATCTTCTTTACATACATTTGAACAAATATACAGTTTGTCATTGAAGGCTTTTACAGCAAAATACCTTTAATTAGCCTATTTTGAAATGCTGTCCCTAATTGGGCATATACCTTACTGCCTAATATCATGTTTATTTCAGTTCTTATTCTTTATGAACTTTGACATGTGCAAGTGATTGATTGTAGATGTAGTCCTCATAAGACCATGCCATGCAACATAAAATTCTGTGTTCCAATTGAAGGACCTGCAAATGTATACTGAACCTGGGCCTTACTCAGGGACACTAACAACTGGAGAGAGAAAAGCCACCAAATGTATCTAGAAACAACAATCTAGCTTCATTTATTTTACCACTCTGGCGGTTTAGAAGCCATTGGTCACATCTTTGTCTCCAGTAATGTACCTATTCAAGCGGTAGTCATTTTCGTTAAATAAAATTCCTAAAAATTATTTCTAAATTTCAATAACTGATAATTGATGTCTGAACAATTCTAGGGTTGGGGTTGCACAAGTTACTGGATATGATGGAAGAAGGATGTGAGATATGATTGTATAGTTACCTCAAACATTTAACCCATACCCAAGTTCCCAGAAATGGGGCTTACCACACTGAAATCTAGGCCCAAGGGTGCCCTTTACATGTTTACTGAATTCATAATTTTTTTTGAATTTACAAGTGTAGATCAATACATACATTGTTCACAATTTAATTTTTAATTGTTGAGTGCCCCCTGAGAGTTTTGACAATTTCTTTTGCCCACATTCAGGTTCCCTTCAATCAAATCTCTTCATTTTGCCTCAGAGGACTTTCATTGTCTTGGTCAACAGTTCAGCATAGTTTTCTGCAGTTCTATTTGCACACATTGCTTGCACATTGTGTATCCTGGCTTGATATATACATACACATGCACATGAGCCAACACTACTATCTTCTTTACATACATATGAACAAATATACAGTTTGTCATTGAAGGCTTTTACAGCAAAATACCTTTAATTAGCCTATTTTGAAATGCTGTCCCTAATTGGGCATATACCTTACTGCCTAATATCATGTTTATTTCAGTTCTTATTCTTTATGAACTTTGACATGTGCAAGTGATTGATTGTAGATGTAGTCCTCATAAGACCATGCCATGCAACATAAAATTCTGTGTTCCAATTGAAGGACCTGCAAATGTATACTGAACCTGGGCCTTACTCAGGGACACTAACAACTGGAGAGAGAAAAGCCAAGTCCTTCTGACCAGATTAAAGATTGACAGAAACTTGCAAGGCTAGAAACAAAGATAAATGGTTCTTTTTACACTTATTCCAAAGGATATACCTGGTAGCATTTATCTCACAAGGACTATCCCATCATGTCTTATATATAATTACTTTATACATTATATAAAATATTACCATAAAAGATACAAATTAATTCTCATAACATTTGTAGCATTCCTAGTTGAGCTATGCCTAACAGGCTCTGTCATCTTCCACCCTTTTCTACCTGGAGATGAATGCAGACTCCATCTTCCAAAACGTTTTATTTTATAATTTAGACAATAGACAAAGTCTAAAAGAACTATTTTACATACATTATCATTACAATCACAACCAAGAAAGATGGCTCCTTGCTTTACCACTTTGTTGTTTTCACAGTTTATTTATATGTAACTGTGGTAAGACAATACTGAAGAGGAGACAGTTAATCACCAAGTCACATTGACTACTGTTCTGTTGGGTTCCAACACTGAATAGGCCAAATATGTCATATGTATGTGGCATATAGCCAATTGTGATAGAAGTCGTGTATCATGAGTATTGGCAAAATAGTCTTCTAAGTTCCTTAAAAGATGTAATCCGTTATGAACATGACATGTAATGACTGAAATGGATGGTTTCACATATTTTGTCAGTAAGAAAAAGAAATGCAAGCCATTCAGCATCAACTATTACCACTTCAAAACTACCTTCTACATTATGCAAGAACAATAATAAAACAATTCCAATTTGTTGTATGAAATAATTTCAATTAGATTTCCTCCTACTTAATATAATTATATATATGATGAACATAACCAACATATGCACATGAACAAATTAAGAAACTTGAGAATAATTCCATGCATAGAGATATACAGTTCTGCGATAGTTTTATCTCAAGCGAAATAGTTTTTGTCCTGTATATTACACAAAGTATCGTATACAGTACCACTACAAGATCCATTACACTGTAGTACCTCATTAAATATTCTTGCTTGTGTCCAAATCTTATTTTTGGAGTCAATAGGTTATTTTCAAAACAAGTTAGAGGTACTGAAACAGGCACAGCAGAATTTAACGAAACTTGCTGCTGCATTTCTTCAAACACAAAGTGGTACAAAAATACAAATTACTCTCACAAGAATTATTTTATTCATTTGCCAAATTATATACATCCAACTTGCAACAACTATGCTCTCTTTGAAACACTTCTAGATTAAAAGAAATGAGAGTTCAATCTCTGGGAATTGAGAGGGATAAACAAGATATATATATGAGTAAAAGTCAGCTTTCTCATATAACCAAAATCTTTTAACATTTTACCCAAACCTAATTCATACTCCACAGTTGCACCAAATTGTGAATTGTCTAATAACAGTTACCAAATCCCACCAAGCCTACATGATGAATAATAATCAATGGAATAAAAGGTTTGTTCCTCTCGTCTCCACTTCAAGATAAATTAATCACATTCCAAATTTGAGACAATGGTTCTCAAAAACTCAAGCTAAAAACATAAGAAAACTAAAACACTATGACTGCCTGAACCAGCGTTCAGTTTCCGGGCACTTGTTTCTAACAAGGAGTAACAAAATTTAAGAAACCATTCTCTTCTGAGATGAACATGTACGTTCATGTACTAAAGTAGTCATCTAATAATTGATAAGTTGCAATAAGATGAACTGTGGTAACCCAGACATGAACTTGTCTGGAGTAGCTTGGGGGACCGGAGTTTGACAGGAGAAACTACAACATTACACTCACATCCAGAAACACAAATGTTACAAAATGAAACAACTACGTGTACATTATTGTTTTTATATAAAACTGCCAAATTCACACTAAGCACTTCTCTATTTACATTCATCTGGAAAAAAAATGAAGGAAGTACACTGAAGTATATAACTTTAAATTAACATAATCCCTAGCTTTCCATATTTTTGTAGATTTTCATTCATACTCATTTGGAAAAAAAATACAATACAAGCAGCATTTTTCACTTTGCTGCTATGAAAAATGCCAAGACCTTAAAAAAATACAATATTTGTTAATAACATGACGGACAAAAAATAAATGATAATTGCACTAATGTCGGAAATGTTTCAGCCTCTCTAACGTTACGATGCACTTAATGACACCTGTTGGAAAACCAGCATCGCTTGAACAACTGACACATAGTCACAAGCCACTCGTCATGAATAAAACATCACTTGTGAACGAGGCAGGAAGGGAGATAAACAGGCAGCACTAATGTTTTCATCATCCTGCCGCATACAAAACAAAGACTGTGTCAATCCAAACTTCCAGACAGCGTCAAAACCATGTACATTTCAATACTCTGAACTGGGATTCAATACACATTACCACACAAACTGATCACTAATCAGAAGTTCCATGGTAATCAAAAACCCAAAATCATCTCATGGTAATTTTCCACACATTAAGAAATCCAAGTTTTAGGATACATTTCTGTATGAAAACAGAATACAGTCAAAGCAGTACTGACACAGCCTTAGGCTAGGTTTGATTTGTAAATTTCAGGAGTAATGGAATGTTCACTTCAACTGAAACACTTTCACACATTGTCACCACAGCACTGCTTTATTATCCTTTCTCAGAATCACCAACAAATAAATATTTTAAAAAATTATGTTTACTCCTGGAGACTACTTTCTATTTAAAGTAATGAACTGAAGTTCTGATGTTGAATGGTCATGTACAAACGAAGCCTTCATGCAGCAAACCTGATGCTTCCTGCACACACAAATCAGACCAAAAATTTTAAAAGGCTGGGAAAACAAGGGGTCGACATAAATTATTAAACTCCCTCTTCTGTGGAGTCAAGAAAGGGAGGAACCAATCCTTACCATAAAATGTGTTTATTTATTAATGAATTGAGTGTAGCTTACTCAAAGGCAAGGGATGGATATTTGAGAAGTACCAGAACTTAATTTTATACTTTTCTGTGAATGTGACTTTGCAGCCCATGAACAGGGTAACTACACTTGCATGTATTAAAAGAAATATCACCTTTGCAGTAATTGGGCAGCTAGACACAGGAGGCAGTGATCTCTCCTCTCCAACGTTCAACCCTTGCTCTTCTGCAGAGTTGGAGTCATCACCACAGTGAACCACTATTGAGTTTCTGGGTGAATCATCGCCCTGAAACAACAATCCGATCTCTTATGTTACACATTCATCATTCAAATTTATTTTTAAATATTCTTTACATGAAACCAAAAATTAAACATCTACTTGAGCACACCAATCTTTTCATATCTTTTGAACTCATTAATGTTGCACCAAAAGTAAAGAGAGAAAAAAGTACATGTATTAACATTTCACAAATATACTGCACTTTATTTTATATGAAAACCTCTTGCAACACAACAAACAAAATTCTGAAACATCAGTCACATTTCTGTTGGTGCATTTTGTCGCAGGTTTATAACTTTTTATATAAATTCTGTTCAACCAACTCTAAATAAACTGCAAAAAAAAGCTGCGCTTACAGATTTTTTGTAAACTCTCTTTCCCAGGAATGATACTAAACAGTGGTTGAGCACACAGAGATAAATGATTTAGGAGATGAGTTGCAAAGGAATATTTACATCATCACCAACTGGTTACAGTTGAAAGTGTGATTTTATGAAGTCATTTGCTAATAACAAAAATATTTTTCTTATTTTTACTGCAAACTTCTGACTCACTATCATCACAGTTATTTCCACCCAGACTGGAATCTGTATGCAATTAACAAATTCCTTTAACAAACACAACACCAAACCTTGCACAGTCTACCATCCTCATGTACCTACAATTTTTAGATGACATGTTACCTAGATAGAAAATACTGGAATTACTATACTAAGAATCCACACATTCTACAATAGCGCAGGTAATAAAAAAAAGTTATCCACTGCTGGCAATAATTTAAAAAATCATGTAAACATGATACTAACAAAGCTGGATGTTTTATGGTGGTCTCAAGGAAAAGACTGATGAGAATGCAATAAACCATCAATGGCTCTCAGATGTTTAAAATGTAACATTAAAAGTCAAACAAATTACTCAAAATGTGTTTAAGTCTTACTCAAAGCCATACCCCCACATTCTTCCCTAAATCCCTACACCAACACAGACAATAATACATGCCTGGTTTGAGTTCTCCTCTCCTGTCTTGATTTTCTTGCGTGAATTCTCAGTAGGCGTGTCTGATGGCCGCTTTCTGCTCCCTGGATTACCATCAACTGCAGAGGGACTGTCACCATTGAGGGGGTGAAGTGGTGTATTATTAGAAGTTGCATTATTCTGAAAAAGGTTCAAGAATGACTGCATTATGCAGAATTGGCCACTATGGTCACCAGATCTCTTTCTGCTAGATGTGTGGGACCACATTAAGAACGTGGTATATATGGGAAAAAGAGAACTACTTCAAAATGCATTAATAATACAGCAGTTCCTCACTCAGTTACATGTCCCCAAACAAATCAGGATGTGCATCCAAGCTGATGGTAGCCACTTTGAAAAATTACAGACTATGTAGACTGTTAAATGTAATCTTTTTTTGCCAGTCTGCTCAATGTAATCTTGTTTTCCACTTTGTTCAATGTACAGAGTACTATACTGTAGTGTTTCTCAACTTTTCTACAGATCCCCTTCCCTGTCAACTCTTCTGATACTCTGTACTTCCTCCCCATACATTTTGATAAAGCAGAATACAGACAAACAGAATTGCAGTCTGATAGCACAGTTTTTTCTACATTTTTACTCCGATGTAAAAGGAAAAAATATTAAATTTTAAAACTTGCAGCAATACAGCATAAAAGATAAGAGCAGTATTTATTCAATTTGTGAATACCAAGCTGAGAAACAAAGTTGTACTGTCAATGTAATCTCTTTTTCCAAAAATAACTTGTTCAAGTCAAGCTACATTTCAAATACCTCTATAACTATTGAGAATTGAACCCACAATCATATGACATTTCTAACAGGAAAATACCTAAGAAATAAGATCTTGGATGTTATGGACAAAACCGCTGGACATCTGTACACTTTCGCAAATCTATTTTCCTAATGAGCAATGTTCAAGAAGAACACCTACAGCAGAATGAAATAACTTATTTCCTTACCTTCTTGTCCTTCTTCAAGAGACTTGGTGAGAGGTATGTATGCAGCTGCTTCCTGTAACAGAAATAATCACGCACTACATATAAATGAGTCCTCATTGCTAAATTTGAGTGGTTACTTTTGTAAATGGAGGGGTTAGTAGGAAGTAACTCACAATTTTCTCCTGCAGATTCAAAAATTAATAAAACTGGAATATGATGCCATGATGCAAAAAAGTTTATTCTTATCTGCAATTGGTGCTTGTTGAAAAAAAACATGTTACATACAGAAATAGAAAATGTTGAGCTATTACTATGTTAGCAGGTGTGAATGGTAACAGAGGAGTGCCCAATGCACAGAAGGGTTTGAAGCAAGGAACTGAATTACCTGAAGCAACAGGCTAATATCAAATTTTACAAACTGGGAATACTGCTTCCATAATAGAAACTTGTCAAACACAGTCCTGTCGTACATCTCCACTTACAGTACACTCCTGATCAGGCAATGGGACTTCTGCCTCTTTTGACACATGAAGGACTGGTTGATGGGTTGTTAGTTCAAGGATGTAGTGCAGGTACAAGAGACTTTGAAGAATGTAATATACTGGAGGTTACATTAGGAGGATTCTGATCATCTGAACAGCTGTACAAATACAGGCATAAGCATGTAGCTGCTGAGGGCAGTAAATTGAAGACAACTCAACTAACATTTTTTTTTTATTATTATTATTTTTTATTTTTAGTGTTCTGTCTGGCGACAGGTCCATATGAACAGGATCCTTCCATCCTTTTCTCGGACTGGGACCTGTTCATATACGTTCTTGGCAGATGATCCAGAAGTGGTTTGCCATTGCCTTCGTCTGTGTGTGAATGGAGTAATTGTTGGGATGCCACGGAGAAACCGGGGAAGCCTCCGTGTTGCCTAGACCACGGCCTTGCCCAACACAAGTTATAAATTCGGGCACCGCCGGGAATCGAACCCGAGACCCCAGGATTACAAGGCCAGCGTTCTAACCGCTAGACCACCGTGGCTTGGGCAACATTTTCTTACGGCAACCAAATTCAAGATATGGCTCCTGTCCTAGAACTTTCTGAAACTAACACATTATGAGGTTGGGTTTTACTGGTACCACACATAGAACATGCGTTATCAAGAATTATATTTACCTTTTAACATGTCTTGCCTCAATTTTCATACCATCCTTCAACATTTTTATTTGGACTGCTTGTCTGTGGACTGGAACAAAAATAAACAAGCATGACATCGGGCAACATTTCACAGAACTTAATAACAATTTTTAAGATTTCAACATACAAACAGTACTTACCAGAGTCAGTGAAGGACTGAATGTCATATGTGAGATCAACATTGAGGTTTTCAGTCTTTGCAAAAACCAAACCAATGAACCACATTGTGCAGAACTTGTCAGGCTCTGGTTCCAACTGTGAGAAGCACTCTGGGTTTACATGCGCCAACGTGATGTGTTGGTTCCTCTCGAGGTTTAGAATTAGATGACGTACCTTGGATTCCACCAAACCAACCCACTCCAACTGATCTTCGGCCGAAGAAGAACTTGCCAACAGCACTATGAAATGCCTGCAATAGTTCAACATTGTAACCCATTTTACCACGTGACTCTCTTATGAACGCCCTTGTACACTTTTGCCAAGATGTGTACATGAGCAGTACACACAAAATACGTACAGGTGAGCTATATCACCTCTTACATGGTTGGGAGAGAGGGCATACGTTGCATTCTGAAAGCATTATCCTTGGCCACACAAATATGAGACGCAGTCCAGCAGTTATCTCAAACAAATGTTATTCTGATACAGAATAATTACTTATTTCATGGTAAGTTGAATAAAATGCATTGGTAACCCATATGTTTACTACACACCTCGGAATTTCAGCATTAAAATGAAAGCAATATGTAAATAGCAACTACAAAATGTATGATCTTTGTGTCATTACAAATAACAGAATCCAAAGGCTTCCGACCTAATTCATTTAGGCTACATTGCATTAAAAATTCCAAATATTCATTCAAATTCAACATACTTGTACTTTCCAAAGAAGTTGGGTGGTTCAAAAAGTCTGTCCCATGTAGCCTTGCCAACCATAATTTCATCAGTAACGGCCAGGCCTTGCTTGAACTCTTCCTGCATGATGGTACGAGTAGATATAGACACATTGAACGTTGAATTTTGCTGTGGGTATGCTGGTGTGATAATGGGCATCAGGTGGTAGCGATCAGAAATGTTTACCTAAAATTGTAAATAGCAAACACATTTTCAATATGTTATTCTTCAGACTTACATCATTCTCAACATGCCATTGTTAAGATGTACGCCATTCTCTGATTATGAGCTTAAAATCATCAGGTACTGAGACTATTTAGTGATGTTTCATAGGCTATAATACCACACAAAATTCTTCCATACCCGAGGATCCCAGACAGGAAAACCCAAGTTAACATTATCAGGCTGCTTGAGTAAAATAGGTTGTGGCCACTTCCATTGCGAAAACACAAGGAAGAACTTGTGGACAAGCGTAGCTGCTACTGCATTGGGGTACAGCTGGCAAGTGCGAGCCACCAGCATGGCCCATGAAACTCCACCCAGGTAGCCCAAAGCATTACTGTAGATTCCATGCTCTGAAAAAATATAAAACTAATTTACTGTGGATTCATTTTACATGCTCTACCTTTCCCTGTACCAAGTAAACCTCCAGTACAACACATAAAAGTAGCTTCAACAAGGCCAAAAATAATAAATGACTCTAGAGCCCATGTTCCAAAAAATCCAAGAGCTAATTTACTGTGTATTCTAACCAACAGCTCTAGTTTTGCACTTTCCTAGGTATAACAATAGCGCAGCACATAAGTGACCTGGAAAAGTCCAAACAACAAAAACTTTTGTTTAACAACACACATTCGGAAGACAACCATGAAGGCGGCACTGCAAGTTTGAGCAGTCATCATTCAGGTTTCTCCATAAATCCAACTGGCTATACCTCAAACATTAAGTCACCTGAATTTTTCTAAACTGACAGAAACAATTTTCACATTTTCTTTTTATCAGTTTGAATCCATTTGAATAGGAAAGATATATATGTCTGATGCTCCCAAACATAACATGCCATGTATGGTTGAGGAAAACTCCACAACGAATTTGTTAAGTTTAACAAACATTTCAGTTTTGATTTCATTTTTAACACACTGATACTCACAATCCATCAGTGCTATTGACTTTAAACCCACCCACAAACAAACAAACCAAAAAAAATAACTAATATACCAATAGCTGAACTTTGCGAATGAGTAGTCAGCACTTATTTTGTATTTGTGAGGTCCACGTTCAAACACTGGCTATTCTGAATGAGGTATTTTGTGGTTTTCCTCAGTCCCTCCAGGAAAATGCTACAATAATAATTTACATTATACCATGATCACTTCCTTACACATCCACTTCAATTCTCTACACATTATTGTCCTAACATTCAATATTATACAGTCTGAGCTACTGACAGCATCATTAAATACACAAAGATAAAGGAAACACTGATACTGCTAGTTACAAGATAGTGAGTGAGCCTTGGTCCATACAAGGAACTCAATTTATGTCAAAATCCAAATCACCACCTAATATTTCTCTGGGGGAAAATGGATTTGAAAACTGAACAAAGGAAAAGCTAAAATGGAGAGAAGTTAAACACCAAGGCAATGGAGCCAAGATCAGATCACAGAAAATACTCAAATCGAGGAACAATGAATGATGGTTAAATAGCGGAGTGACATAAATCAAAGAGACATTAAAATATGGACTCTACTGTAATATGATCCATTACTAACATCAAGAAACCTCAATAACAAAGTAAATTCAACTGTCTCGTGACTTCTTACTTTTGGCCCAGAGCTTGATGGCCCTTAGAGCCAGTCGGAAATTCTCGATATTAGGCACGAGCCTCAGTATTTCGTCCGTCACCCGGCAGCCATTCAGACTCCGCACACACTTCTGATCTAGGTTCTTAAGGAGGCAATCGTCCCGCAGATCCTGCAACATATTCACAAATCAAATTCCGAAATGTATGCCAAAGAGTAAAAAGAATGGTAAGTGATTAGGAATATTTTGTGAAACTCTGTGCTAAATTTAGTTTCAATTTCAAACATTTCTACTTTCTAACCATTTCATGCCACTATTTTTAATTTAATTAATCAATAACATCTATATAAGATTTGGGGTTTTCACAGCGGTGAGTATGAACATTTCTGTCGTCTGGGTTGTTGCGCTGTGTAGTCTGGTCGATGTTTACCAACATTTCTGAGATCATACTGCCTCCGTCATATTCATAGTCCCGATGATGGAGGCAGTATGACCTCTGAAACGTTGGTAAACATCGACCAGACTACACAGCGCAACAACCCAGAAGACAGAAATCTTCATCAATAATATCATCATGGAAGTGAGAGCACTAATTGATACAGCAAAATAAATTATGTATGTTCCTGGAAAGTGCATTATCCCAAACTTACATAAGTTCTTTTTCACACCCATTAATTTCCCTATCATTTCAATAGTTCTAGTTTCAACAAAACATGTCTTATTCCATTCAAATGTCCTAGGTTCTGTGCCAATTTCTTTGCACCTGGCCAACTTCTCTTTTCAGCCATTGGCTATGCTGATGAGTTAGTTGTCACCTCAGAACCATCATTTTAGCTTTCCATGTCAGCCACTATTATGATTTAATTGTTAGATAAACTTCAGATGTCAGACATTAAAAGTATCACAGATTACATATCAAATGTCAAGCTGAGTGAGAATTCTTTTGAAACTGTCTGCAAACTTGAGAAAGAAACTGAGGAAATTCAGACAAGGAATTAAAGTAGAACAAGATATCAGTTATTTTTGGAAGACGTAGGCACAACTCTTATTATATGAAAAAACTTTAATTTGCAAACAATTTTAACTTACATCGTTTCTGGGAACTGTATGTTGTAAAGACGTTTGAATATACTTAATAATTTACCTACCTTATTTGTTGGTCATTCCAATTAAAGGTTGAGGTAAGGGTAGTACTAAGCTTATGAATTTTTTTCATTTCCTGCAATTTACACTTGCCACATGCTGAGTACCATTATTCCTCCATACAATGCGGTATTGCTGTCATAAGAGCAATAGTCTGATCTTAAAGACAGCCAGACCTCAGACTTACTTCACATTAAATGCACAGCAAACCTTTTTTACATTCTTTACCCAAACACAATTCCTTACAAGTTTCATATAAAAAGAATATACACTTACCATTGTATCTGGAATTTCCTTCAGTGCTAATCTGGCAAAGAGCATATCTATCTCAATACCATCAAAGTTCATTTTTATAACAGGAACAAATGCTTCCTCAACTGCCTGTAAAAAGAGAAAAATTTGCAAGTATGAAATCTGAAACTTAAAAAGAAAAGAAACTGTAAAATGTAATTTGTAACAAAGGTCTTTCTACGTACCCTGAGATCAGTCACTTCCTTCTGTTGCTTCAAGAGCTCAAAGAATGACGTGAAGTAGTCAGACCGGTCAATATGCCTTGGAGCCACACACAAAGCATCAATATCAGCTCCTTTATGATGAACACCCAAACGATATGAGCCAAACGTATATATCTTCCCACCTACTTGTTCTGCCACGTTGGGTGGCATGTTACGCTTGATTGAAACCTCACAGATCCACTCTTTGACCAATGAATTCAGCTTACTGAGAATTTCCATCCTGCATTCAGATCAAACTTTGTTACAACTTGTGGACAAGGACTTTATTGACTATGACACTATATTACATACCAAGGTTACACAGCACCAAATCATGATTGCTAGGATGACCGTGAACAAAAATGGATGACAGAAGGAATGATAACAGTTTGCTTGATGCACCATTCCTGGTTCATGTTTGTGAGGTAATATGTTCAAATCTCGGCTACCTTAACCAAGACGTAGTGTGGTTTTACTCAGCCCCTCCCAACAATCAAATCTAAAACTTCTTGACGATGGTGAAGAGTCAATTGAATAAAAATTTACTTGGATATTATCCATCGTCTAGTAAATATAAAACGTAAAATGACGTTTCGGAGATGGGACTCTATCTCCGTCTTCAGGTTCCTACACAGTTGGGCCCACTAGATAGAGCTAATCCCTATCTCCGGACCGGAGATTAGCTCTATCTAGTGGGCCCAACTGAGTAGGAACCTGAAGACGGAGATAGAGCCCCATCTCCGAAACGTCGTTTTACGTTTTATTACTAGACGATGGATAATATCTCCGGACCGGAGATAGGGATTAGCTCTATCTAGTGGGCCCAACTGTGTAGGAACCTGAAGACGGAGATAGAGTCCCATCTCCGAAACGTCATTTTACGTTTTATATTTACTAGACGATGGAAGGTCCGAAGATAGGAATTAGCTCTATCTAGTGGGCCCAACTGAGTAGGAACCTGAAGACGGAGATAGAGCCCCATCTCCGAAACGTCGTTTTACGTTTTATTACTAGACGATGGATAATATCCAAGTAAATTTTTATTCAATTGACCCTCCCAACAATTATTGAAACAGTACCTTAAAAAAGCTTTTCTCTACACTCCTTCCAATTAAAATTTTTATGAATCATTAGTAATTTTTGTAATGGTCTATTAAAAATTTAGTTAATATAAAATACAATAATTTAAAAAAAATTGTCTTGTCTTGCTCAACTACTGCTGTCATCAGAATTGCTATATGAACACACATTATCTACTTCTTACAATTCTTATGCTAAACTCTGGCTACAATATAAGACCAGGCTACTATTCAAACCCTCATATATACTGAAACAATTATGCTATAACTTTCATGATATCAATAGACATAAAAATGGCAATAATACCGATGGTTAAGCTCTTCATCTGTTTCAAACACATTGTAAGGTTTCAGAACTTCTTGTAACTCTGATGTTCTATGGTAGTCAATTTGTTTGGGCCCGGCTAAGCTTATAGCCGAGGTCATCCCCAGGGTACGCAGGTTTGATGGCTGTTGTTGTGACTGTTGCTGCTGCTGCAGCAGCTGTGGCTGCGCCTGTATCTGGGATGTCCACATTCTGCGCAGAAGGTAGAATAGTAATAATTTAACAAACTGTGCTGTAGATTACAAGTCATACTATGAATATCCCTGATGTTGTGTGATAGGGGCATATCATTAATATATTACACAGAATTCCATTCCATCCCCTCTTTGCTGCAAATATCTCTCCCATTACCTTCTTACCTTAAGTAATTACCACTGTATCTACGGAAAAATCTATTCTTACAAATAATAATCTTCATAAGAACAATTTCTTCAAGACATTTCAGCCTTTTCTTGGATTTTAAGCTGGCCTTCCTGTGTGTAATTTCACTACAACCTAAAACAATATGTCTAGTATCTTATTGCTTTTTGCTGACAAACCTGCATAGAAAATGAGACGTTTTGCCATTTCTAACATCAAAGTGGACAAGTGTAATCTGATTAAGACAATCACTGACCGGTATCACATTAATCCTTTTAGTGAAAGTCTCTAGAAGCAGCATACATTAAAAATGCCATGTCATTCTTGCTGAAATTACAAGCCTTCACAGAGAAACAGTACCTCCCACAACTTTGATGATACATGTCTGAAATTTTTTACAGCTCTTTATAAAGCATTGTAGAATACATGTCACTTGAAAGTGTTTGTATTTGACCACACTTCATGATTGCAATTTTTATTTATAAATCATAACATTAGAATTTCAACTTTGGTGTCAACTTCCTTACAGCAACATGGCTGTCTTCTGGGTTGTTGCGCCATGTAGTATGGCAGAAGTTAATCGATGTTACAGAGGTCCTTGCTGTCTTCATCATCAGGGCACCTCTAATCATATTTCCATACAACAAACTTGATAATGAAATTCTAATACAATCTTGTTAACAATGCAGTGGGCTGCTTGTGTTAAATATAATAATTTCAGAAAATCTTGCTGGCAAGATGGACACCAAGGGTTAGATTGTGGCGTAAGAGTCATAACTAGGTCATTAGAACTGGAAAGGTCACTGTTATCAACTAAATGGAAAAACTTCAGGCTAACAAGGAAGTTAGATATAGTTTCTTTAAAACACATAATGAAACCAAGAAATATAGTGTGATTTGCTTGTATACCAGTAAGATGCAATTCTTGGTCTTCCAAATATGTTCATGTTCAACAAACAAGCAACACATCCTTTTATTTATAACTATGTAACATTTTTCCATCTCCTTAAATCACAGGTTCAGTGTTTTGCTCTCAGCAACTGTCGAGACTGATTGCTGATCTGAAGCCAACTATCACTATCATCAATAACTTCTACCTAGTTACTATCCTCCCTTTCAATGTTCTGATCCTCAGAAGTTTCTGACATGCATAATGGGTGTAGCTGAGCATTTCCTTTATTAGGAAGAGCTTGGTGCTATTTAGAAATAGTGGTCTGATAATTCTACATTATTCCACAGTCACCCCACAAATCGCTTTCATATATATTGCCACATTCTGTTAACACTTCACTTACTTGCTCGTAAGTTATCACACCAAGCACCATCTTGCACTATGCAATACACACACAGATGTAAAGCTTAAATGACCAATACAGAATTGAATTGTGTGAGAAAAGGTAACAGGCACAGAAATAAATGTGATCATAAGTCGACTGTGCAATACATGTAAGATATACACAAGATTCTTGAAGATATTTTACTGTGTCTGTACAATGACTAGAAAAGATATCTGGTAGCTGATGAGACTTATTTCAAAAAGAAAAGGGAGTTGGTAGTCTGACTAGTGGCTAAACATTCAACCACCAGAGGGGTTAATAGTGAGTATTTTAAAACTTTCTGCATGACAATTAGATGAAACATTTCTTATAAATATCATAACTTAATTAACACAACTGTTCATAAAATTTAAAGTGGCTCACAATGGGTTTTATATATTTTAATGTGGCCTGGGCTGTGAAAATCACAGAATCGTGGTATAAGGCATGAAATGAATAATTGGGAATCGCCAGTGCAGATTCTGATGTCACAGAATGACTACTACAGCAACTGCAATAAGAGTTCCCATCTTAAATGTGTTAAAATCAAGCATGTGAGCAAAGAAGCTATGGTAGATATTTTTATAAATTAATTTCTTAAATATATTCAAATACAAAACATTCAGCCCTCCTGCCATGATGCAAGGCAGTTTAAAATGTTAAGAATTAATAAACCATCAATTTACATTCAAGCCTTGGGCAAGGCATTTCTGAACTTTTGTTTCATATCACTAAGTAAGCCCACCTGCTGCAAATTTTGCTGAATATTCACACCATTAAATTCCTCTGCTTTGAGCTTTAATTTCATCTTTTGAAATAAGAAGTAATAGGTAGAAAGGTATGGAAAGTAAGATGGTTGTACCACTTTATATGACAAACACAGTAAGAAACAGTACAACAATAAAGGTCAGTGTGTTCTATTATACTTGAACTCACCTGATACTGGGTCAGATGAATCTGTATAATCATCATAGTTCAAACCCTCAGATTTACCATCAAGTTATTTTACCTGGTTATATGGAACAAATACCGGTTCTGTACTGGAGCCATCTGTAACAGAAGTAATGAAGGACAATGTTCTTTTAGTTTTTGTAATGATTCTACCTACTGCTCCGATGTTATCTTATTGAGAAAAAAGTCATATCATAAGGAAAGACGCAGACATTCTTATTAGATGCCAGTAAGGAGGCTGACAAAGAACAGGGGTTCTCAACCTTTTCCAGATCTAGGACCACATTCACCCTTGCTTACCAACTTGCAGGCCACAAGGTTATGAGGTAAATTTAATGGAACTTCATGGCAGTTCATTAAAAATACTACTAACTTATTACTGCCAACAGGATCATATATTACTTGACAATTTTCTTTAATAACATTAGTCATTGGTAAGTTACCATATTTGTCATTGCTTCTGCTCAAGTGATCTTTCAATACCATTACTAATTCATGTTTTCATTATACAGTATAACACAATACTACAAAAATATACACAGGCCACATGACAGGCAACAGGCTGAGAACTCCTTGTATAGAAGAAAATATATTTCACAACACAGAACAAAATCATAATACAAAGGCAGTTGTATCCCTTCAAAAATGGGCAAAGTTTGGGCACAGCAGTTACAAAGCAAAATGAGGACAAAGATGGTTCTCAAAACATTGGTGTTTTCTTCATTGAGCCATCTTATTATGGCTGGTAGTCCGAAAATGTATTATACTTAGTCGCCATGAAAGCTCCAAATCACATTTCATGGCAGTGACGATGACAATGATTATGTTCTTTTGAGTTTTGGCACCGCGTACACTTGTTTAACAAATGTGCATAATCTGGGGCCAACTACCTAACCAGTTGTCAATATACAAAAAGCAAAGCATGGGTAACCAAAACATTTCAGAAAAGGTGTAAGCAACTGTTGCACTATCTCACATAACCTTACCTAAATATAAGACAACAAAAAACACCAACTGCGGACTGTTATAGCTGTTTGAACTATTAATATGCCTTGCTAATCATAAACCCCTTAATGACAGAAATGCCTAAATCTGAACACAGAATCCAAACTTTGGTACCAACCGAGTCAAACCTGCCAATATTCACCGCAAAATGAAATAGGTGCACAGTGAACAGTGCGTAAGAAAACAACAAAGCAAATAAGCATGTAATAAAAACATTCCTGTCCAGCAAAATGGAAGCCTCCAAGGAAAACGAAGACGAAGTGATGAACTTTCTTTCAACAACTATCAGCTTGCTAATCAAGCATTCAAATAAGTGTCTTACCAGCAATGGAGATTGTATTAAACTAGAGCAATATTTCATATATGTTTTCACTGCAGTCCATGTAATTTAACTAACCTTACAAAACATACACAGCATTTCTGCTTCTAATCATAACAAACACTATTATCCCTGAACAAACCAAAAACATGAACAGCATTTGTTTCTAAACATAAACAAGCATTTCTGTTTCTAATCATAACAAACAGTATCATCCCTGAACAAGGATATGTGTTGAGTAGATTACGCATTTCACTAGCCAATAAACTATATGCGAGTAAAATCTCTAATACAAATATATTTTCCACACAAGCATATGTTGGTAATTAGTTAAGTAAATTGCTTCTGACCTCCAAATAAACAGAATTAATAAACAAAGTGCAAATATCCTTAGAAAAAATGAAGTCAAGTGGTATTACAAAATCACATATTTTGCGATTACTGTGCCTCAATCTTACCATTTGGATTTCTTGAACTTGTGTGCCTGACAAAGAAAAATTAAAGTTATTGTATATTAGTCTTCATTGGGTTATATTGTGACCCTTACAGTAGTGAATACAATACTTACGATATGCAAAAAGATTACTACACATTTATTATAAGTCACAGCAGTTCGTTACACTTCAAAACATGCATTTGTACGAGTTGGTCTACAGCACTACTACCGTAACACAATAACAATGTTCCCTGTTAGGGTATCGCTTCCGATTTGCAGGTTCATAATACATATTACATAATATTTTTAAAAATAAATACAATATAAATAGTACTAACCGTATAAAATGTTATTTGGTAACCTTTTTTTCACAAAAAAAAAGGTATATATCTTTACACTTTCGAAAAGAACATCACACAACACCACCAAAAGCCAATATGGCGTCCACGCTATAATCGAAACATATCGATACGACAAAGGATCGAATATACACATATTCCAAAATAACTACACCAAAGATGATTAGACACTAGTTTCTCTGGCTGATACTCTTGGACATTTGACAACCCCCCCAACCCAAAAAAAGCCCAATACATTTGTACATAACCATAAAAAAAGAATAAAATAAAATCCAACATCTAAACATGTTCCAAACTGAAACAGTTCTTTTCAAGTACACTTTTATCACGCAGGGTGACTTAATTATCCAACAGTTAGATTCGGGTTTTGTAAGGAAAATTACTGATAAAAAAATTATTCTTATCCAGACAAGAAATGATTCGTAATTTAGAAATATTTTCATTATCACGAAAACAGAGATTCAGGAGAAGTCAGCAACACTTTGTGTGTATAGCAATCAAGTGATTTTCAGTAATAAAGTTCTATTACAGTTGATCGAATTCGGAAAGTTTGATGATTCATGGTAATTTCAGAGCAAGATAAATATGTGCCACAAATAAAGAATTCTGACAAAAATGATTACAATAACTTCAACATGAAACTAAAATAAGCGTTACTTAACGTAACATGAAGCTAAGCCTCTCGGATACGTTGTATAAACCAAATTATTCTAAACCCTTCATTCATTTGCGCCTACCAGTGACTGGAACAATGAAAACATACTCACTTTGATGTGAATAATGACCCCACGTTCTTCCCTCTGCATGTAATAAATATGCTACAACAAAACTGTACTTCTCAGTTCGACCCTGAAATTTAAAATATGTACTTCTCATGTCTCTGACGAGAAGCCTAGACATATATAATAGCTCCCCAAATGTTTAGTCTGTCTGCCCATAAAGCTGACTTATAACAACTGATTATTTCTATCAGCAATAGAAGTTACGAAACAAAACAGAAATTTGTATCTGTACTTTTCATTACTCTTACAATAGATTCGTGTCTACAAATAAAGAACTTCAGGTGTTACAAAGAGGGATGGCAATCCGGTGACCTTCCTTCCTTTTCCCTCTCAACTGGGCGTGATTTGCTGAAAGCATCCTGCTTTCGACAGGCGCAGTACAATTTGCTCCAATTGATTACAGCAGCCTGGCGTCGACATCCAGGGACGCTGGACCGCTAGGGATGCTGTGCTGCAGACATCAGCAGCGGCGCCGCCCGGTGAGTAGGCTACCTGCAAGTTATTGTGAGACCGTTGTGTTGCTAGTAGTTAGCGACAGGGACTTGAAAGGCACTTCCAACATAAACATGTATTTAAACAATAATATCAATCCAAATTGGAGTTCGAGCTGAGATGAGGGCTTCGACATCTACAGAATGGCGGGAGACCTGCCTTCGTAAATTGTACTAAAAGGATAACGGGGAAACACGTATATGTTTTGGTTCTGTCACATGGATATATTGGTGGAGTATTATTATGGTAAAGATTTTTGTCGTTGTTTTCCAGGGAGGCTTCTGAGATTCGTAATCAAGAGTGTTATCCAACAAAAACAAAACTGTGCAAACAGTAGTAGTAGTAGTAGTAATGGCTCATTGTTGTTATTGTAAATATCATCACCAACCAGTTTATACACAGCTGTTGCAGGGGGATGCTTCATCAGAAATCCCTTTAACTTTCCTTTAAAATAAGCCATCAGGAAAGTCCAAGATGATCAGGTAGGCGTAAGGTTGGAATTAGATCGCCAGAATTCAGCATTTGTTTACGTTGGTAACATAATTTTTTTGAGATAGGAAAAATACCATAAAGATTAACGACTAAATTCTAGTGTAGCAATACAAAGGTACTAGTCTAGAATCAAACACGGATAAAACCAAATAAGTTACATTAATATAACACGAAACAAAAGCAAGGGACACGTGAGCGTTTCATGAATCGACTTTAGTGTGCGACAAGCTGCTTGATATTGACTTTCATGACTTGAAATATTTACTTTAACTTTCGTCTGCATCACATTAAATTCTACACACTGCAACCATTTGCCTTCCCGTCCATAATATTATCATCCAATTTACGTCTCGATCTTCAGACTTGTTGACCAAAACATTGTAGGCGTTTTATTTACATCGTGCTACATGTATTGCCAACCTCGTTCTCCTTGATTTGATCATACCAATAACATTTGGTGAAGAGCACAAATCATGAAACTCCTTGTTGTGCAGTTTTCTCCATCATGTCATTTTCTTCCTCTTAGATCCAAATATTCTTCACAACACACTTCTAAACTAACCTCAAAAATGTTATTTTAACCCTTTAAATTCACTGGCAACTATATGTACTATCCGCTTTAACAATCAGTAACTCTGTATTTTTTACCCACAGAATGTATTTATAAATTTCGTATGATTCTCACACTACATAGCAGCATTAACCAATTGGTCTTTCAATTCATAATTGTTGTGTTTTCTTTGAGGTAATGACCACATTTTTATGTATTATTTAGACGAGCTTCGTCTTAGAAGAGTTTAATGTGGCAAAGGTAAATTCTCATGCATACAAAGCAACAGGTGTAATTATAACATGTATAATTTTATTCTGTTAATGTGACGAGTTGTTGGACTGCGCGCTGCAGGGCCACCTCTAGTAGGCTGATTCTATAAAAGTCAGGAAACGTCTTATGCAAGTGAGTGACCATTAGATTCTCAAAGGAAGGCTGCTTCATGGCGAGGCAAGTGGTTAACCTTGTGTCACGAACATTTTAGCCTTCCATTGCGAATATCCGGTCTGACAAGTTGTAGACATTACGCTGATGAAGCAAACCTGGATGCCGTCAAATGCATGTCATTTGGCAGGGTCTAAAATATTACTTTAATGTTAGACAAATCCTCCCGGAAATGCGGGAACTACTCCTACACCAGCACTTGGGGAAGCGAAAACAGTGAAATGCAAGCATAACCGAGGGAATTTTATTACAATACATTCTTGCTGTAAATGGAATTCCACGATAATTTTAACTCTTTATTTAATCCCTAAAAGAAGGAACGTATGTATCTAAATCAAGTGGATTTGAAATAAAATTCGTAGAATAAATAAAAAATATTTTTAGCAAAATTAAAATCTATATATTTAATTCAGTCAGTCGAGAAAACGTAGCCTTTTACAGGACCGGAAGATCCATTACTGTGTTTACAAAAGCCTGCCATTTGTCCCTATACAGAGCCGGATGATTTAAGTTAAAATATTCACACATTATTTATCTAAGACTCATTTTATTATTATCTACGCCTGAGTCCCAAAATCGAAGTCTTCAATCCAAGTTTTCCAACTAAAATGCATTCATATTTCATCTCCCATGCGTGCTGTGTGTCCTGCCTGTCTTATCTTCATTCATTTAACCAATATAATAACATTTATTGAAGTGAATAAACTACTAAGATCACCGTAAGGCCTGTTTAATCTTCTCTCCAGCTTCCTACTAAGTTTCCCCTCTTAGGTCTAAATATTCTTCGCAGTACTGCGCTCTAAAACATAAGCATACATATAAAATAAAACGTAAAGGTATACCTTTGTGTAGTTTAATCTTCATATTTTACATAGGAGACGGGGAAGTTAAAAGATTCTGAACGGAATTAACAAATTAATATACAAGGATGCCTGTCTTCAGAGGTGTTGCGAATTGTTGTATGGCAGAAGTTTTCCGACGTTTCAAGGTTGCTTGAAGCCCCCATCGCCAGGCTACACGATGCAAGGTCCCAGAAGATAGTCTATCATCTTCATATTCACAGCTGAGGGAACCTGAAATTCCACAAATTAACACACATCTATCCGGATTATAATATTATCCACAGAATTCAGGCAAATGATCGGTGACCATGCAGTCAAAGACGCTAAAGGTTTTGGTCCATCTAGACACTTGGACTCGCGAGTAAAAATTCTGCTTTGCACACTAAATGTGTGTGCGTGTTCGCATGTTTATTTCGGTAGTTCCTCGTTTTGATTAATGTGATTCAGAGTACATTTAGAAGAAGCCACGACTCAAATCTTTCTGTAGCAACAAGGAGAGAAAGCCACGATGTCGATAGTTCTCATTTTAAGCAGAGTGCGTCAGTACTTCGGTCTATAGTAAAATGTAGCAGTGCCTCGCATCGTTGTTTTCAACGTCGGATGTTGCGGGTCAACGGAAGCAGATAATTGATTGCAGCCAAACGCGATTGAAGTTGCTTGATCACAGAGGCGAAAAATAGACGTGTCTGGTCTCCTGTAAATTCTGAAATCAATAATGGGCTAAAGTTCCCAAGATATTATCTCGTGTCCTGTAGAAGGTCTTACATCGTTTCTGTAGATGTTAAGATTAATAATTACATAATATGGAATATCTTAACGGAAACGTAAAAAAATTATATAATTTTGCAACACGAACAGCAGAGCTCAGGCAAGTGAAATCATCTCAGAACCAGCAGTGTACAAAGCTAATGACACTGTACTGTTAACTTAGAGCCATGAGGTAAGGAGGGGTGAAGCCCTTTAGTGGCCTTGAAGAATGTAATTTGGTGAGGCTACTGTAAAGGTGTGAGATAAATTGACAGTGGGCTAAGAAAATAGGTTAATTGCCAATGGATTGCATGAAAAAAGTGAGTTAATTAACTTGGTTGAGTCAGATGAGACTGATCTGCAGGGGTGTCATGACCAAGTAAGTAGGAACTACAGAGAAACGTCCATGACACTGATTTACTTCACACAAGTGAAGGCACTGTGATAACACTGTTTGCTTTTAAAAACTTAATGTCACAAAACAAAAATTATATACAAAATTTTGGTTGTAAAATCATAAAAGAGAGTAAATGGAATTAAACAAGGCATTTTTGATCAACCAAACAATTATGGACTGTTTAAGGAAGAAGGTATTAAGGAACTGGTATAAAATATTTTCTGACATGAGGTCTAAATAGTCTATTTAAAAATGTAATTCTGAAAAAGTGTCATGTTGTCATTTTACTGTGTGACAGGTAACAATACAATGGATCATGTGAGAAATGAGTACGCAGGAGACATGGAAGTGGGCGAGTACTATGCAGCATATGAGTCATATGAGTACCAAGACACTACTAACAATTCAGGTAACAAGCTGAACCTTTGGCACCTTCATAAAAATGTCTCTATCTTCTAAAAGAAATCAACAATCCATTCTGCTTATTTGCTTTTGGAACTATTTATTAATATTCACCTCCCCTGCAAATCCACCCAAAACTAAATTGAAAGAGTACTTGGTTTTCCATACAACAGAGTAACAGCTAAACAAATAATGAAAATAAATGTTCAGCTTGTAACACTGTGTCACTTGCAGTTTTAGAGGAACCAATACCGATGTTAAGAGGTTAGAATTCATGCTTCACAGTCCTCAAGATAAATGGCAAGACAGTACTTTAAACTAAGCCATGATTGCTTCCTTCCACATCCTTGTCAATTCATCATTGACCTTTCCAGTCAATGCTATAAATTCTTTGTAGTTGAGAAGCCTCATTAATTAAACAAAGAAATGGCCAAATTGCCCCAGACGTTACAGTGGAAATCGGAACTCGTGAATTCCACTTTAAATGTATACAAGCATGGAATGCATTCATGCAAAGAGGAATCACAGTTCAATTTCTTTACAAATTAATATTATAATGAGATTAATTTCCTTTCACATTCTCTGGTCAGTGAGATGTTACATTTGTTTTGTGTCAGGGTATGAACCTGGAGTAATTCCAGATCCAGGTCCAGCAGTTACTAGACAGTGGAGTGAAGCTGAGGACATTGTGTTACCTGATGACAGCTTGGCAGACACAGATCTGCATGATCATGACCTCATTGACAGTGTCATGTACATCTACTTCGGATCATCATCACATACTGAAGGAGGAGCTGGCAAACAGGTTATATGACTTAAATAATTTTCTAAGTACAATATTCTTCACTTTTAATTACAAACTCCAGTGCATTTACATTCCACTTTCTTCAGTCAGCATTAAAACAACAGACTAGAATAGAGCTTATTTTTAATTGCCCACACTAATGAAGAGGAGAGAAAGCACTGACAATCAAAAGTGAAGATAACGTGTTATTGATCTTATTTTTAAGTTATCAATCATACTTTTTGTGGTTATAAGTATAACAGAATCACTTAATAGGAAGGTTAAAAGAGTTATGAAAACTTGGCCCACAGCTAACAATGCATAGTTCTACAAACCTTTGATAAATTTAAAAAGTACCAAAAAATTGCATAAATAGGCAGAAAATTCCTCACACTGTCAATTGGGGGGGGTATCATAAATATATGGATAAGTATTTATATTTATATATGTACATGCATCATGACTCAAATATTGTAATATATGAAAATGTGTTGAAATATCAGCTGCCTGATGAAGAAATGACTGGTTTTCATCATCCTGCAGAAGTCTGTAAACTACCACCATACAACTGCAAGGATTTAATGTTGAAAAGAAATCCAGTTACAGCAACAAAATAGTAGGATATAAATGCATGACATTTCTATTGTTTTTACATTACATTTGTAATCAGTTAGTAAAAAAATTTCCTTTCATATAAAAGGTACATTATTGCATGAAAACAGATATAAAGAACTTGAGGTTCTCACAGCGGTGAGTATGAAGATATCCGTCTTCTGGGTTATTGCGCTGTGTAGTCTGGTCGATGTTAACCAACGTTTCAGAGGTCATACTGCCTCCGTCATCAGGGCGATGAGTATGAAGATTTCTGTCTTCTGGGTTGTTGCGCTGTGTAGTCTGGTCGATGTT